TTAAAGTATTAATTAAAAGAAGTCTTTCTTATAATTTATTAATATAAAGAGTCGTTTCATTAACATCATCAGCATTAATATTAAGATTTTAAATATATAAATTATTTATACTATCTCTTAATGTATGATGAACCTTTTATTATTAAATCAATCCTTTCATAAATTCATTATCTAAATCATTTTCTTATTTATTATTGATTATATTGTTATTGTTATTTTATTATTATTAAATATTATTGTTATCTACTTATGATAATTAATATCTATTATTAAACTATTATATTTTTTATTATGGTAAAAGTGTACTAATAATTTATTAAAATACTTTTAAGGATGAACATTCAACCTTTTATTATTTTATATTATTAATTAACTTTTAAATCATTTATAATTTGATATCTTTATCATTTAAAAATTTTATTAATTCTATTAATTAAGTTTTTGATTAATCTTCTAATTTAGTTTTTCCTTATTATCCAGCATATTCAATAATATCCCATAAAATTTCAATTGATTAACTAAGTAATAAAGATTATTAATTGATTCTATTTTTATTCATTTAACAAAGTAATTGCACATGTTCAATTAATATAAGATCTTTTCTTAATAATTTTATTTAATAAAGAAAGTAATTGACTTAATAATCTGACATAAAAGTAGCAATATCATTAAATAATTTAAATATAATAGATCTTACTTCTTTATCATTTGATTACATTAGATTCCAAATAATTTATAAATGTTTAAGATTAAAAGCACCATCTATAGTTAAATATATTTTAATTAATTCTTTAGTTCTTTCTAATAATTGTAAATGTGTACTATGATGAAATAATGTTTCTAAAATTCCTTATTTTTCTATCCATTATAAAATGTAATCTGATGATTAATCTTAATCTGCTTATTTTAATACATCTGTTAATAATTTAAGACCAATTATTTATTTATCTAAAAATTAACAATTAAAACAAATTTAAATAAATTCTAATCCTAAACTTTACAACCATTCTTTTCTTTAATCATCTTTCATTATTCTATCTAATAGTAATTTATATGCTTAAATAATTATATTAATTTTCTCTCTACCCATATTACGAAAAGATTATTCATCAGAATGAAGAATTATTTATCTTAATCCTTATAATTTAGGTATATATTCTTAACAAAAATATCGATATAATTATGCATGTATACTACCTAATGCATGCATATAATTAGCCAAAATATCAACTTATTAAACACCTAATATTTATTCAAAACCACCTAGATTTCCAAAATAATTGATAAATTTAATTAATAATAAACTCTATGAATATCTAGGTCTTAGAATAGCATAAAATTTATTTGTTAAATAATCTTATTCATAAAGTATATCATATGAATCATCAACAAATTATTCATTTGTATTATTTTTTCTTGGTATATGATCACCACATAATGCTAATCTAGGATTACATGCTGTTAATTGTTCATAATGATAATTATTTTAACTTTAAAATTTCTCTTGAGATTAATTATCTTTAATTTCATCTAAAATTGTTTAAAAATGGAATTTAATAGTATAAGTAATAATATTTTCATAATATGAACTTTCAATTCTATCAAGAATAGTACTTAAAATCCATTTATCATTTTGAGTTGCTAAAATTGCTTATTTAGTTTATAAAGTAAACATAGAATCTAATCTCTATGAACGTGTTTAATAAGGCATCAAATATCCACTTTTTATGTTATAGATTTATGAATTTTACTACTCGTTTAAATATCTTACATTCACAAAATCTTCATTTCTTTCCTCAACTATACCTCTATTCCAATTTACTCTATTTGTAGATTAACAACTACGAATGCAATCTAAATAAGAGCCAACTTTCAGATTATCAATAAATTATTTATATTCAATATTTTTAGTATAAGAATATGTCATAAACTATTATTTAATTATAGATATTTACTTAATCATGCCAATTAGTTGATAAATCATTATTTTAATAGATCAAACAATTTGGATCCATTATTTTACAAAATATTATACTTATCTTATCATCAAATATGTTTTTATTAATATAAAAAAGCACAGACTTTATAAACTTCTCTATCATTATTAGAATTTAATCTGGATAGTTCATATGATTCATTATATAATTAATACTCATGCTAACTAATTCAGGTAGATATTGATCACCTTCACTTGTTTTTGTCTCATTCATATATTATTATACACCCTACAAAGCTTAAACTATAAGTTCATATTATTAATTAGTTTAAATTGTCTATATTTTCTCTATTTCAGAAAGTAAAAGCTTCATATTTTATAATTCTCTACTCATTTTATTTTTATTAATATATAACATACATATACACATAATAAATTGAACTCAATGTTTAAATAGTAATTAAAAAATCAAAACAATTGTTTTAGGTACTCATACATCATATACACTAAGCCAGAATGCATTGTAACCTTAGCAATTCTAGGTTAATATCCCTTAAATAACCCTTTCAAACCTTCTTCATTATAGATGTTCTATAAAATTTCCATCGAAGCCATCTATCTATTTGATCCAAAATCACTTCTTGTACTAACTTGTTTTCTTGTCTTTACTACATCTAAAGGAAGTGTCATTGTTGCAGTAACACTACTTGCTAACATTGCTGAAAGAAGATTCACTCCATTAGGCATATCTATTAAAATCTTTCCTATTTCAATTTTTAAATTCTCTAGAAGACTCCAATAAATGCAGGAAAATAAAATATCTCTTTAAATTGTTATTAAATAAGCTGAATGGAGTTAAGTCCCTAATTGAATATTTTTCATTTTCGAATATCCCACTGTTGATGATTATAATACCTTCCAATATTCCAAGGGAAATGTTACTAAAAATATACTTCAAATATCTTACTTGTTGTTGTCAATGCTCTACTAAATGAACTAGCCAATAAAGGAACTATCAATCTACTTGAAGGCAATTCTAATTATTATAAGAATTTCCTTGTTCTCTCATAAAACATGAAGTAGCATACATTTGATGCTCCTGCTTATAATACTGCATATCTCCATCCATTGAAGAATGTTGATGCTCCTTCATGTATATATATATGTTAAAAGGCCTAAACAAGAGAGTTTGTAGTAATGCAAGTACAATTCTAATAAATTTTAATTAAGGGGTTTGTGGCCTGAGATTTTCCGATAATATTAATCATTCTGTGCGGTTTCCATAAATTCAATGATTTCGAGAGCATTCCATAATGATGTAATTAATGTCTTGTTGGTTGACCTGTTAATGCTATTTCATGAATATATTTAAATTTTGGTTTGCTTCTTTGAGGATTTCTATGATGTTAATGCTCATGACAATGCATTTTGTCTACTTACAATCTGATTTTTAAGACTTCAAATGGATTACTAATGATTGTGCTAATCACACTAGCCAATCCAGATGAAATAATAATTGTAGTGGAACTTAAATGATCCCCTTATTTCATTAAATAAATATTATTGTTTATTATGTCATATTATTAATGATATTTAAATTAGATTCATTATAAAATTATTAAGATTCTTTTTAATTATATTAATTGTTTGACATTATTCTAATTCTCTTTTTAAACAATTAATATATTTATTATCAAAAATTCCTTAATCTAAAAACTTTTAATAAAGTTATTACAAATCTGTTAAATCATATGTATTATTTATAATATTTAATATATTATCATACTTCTTATGTATTAATTATTACTAATTTAATATTAAATTTAATGGCAGTCTCTAAATAATCATAGATAAATATCTTATTCTAAAAAAGACATAAAAGTATTTCATTTTTAATACTATTATAATGGCTTATATAATCAGTTCATTTCAAATATTACTGATACATGGAATGTATTATTTTTATACATTTAATATATTTATTGCAAATGTCAATATTATTAATACAAAGACTTAAATTAAAAATTATATATGGAATATTAAAAATTGAATATGTTCATGATTTTAAACAATTATTAATATAGAGGGGTTCAAGCCAAAATTGAAACTATAATCTTTCTTTTTAATATATTAAATTATTAATAAATTTTCTATCTTATTAATTGGAAACTTAGAATACTTTTTGAAAAATATTAATATGTTCTTAGAATTATTTATAATATAAATGTCATTTAAAATTTTATGTTAAATAATAATAATATTTCATTTATAATTATATTATAAGAAATACCATTATTTTAATAGTTATAATTAAGAATAAATATTATATTAGTTTATTTAGTGAGTATAATGTAAAAATTGATAGCAACCTTAAAATATAATTGCAATGAAATAAGTGATTTATAAAAGATTACAATATTAGATTAATAATTATATATAATTTAGTATAAAGTTATTGTAAAGCTTATTTTCTAATATAAAATCATTGCATATAATAATATATTTTAGGTTTTCCTTAATGATTGATTATAATAACTTTTGACATACTATTTTTTTTGACCTTTTTTTATGATGTAAAATGCATTTTATTTACAATATTGTTATCACATAATTATTTACAATTAATTGTTTGTTTATTAGAAGTTCTTCTCATTTGAATCTCTTCAATTGTGTTCATTTCCCAATCATCAAGTGTTTACATATATTTAGTTTATGATGTCAATCTTTTACAATCTAAATATGTTCTATTTTTCTGAAATCCTGTTGTAACTCTGCTATAAGGTCTTTCATCATGCATTTTAGGTATAATAGCAGAGATTTTCATAGCTGATTCATTTGTAGTGAAAGATTGACCTGTGCTGAGTGTGGCTCTTGAAGGAAATAGAGATGATAATTTTGGTTATGAGCTACTTATTTTGGTTACTCGAAAGATGTTTTCAGATGATGAAGATTTATTCTGAGGAGAATATAGTTCAGAAATTAATCTGTAGTGTTTTACTTGCATTTTAATATAAATATATAAATTTAAAAAACATATAAAACATAATTTATTTAATCATATTCAAATGTCACAATACGGTAAAGCAGAATATTGGGAAGAAAGATATACAAGGTATTTATATTTGATATGAGAATATAGAGATCCTGAACCATTTGATTGGTATCAAAGATTTGCAGGGATCAAAGATCTTGTTTAAGCTTGTTTCACTCCTGAAAGTAAACTATTAAATGTTGGGGCAGGGAATTCAAGTAAAGAATATATTTAGAGATAATTTTAGGGTTGAGTGAAGAAATGTTCGATGAAGGTTATTAGAACATTACAAATATTGATATTTCTCATGTTGTTACAAAAGCAATGTAAGAGAAGTACAAGGATAAAGGACCAAATTTTAAATGTACAAATTGATTAAATGTAGATCTTCATATGGATGCAAGAGCAATGGAATTTGAAGATGGATCATTCGATGGCGCAATTGATAAAGGAACTCTTGATGCTATTTTGGTAAAAGTTATAATTTACTTAAGTGTGGAGAATCATCATCATCCAATGCTTAAAAAGTTATTTAAGAAGTTCATAGAGTTTTAGGACCAAAAGGAGTATATTTTGCAATTTCTTATGGTCTACCTGAACACAGACTTTAATATTTGGAAAAGCCAGAATATGATTGGTATTATTTAAATGAATACAATTAAATTAGGAATGTAATAGTTAAATAGGTTCATAAACCAACAATTTCAACTTCTATTGCAATTACTAATGAAGATAAAGATGCACCGAATGTTCATTATATCTATATATGCACTAAAGTAAATTGAAATTATTATGATTTTAGGGATAATAAAAAGGAGTTAAATAATGAATGGAATTTGAATTATATATATATATATATATAATCATTTAGGAATAAATTGTATTACAAAATAAATCATTTTTCTAAGAATTATAAACATTATTCATAATATTTTAACAATTCTTAAATTTCTTCATAGTCTTTTTGTTATTTTTCTTCATTAATACTAAAGATAGTATACCATGGTTCTCCAGAATCAAGATCTGATAGAGTCATCTTTAGGTTATCAGAGGCAAGTTAAAAGGAACATAAAACTAATATTTTTGGTTCATAATAGAGACAAGCATTCGTAAAGAATAGATCATTTAAATAGTTTTATGCACTCTCATGCAATTTAGATAGTTCTCCATGTTATACTGTAATTTTATATTTTGCTTCAATAAAATAGACTTATGGTACTATGATATTTAGATCATATCCTATCATTTATAATATATGTGATTCGGCATCAACAATTTTCTCTATCAAAACAGATTGTAAGTCTTCACCTTCTTTACCTTTACAATATACTATAAAGCATTTAACATATTTATCTATTTCAATTGTATGATCAAACATATCATTATCTTTAGCTGATAGATAAAGGGATGCTAACATATAAATATGACGATTAAATTTCCTTAGAGATACTGAATGGGCAAATCTATGGAATATGGATAAAGCCTTTTAATAATAATGATTGAATGTTGGATGATTGCTATTTTACAATAAGGTTTCAAGTTTTTAAGAGAAATCATAGGCTTCTTTGTAAAATTTGACTTAATTTTCTAATTGGATGCCATCTTTTTATGATTAAGATTATAGCCAAGAATTGTATGATAATAATTTCATGAATTAATTATTTAAATTCTTATGTCTTTATATGATAATTTTATATACATCTTGTAATACTTTTTAAGTTTTCTTTAGAGTATATCACTTAAATAATGGCAATTCTATAATTAATTAAAGTTATGGGAAATCTTTGTGAAACAAATGAAACAAAAAAACTGACTTCAGTTTAGATGCCATCCAAATAATAAGATGAGACAATGGGATACACTTCAGAAAGGAATTTAGTCTCTTCAAATTAATTGGAATCAACTTAAAAGAAATTGAGTATAGAAGATTTTGTGATGCTCAATCAGTTAGGAAAAGTAAGGGATTATAGAATACGATAGATTTCTAGGGTGCATTTGGAAAAGTGTTCAAGGTGAAAAAGAAAGATAACTGTAAAATCTATGCACTAAAGGCTATGAATAAAAAATAAATATTTGATAGTAATTTAGAGTAAAATGCCGTTATCGAAAAAGAAGTGTTGAATAATAACAAGCATCCATTCATTGTTAATCTTAAATATTCATTTCAAAGTCAAACTAAACTTTATTTTGTGCTGGAATATATTGATGGTGGTGAATTTTATTAGATACTTTAAAGAACTTAAGGACTTCCTGAACCTGTAGTATAATTTGTTGCAGCAGAAGTCATATTAGCTTTAGAATATCTTAATATGAAATTAAACATTATTTATAGAGATTTAAAACCAGAGAATTTACTACTCACTAAATCAGGACATGTTAAATTAACAGATTTTGGTTTAGCTACAAAAAGAAAAGAAAATAATCAAAAATCTTATACTTTAGTTGGTACAACTGAATATTTGGCTCCAGAAATTATTAGAAAAGAAGGACATTCTTTTGAAGTAGATTTATGGACATTGGGAATTTTAATTTATGAAATGATTACTGGTAAAACTCCATTTGCTCATCCTGAAAGAAATCAAAATAAAATTCAATATCTCATATTAAAGAATAATCCTATCTATCCACCAACAATGTCTCGTGATGCAAAAGATCTAATTAATAGTCTATTGTAAACTAATCCTTAATTGAGATTAGGAGCAAATGTATTTTTATATCTATATTTTAATAGGGATATGATAGTATTAAGAATCATTCATATTTTAGTAAAATTAATTGGTAAGATCTTTATGAATAAAAAGTCAAATCTCCTCTAAAAACTTTTGCTGAAGAAAATTCAAATAGATTACAAAATTTATAACCAATGTCAAATTAAATTAAAGAGACTCCTGGTAATAATCCTATGCCATAAATTAATGGTATAAGTTTCTCAGGAAATGAAATGGATAGAGGTAGCTCTGTAAAGAATCATTGAAAGACTATTGCAATAATAAGTATATAATTAATATATCCTTCTAATATATTATTATTAAAATAATTTTCTTAATTTTTTATTCATCTTCTAATATCTTATAATCAATTTATTAATTTTTCATCCATATTAAATTTCACTTTATTTGTTACCATTACCTAACCTTTTTTAAACTATCAATTTAATATATTTTATTTAAATTTAAATATTTTTCTTTGTAGAATTAAAAACATAATCTATATTTTCTTAATTCTAAATTATCTATATTCAGACTGATTTAAGCCTTTTAATATAATATTAAGTTTACTTTTCTATATTTAAATTAATTAAATAAATATTTAAATAAATGTGATTGAAGATACACTAATAAGTAATAATTATAAGATAATAAGAATTTATGATAAATAAATATTTGTATTTATGTTGATATATCTAATCCTCTTTTATATTATTAATAACAGCATTAGATTTATTTCATCATTTATTTAAATAATTCATCTAAAAGAATATGTATTTTATGATTAAAAAATTCAGCTATTAAGTAATGCTAAAAAGAAGGAGAGAAGATTTTCCTAATATCAATTAAATATATTAGTCATTCTTTAGATTAATTAAATTCTCACTTTTAATATATATTTGATTCCAAATTTTTTGAAATAGAGATATTTTGTTTTTCTATTATCATCTATATTATAATTTTAAAGGATTATAGTTAAGACATAAGAAGGAATAGTGGATTGAATGATTATCATTAAATTAATAATTATTAGTGAGTTTATGTATAAACAGGACTTTGAAAACAAATTTTTAAATTAAGATTTTTATTTTAATGGCTGAATAAGAGCAATAATAAGCACCAGCAGTAGAATAAGAATAACCAGCACCAGTTGAAAAGAAGGGTTTCGGAAGAGGAGGAAGAGGATAAAGAGAAAGAAGAGAAGGAGGAGCCCCAAGATAAAATAGAGGTCCAAGAAGATTTGGAGGAGAATAAGAGTGGACACCATTAACTAAATTAGGTAGATTAGTAAAGGCAGGCAAAATTAAGAGTCTTGAAACAATCTTCCAATTCTCTATTCCCATCAAGGGTAATTCTAGATTATTTACAAAATTTAGAATATTAAATAGTTGATCATTTCCTTAAGACTTTGAAGGAAGAACCACTTGCACTAGGACCAGTTTAGAAACAAACTTGTGCAGGTTAAAGAACAAGATTTAAGGCATATGTTGTAGTTGGAGATAATCACTAACATATTGGTTTGGGATGGAAATCAGCTAAAGAAGTTTAAGGAGCTATTAAAGGAGCAGTCATTAATGCCAAACTCAATTTGATTCCAGTTAGAAAAGGATATTGGGGAAATAAGATTGCATAACCACACACAGTTCCATGCAAAGTTACAGGAAAGGAAGGATCAGTCAGAGTTAGATTAGTTCCAGCTCCTAGAGGTACTGGTATTGTTGCTGCCATTACATCAAAGAAAGTGTTATAAATGGCAGGAATTTAAGATTGTTACACTTAATCAAAGGGAAGTACAAGAACTAGATCAAACTTTTTAAAGGCAACCTTCCATGCCCTTAAAGAAACATATAATTTCCTTACACCAGATCTTTGGGGACACACAAAATTAGAATCAACTCCATTTTAAGAACACAGTGAATATTTAGCTACCTTAAAGTGAGATCAATTTATAATAAGTATATTAAAAATATAAAATAAATGTTCAACAAATTATTGATTGTTTTGTTGACTACTTAATTCTATACTGTTACAGCAGAGAAATAATTAACTATAGCATTTGGCTCATGCTTTAAATTTTATAGAACTCATGATACAGATGTTTTTCAAAGAATTAAGTCATTTAATCCTAAATATTTTTTATGGTTAGGAGATGCAGCTTATATTGATTATATGCCAATTTTAGGTATATGGAGAGCTGAATAGAATGAGACCAGAGTTAAAGAGAAATTTGACATCACCAACGATGATAAATATTATGCTCAATTTAAGAAGAGTGTAATAATTAAAGGAGTCTATGATGATCATGATAGTAATGAAAATGATGGAGGTAAATTTAATCCTCTGAAAGAAAGTGCTAAATAATTGTATCTAGATTTTATTGGTGAACCCAAAGATTCTCCACTTAGATAATAAGATGGGATTTATTAATCATTTTATGCAGATCAATATAATAAAATTCTTATTGTTATGACTGACACAAGATATAATTCAGATAAATATACAGGGGATTCCTTAGGTGAAAATTAATGGAAATGGTTAGAACAATAATTTTAAACCGAAAGTTAATTGATCATTATGACATCTGGAGTTTAAGTTATGCATGATGATAGAGATGGACCTGAAACTTGGTTTGGATGGTCTAAAAAGAGATTATTTGCTTTAATAAAAAAATACAATAAACCTATTATTTTCTTGTCTGGTGATGTACATTATTCAGAAATTATGAAATATCCATGTCCACATAGATTAGGATAAAATCTATATGAATTTACTTCAAGTGGAATGACATTTGCTAATTATGATCACATTCCCTTTGTTGGACTTATTTTTTAATTTTTATTTCCAACCACTTTTAGTAATTATTAAGATCATTATTACAAATCTAATTTTGGAATCTTAAAAATAATAACTAATGATCAACATTCACCTATAAGAATTGAATTTGAAACTCATTCTAGTGAAGATTCAAGTATTGTTTTATAGAAGACTATCTAAATTGAAGAGCTACAAAAATAATATTATGATGAATCTTAATCCTGTATATTAGATGTATCTATAAAAGAGAGAAAATGGTAGAATTATTTATTGAGAATTAATGAAAACATTATAATAGTGACAGGCTCACTATTTGTAGCATTGTTATTCATTATATTTTTGATTTATAATTTTATATCATATATTTCCAAATTTATAGAATTATATAAACAGATATAGAAGAATAAATAAAAAATTAAATAAGAGTGATGTATATATATATATAAATAGTAAGAGTTTACATATTAAATATATATTATTAAAAATAGTCCATCTAAAAATTTAGAGAACAATATTCATAGAGATACTTTGTAATCATTATTAAAACTTTTTATTAATTTTTACTCTCTCTTATTTTTAAATATATAGCTCTTATAATTAAACCTTTATAGATTGATACATATAATTTTATGATTCTAAATTTATTCACTGAATTAAGAAATATAAATTTTGTTTAAAAACAATATATAATTTTCTCACCTTTTTTTATTTTAGAATATAAAATTTAATTAATATTGCATACTTCATTTAATTCTTGGAAATTACAATTTTTATTATTAAGTATCAGGCTCAATTCTCAATTTCGATAAAGCTGAATTCTTATATGTTGGAGCAGTGGTTCTGCTTTGATTCATTTTAGAGTATTTTGGATTTGTAGTTGTTTTAGTTAACCTTTCAACGATTTTACCCATTTTTTGCTAATTTTATTATGAATATTTAGAAATTCTATTTTTTAGTTCCAAAGTTCTATAATATAATGAGATATATACTTCTTATAATCCTTTAGTATAGTATCCTTATTTCTAAAAGATGATGGAGTTCTTTATAACCGCTACATTAATTTTTCATTTTCTCCAACAATTTTTTTAGCTTCTTGTTTTCTATAGGATAAATTAAGAGATTTAATAGAGTTGGCTGAACTTTGACGAGTGACAGATTTTTTTGGCATTGAAGAAAATGTTTTTTAATTTCCTATATCCACAATACGATTAAGAATCTTAGCATTCTCTTTAAAGAGACGTTATTCCTTCTATAAATCTACTTAGAGTTTTGTATAAAATTTATTTGCCCTTATTTACTAATATTTATCATTGTCTAATAAAATATGCTAAAGTTTGAGAATATTATACTTTTTTTGAAATATGTGGATCTGATTTTGTATTTAAAAGTTTGAATTTATGCTATTGGAACTATTCAGCATAACATACTTTTTTTATAATATCCTATTCTACATATTTAGGACCTCTCATAATTTTTATGATTTTATAATATAAATAAATACTTATTTGGATGTTATAAATTATATATATATGGAAATGAAAAATGATCAAATACTTTATAAAACTAATTGATTTCAGAATAGTGGATAGTATATTTTGAATGAAATTTGAAAATATTGATAAAAATGTTTGAATTATTATGATTATATAATAATAAATTATAGAAATAGAATTTAGTATCTGTGTTCTAGTTAATTTTGTTATTGCTAAGTATTTTGTGATGAGAATATCATTTTGAAAATTTATTTAAATTAAATGTTTGAGAAAGAAGTAGTGATTGATGGAAAAGGCCATTTATAAGGTAGATTAGCTTCATACATCGCAAAAGAATTATAAAGAGGATAAAGAATAGTTGTGGTAAGAACAGAATTGATTTAATAATCAGGTAAAACAATTCAATGATTTTAGGCTCTCTATTTAGAAACAGAGTTATTTTTGAAGAATATTTGAATAAAAGAATGGCATTCAATCCAAGAAGAGGATATAAACATTATAGAACACCATCAAGATGTTTCTGGAAAGTTGTAAGAGGAATGCTTCAATACAAATCAAAAAGAGGAGCAGCTGCTTTAGAAAGATTAAAAGTCTTTGAAGGAGTTCCTCCTCCTTATGATACAAGAAAGAGATAAGTAGTTCCAGATGCTCTTAAATTGATTAGACTTAAGAATCATAGACCTTATTGCACTTTAGGTGATTTGTGTGCTTCAGTTGGATGGAATTAATAATCAATTGTAAATAGACTTGAAGAAAAAAGAAAGCAAAGGTAGAATTTATATATATAATAAATGTTAGAGGTGCAACATATTATAAGAGAAAAATTGCAAGAGAAAATCTTAGAAGAAAGGCAATTGGTGCTAAAGAACTTACTGGAATAAATGCAGAATTAGAGAAATTGGGTTATTGAGAAAATATAATAAGATAATGTACAATTAGAAAATTAAGTAATATTATCATCATTGTGATCTTTTTAATTTCAAAGAGAGTTTTTTAGTTTATTTTTATAAGGTTGATTATTTTTCAAGATGATCAATCATATAAACAGATAACAATGGTTTAAAATCCATTGTTGTATGCAAGGATTATAAACTTATTGCTTTTTAATTTAATAATCGATTTAATTTTGTATTTTAATTCTTTATTTATTAAAGATAACTGCTGTTTTTGCAAGAATCAGCTTTTACTTTTTATTAAATAATTAAAGTTTGAATTTTTTCACCAAAACTTATTTTTCTATTTTTTATATCCAAATTACAACTTTTATTTCTTTTACGATTAGGTGGACTTTAAGGATATGGATGTTGATGTATAGAATAATGACTAATCATCATTTTTGGAGGACAACTGCTTCTAATTTTAAATTCTTAAACAGCAACCTTTGATATAAAAATGATAGATTGAATAGCAATAATTAATTTTCTCCATTTTTTTACATAAAATTAATGTCTTTGATAAGATGTTCCATGATAGGGAATAATTTAAAACATATAATAATATCTTTTATTTAAAGTTCCCTCATAAGAAGACTCTGAACTTCTGCATCTTTTATTGCTAATTACATATAATATTCAATAGTACTTATAATTTTCTTATCTTTTTTTACTAAAAGATTTTAATTTAATGAGAGTCTGTTTATACTCTACTATTTCTGGTAATTTTGGGTGTTATCTATGACTTTGTTATTTTGGAGATAGAGAATTTATTAACTATTTTGGAGTTCTAGTTTTTATGATAAAGCTGTTTTTAGATCTTTATTACTTTTCCATATTAATCAATTAATATAACTATTATTAAAAAATAATTTATTAGAGTTCTAATTAGATATTTATTCAAATAAACTTTATTGTTTAAGGATTTAATTAGGAAAATTGTGAGTAATATTTTCATTATATTCAATATAATCTGAGAGTTCTTATTCTTCTTATCATAGTAGAAGAAACTCTCTTTATTCTAATATTTTCCTCTTTGTAAGGTGCTATTTACATAAGAATAGGTAATTAATTAGTATCTTTATTGCTTGTACATCTATTTCTTGAAAGATCAAGAGTTTGATCACATATCTTTGATGTCATAAGTCTTTTTATTCTTGAATCGTTAAAACGAAATTCTTTTGTGATTACTGATTTTGAACACAATTCTTTTTTTTACTTTTCACTCTCATACATAGCTTTTACATAATCACCAAAACCATTTGGTTAATTCTTTCCTTCCCCTTGAGTTCTACTTCGAAATTTTCTTTTAGGTGGACTTGTAGGATAATTGAGACTTTTAAGACTACTCCTTCGAGGAGGAATATGAGGACATGAAGCAGTCTTAGAAATTAATTATTCTCTATAAAGTTTGCTGTAAAAAAGTATAATCTACACTCCTAAAATTAAACATTTCCACATCCTTCTACATTAATTGAATCTCTATTGAGTAGGACGATGATAAGGTAATAATAAAAAAAACTAAGAAACTTTTTTACCATTTTTACCTTCAATCGAGCTTTCTGAACTTTTACCTCTAGGATAATATTTAAGTCTATATATATAATAATTTTTTATTACTTTTTATGATCTTGTTTTAGTTCATTCCACTAAGATAACTATTTTAAATTCTCATTTATTTGATATCTTGGTTATTTTTATTTATATAATCTCACTCTTGTAACTTGACTAGATTTCAAACTTTAACTTATGAAAGATCTTTCAAATTTTCTAATAAAACTATTTTCTAAGTCATTTCTATAGATCTTTGGTAATTTTTTGGGATTCATAAATAATTAATATTATATATAATAAAGTGATCATTTGCCAAGATTTGAAAATACTCTTTGCAATCTTTTATCTAATTTTATAAGAGGAGGAAGAGTTAAATTACACTTTAGTCTGTTATTCACTTTTTTAGGAGATAGTTTTAGATTATCAGCAGAAATGCTATTATTCCTTTTTGCTAATATTCTGTTGATTCTAACTTAACTAGATTGATATTTTAAATAAATAGGGGATTTCTTGAAATTAGGTATTTCTTTTCTTTTTTATTTTTCTTTTAATTCATCTTAAGCTTCAATATATTCACCAAATGTTCCTAATTTTAATAAACAATCTTTTTTTCTTTTTCTTGGATTTCTAGGTAAAGTATCAGGTGTTGGTAAAGCATATAGTTTTTTTCTGGGAATATAAAATTTATATATATCATATCTCGCTCTTTCATATCTAAATAATGAGATTATGACATTTATATATTTCTTCCATAATTTTCTTATAGCTTATTTTCTATGCTATTTACAATGATGATAAGGTAAATATAGAAAAATCTATTAATCCTTAAGATTTAAGAACCCTTCTACATTACTTTAGGAACTCAGAGACCTTTTATGATATTTAAGTCTATTTTAGATTAAATAGTTTACAATTGATAATCTGAAATTCTCTCATTAATTTCATTAAGTTCTTTCAACTTAGATAATTAGTCCAGTTCATTATGTTTCTGAAAATTATTATCTTGTTATTGTTTGAAATTCAATAAATTATTAAGAGATCTTTGATGAAATGCAAGCTGTGTATATTTCTATTAAATATTTTTTAATCCTTTAGCTTTCATTTGTTAACTAGTTTAAGTAGTTTAATTAGATTATTGCTATTAAATTTACAAAGATGCAAATAAATGGAATTATCAGACTTAAAATTGAGTTTAATTTAAATAATAATTTTATATGAGAATTAATTAATTGAGTTTAATATGAAGATTTCAAAATCAATAGAGAAGATTTTTTTATTTTACATGATTATTTATATCATCTCTTCTCTATAAAATCATACCCTTTCATAAAAGTTTAAATTCTACTACCCAATATAAACTTTAATATTAATAACATTCTTATTTTTTATCATCAATATTCTTTATACTGAATTGCAAATTAAATAAACTATTATAAATGTTATCATCTAAATTTTAAATCGATTTTATTATTTTTAAAATCATTATTGCAAAATTAATTAATCTTTGTGAATGTAACCTTCCATTAAATTTTTTGTATATTTTTTTTTGATTATTTGACAAAAAATAAATAGTGAATAAATCAATATTTCATAATTTATTCTTTGTTTAGAAGTAAACACATCTTAATTTTAATGGTATTATTAACATATTTAATATATTCTTTAAAAGATGATAAAATATTTAGTCATTATGTATTGTCTATTTTTTATAATTAAATTAAATATGAATAAAACACTAGAAAGAAATGAAAATGGAACTGTAATGATGAATTTAAGAAATCTAAAGATTATTTGTGATAGAAAAGATCTTTATTAGATTCCAGAGAATAATGAGACTCTTTATTTGCACTATTTAGGTATATCTGAATTATATTGATTAAGGATTTGATAAAATTGAAAATCTGGAACCTTATAAAAATTTAATAGCATTATGGTTGAATAACAATGCAATAGGTAAAATTGAGAATTTAGATGAACTCACTTAACTTGTAAGTCTATATTTAAATCATAACCTAATTCAAAAGATTGAAAATCTTTCATTTCTGTCTAATTTATGTATATTAAACTTGAGTCATAATTCAATTAAGAAAATTGAAAACTTGTAAGCATTAAATAAACTCTAAAATTTGAATATTTCAAATAATCATTTAACAGGTTATGAATCATTAGAAGGTTTATTAGAATGTTTATCAATTACTAATTTAGATTTATCTAATAATTTTATATCTTATTAATAGTCTATTGTAGAATTGTTTGGAAAAACAAATCTAGCTTGTTTATATTTAAAAGCTAATTCTTTTGGTATAATATTAAATAATAAATTTTAGCAAGAGAATGTTCAGATTATAGAAAGACAATGATAGTTACAATTAAAAATTTGAAATATCTTGATGATAAACCAGTTACTGAAGGAGAAAGAAAAATTAGTGAAGCCTGGTAAATTGGAGGTAAAGCAGCAGAATAATAAGAAAGACTTGCTCAAATCGAAAAAAGAAAAGAAATTAATTATCAAAACTATCTATAAACTTTAGAAAGACAATAGAGAGGAGAAATGAGAAGCAATTTATTGATTTAAAAAGAGAACGTATTAAGAGAAATTGACTTATTATAAATGTTATTAATTGATGGTGATGATGTTTAAAATTAAATTGAATAAAAAGAAAAGGAATTATAAAATATTGAAATAGAATTAGAGAAATATAAAATAGATTAATTGTCACCTTATAAATGTATGCTTACAACAAAGGACGAATTTGGAAATATCATAATTTTAAATAAATCAGAAGATGTAATAATTATGTTTTATAGAAAAGGAATTAAAATAAATTAAGCAAAAGTATTTTAATGAAGACATCCAATAACTAAATGAGACTGATTTACCAGATTTAGAAAATTAAAATTAAAGTGAGTCTATTAATGAAAATTTGGAAGATAACAATAATATTAATTTAGATTAATAAAATAATAAAAATGAATTTTAAGAAGATAAAAAGATAAAGATTTTAAGGGAATTTAAAGATAAGAAAAATGGATGGACTACAGATAATGAATAATTACTTTAAAATTTGTTGATCTTTCATTCATTTGACTATTAAATTGTTAGCAAGGAGGTTAAACAAAAAATGGAGGAATAAAATTCTTAATTATAATACTTAGATCCAGAAGATATTAAATTAATATGGACATATATTGAACTTACAAAATAAAAAAATCAAAAACCATAAAATCTAGATGGAATTGATTGATGAGATTTATTTTTATTATATTATTCAATGTTGTTAATATTAATTAATAATCTCATTTTTCAAATTATATTTATTAACATTATTATAAAGATATTATGTATTATAAATTTTCATTTAGGTGTTCTTAAATGGCCACCTAATTCTTAATTTGTTAGAAATGCCATTTAATGACACTAACATAAATAATGTTTTCCTTTTTGTGTTTTAATCAAGTAGTTTTATTTTTAAGTTTTTTCAACAGAAAGGATGACTTAATCATTAAGATCAGATTATTCATTTTATTTACATTTTTCCTTCTATTCTAATAATTATTCATAATAATAAAATATTTTTTAAGTTTATTCACGAAGTTCACTTTATGATAACTGTTTTAACTACTTAGTTTTTTTTATTCTTTTTAATTCCTTCTTGTACATACGTTTTAGATCTCTAACTGCTCCTAGTAACCCTTCTTGTGGAGTAATTTCATCATTTTGATAATTAGAGAAGACTTCTTCCTATTCGTATATCATTTAGATAATTAAATGGGATTATTAAAATTAATCAATCTTTTATAATTTCTTTGTAATTTTATTGAATAATTAGAAAATTTTTCTTAATTATTTTAGGCTGATTTAAATCAACAAAAAGTTGGATCAACCAGCTCATCCCCATTGTAATGGCCTAATCATATTATAGAAAATATAAAAATCAGCAAATTTTTTGAACCAAGTCATTTTTTTTCTTTTGAAAAAATTTAAAGAAAATTTGTAATTTCTTCACAAGTTTCTATCATTCTTTTTTATTGAACAAAATAGAAACATAAAAAAAGGTTTTTAAATTCATATTTTCATAAACAATTTATAATTCATAATATACGCTTCTTTTTCTCTCTCTTGTTCGAAGCTAAAAAATCTTTATCAAATGAATGAGTTTCTTCATCTAAAGTTTAAATGCCTTATTAACAAAGAGGCGGTTTTTAAGTTTTAAATTTTTTTTCTACAATAAATAACAAATGATTACATTCACCTATTCCTTTTCCCTTTAATTTATCAGTAGATTTATTTTTGCAGTTTTTATTAACTTCATCTTTAGAGGCAACTAGAAATTCTTCTTGTAAGAGATCTAAATCATTATCCAAATGTTATAACAACAACACTAGCTTGTAGATTTGTTAGATCTCTTTTTTTGTATTCTTTTGAACAATATTATTTTTATATTGTTTTTACGATATATTTCTTATCATTTAATTTAATGAAATTTAATGGTTTGAATAAAAAATTTAAAATAACCAAATAATATAAAAATCATTATAACTTTTATAATGCTATAAAATAATCAATATTTTGTCATTTTTCAGTCTATTTTTCACTTGAACTAGTACTAAAAACTATTATTCATTTCTAAAGTTCATAATTTTTCTTAAATTTTAAATAATAAAATAAATTTTGAAAAAATTAATCTTAAATAGATAATTAAAAATTTTATACATTTATTTTTTTTAAAGACATAAAAAGTATCACTTAGTAATTTAAATTCAATTATTTAAAATATTTTTATGATATTTTATTATATATTTAATTTATGCTAAATATTACTTAAATTATAATAGTTTAACTATTGATTTTGATATTAAGAAATTATGATTTAAATAGACAAGTTCAAGGATTTTATTGAATGAATTTAAATAAAATTTTACTTAAATAATTAAACTATATTATCAATTAATTTTAATATAGAAAATATAATTTATTGAAAAAATAATTCAAATTGCAAAAAATTTAATAAAAATTAAAATCATTCATATTATTACCTACATCAAAACCAAAATGATTTCCTAAAGGTAACATAAACATTTATATATAAACCTGAATAATTTTATAAATATATAAAAAACAGCATATATATAATATATGAATGGTTTCAATAGAATCACTTATTACCACTCTCAAAATATTGTTATTTTTCAATTTATTGGCTAAAATTTCTACTATGTTTAGATGATGAACTTGATGATTAATCAGTAGTAGAAGAAATCTTATTTTAACTTTGATTTGCATTAAATTCATACCCCTAAAATAGATCTTAATGATTTAGATAATTATACCTTGAGTAACTGGATCTTTTAAGACAAGAAGATTTTATTATATGAGTTCATTATTTTCTTCATCTTCTATGAGAATTTATTTTTAATCGAAATTATCTTCAGTCCTCTAATCTAATAATATCATATATACATTTGGTTAAAATGGAGGAATTAGTTCAAAGTTTTACAATTTTTGCCAAGGAAAATTAAAAAACCAAGGATGCTAACGGATTTCTTGACTTGAAATAAATCCTAATCGTTATTATGGTTTTCTTTATAAAAGCTGGAAAGGATTTGAATTAATAAAATACTCTATTGATAAAATCAGCACCTTCAATTGACCAATTTTCAGGTATTTCAGATTTTTTAATTTGAACTTATTTAGCCATAATTTAATCTCTAATTTCTTATCTTGACCTTCCTACATAGGGTCTCTTAATTATTTATATTATTAATACTCTGCCTAACATAAATTCGTATGCAATCACTCCTAAAGCATAATAATCTGCAGCATATGTATGATTTTATCTATACATGACTTCAGGTGCTGGATGATTATATCAATAAATACCCATATAACCAGGTGTACCACTTGTATCGCTAGAGTTTTCTGACTTCATCACCCTTGCAATCCCAAAATCAGTTAAATGAACATAGCCTTTATTATCCAAGACTAGATTTTCAGGTTTAATGTCTCTATGAATAATTTTGCTTTCATGAACATATTCTAGACTTAAAAAAATGCATGCTACAAAAAACCCTCAAAAAAGTATAGTAGATAATTCTTACTAGTTTATTCTTCATTAAATCTTCTCATCCTTCCAATATGATATCTAAGATCTCCTCCAGACATATAATCCATAATTAAATAAAGAGTTTCTCTATCTTAATAAGCATAATTCATATTAACTAAAAATGGATGCTTTAATTGGCTTAATAAAATTCTTTCATTCATAACTGAATTTACACTTTTTTTTGTGATAATTCTATATAAAGATGAATAAAAATACAAAGCCTTTGACATTTCTTTCATAGCATAAATTTGACCTGTCTTTTTATGTTCTACTTTCCAAACTTTTCCAAAACCTCCAATTCCTACAACAAAATGAAAATGAAAAGTATTTCTACAATACTAATTATTATTGAATAGTTCTTTCAATTAGTTAATTGATTATGTTTAAATTATTTGAACCTATTATTTTACAATTTATGGTTTTTATTTATTCTAAGTAATTTCTTTAGCTTTAGCAAATAATGCTTAAAATTATTGTGAACTTGAATTCTCATTATTTTATGTATCAAATGCTTCAATAGTAGGAGATTTATTGTGCTTAATTAATTTTGTTAAATTAGTAACATCGATCTAAGATCCTTTATGAGAATGTAATGGTTTTAGTAGATTTTATTCAGAATTTTATGGTGATACTTATGAACTGTTTGGAACATTTATAGGAGCTCTACAATTAAATAGTAATGAAGAAATGATTGGCTTTTTTATAGAACTTGGACTATTCACTTGGTTTGGTTTTCTCGAACCTTGAAGATTCAAGCTCATATAATTTTAATAAAAATTTTATAATCAAATTATAGAATTAATGGAAACAGTTAGATAATATGTGAGAATGATAAAAATACTTAGTAAAATTGTATTCTAATCAATTCATATATAAAATTGTATTAAATTTATTCAAAATTATTGTTACCATAATTGTACAAGTCTTTTTTATGTATTTCTATCTTAAATTTTATGGACCTTGTAATTCAAAGAAGTGTTGTCAGTATCATATTACCCAGGACCAGGTCTTGGTTATGGCATACTTATTGGATAGATTTATTTTCCAAAACGATCTCTATCATCTTCAATAAACATATAACTAGGATTATATTTCTATTATGTAAGTTCAGGTTCCAAGAATTCTTGAGTTTACTTTTTAGGTGAACATTTTTAAAGAGCTTTCTCAATTTCTTATCTTATAGTCAATATATTAAATGGTTAAGTTTCAGTCCATTCTTCTTTATTTGAAGTTGAAACTTTAATATCAAAAGATTTCCCTGCAATTTCTTGAGGAGGATCAAGTTTGACTTTACTTTTCTTTCTATAATGTTACATTTCAATGTAATAGGGTCTTTCTTTATAACTATACGATCTTTGTTCTCTTACAGGATTTACAGGTAAAAGTGATAAACCTGGATCAACTACTTGTTCTTCAGGCTTTATTTTGGGCATTATAGTAGTTCTAATAATTTTCTTATCAATTGGCATTCTATGTACTCTTTGGATATTTGTAATTTAATTATTAGGTTGAGGTTTTTAAATGTGATATCTGAAATTATCTTTCTTATGAGGAGCAAAGGTAGGACCTGCCAAATTTTTCTAACTAGATGAATCTGTTGAAGTTTCTAAATTTGAGAGATCACAAACAACATTAGTAAACATAGAACTAAATCCTTTTGTATGATTCATTGTTGTTCCTTTATTTTAAAGCAAAATCTTTTTCATAGTACTTTCATTTATGTAAATTTTTGAATTTGGTATTGATGAAAGGGGCATTTAGAACTCTGCCATTATAATAAATTTATTATACAATATAATAATAATTACTAATTTAATTATTCATCAGTTAGTTATTATCAATGTGATTTATAGTGTTAATTAATACTCTTCATTTATTCTTAATCATTTTATATCATTATGAGATTATACATTCTAATATTAAAATTAAAGAATAAAATCATATATTAGAATGTTTATTTTAAAGATTTAGTGAATATTTTATTATCTTTAATATAAATAATAAGATATTTGAATAAGACTGTGAGTTTATGTTTAAATATCTTAAAATATGGATTTCAGTTTAACAAACATTAAAATTAATTTATAATATGTAATTATTTTATGTTTAAACCTACAACTTACAGCGAATTATAAAAAAGAAAGAAAATGGTTATTGGAATGCATCTCATTGATCCCTCTGATAGATATCATTATTTTAACATAGTTGGTGGAAATAATTAAGTCAAATAGAAAACAAGTTCCATAAGTTAATAACATAAATATGAGAATTATACTCCTAGATAAATGATGACTTTACCTGTTACACCTAATAGTAAATGTCCTTCATTTTTCGAATAATCTTAATTATTAATCTCTAAATAAGTTAGCATAACACCAAGAATTAAATAAGTAAGATAGCAGACAAAACCAGTATTTATGTAATTAAAAACGCAAATAATGGATAAAAAAGGAAATGAATCATTCAAACTTAAAGAAACAATTAAAAGTCCAATTAAAAACAAGAAGAATGATTTAAAGAAAAAAATCTTATTAGAATTAGCTTAACCTTCAGACTTTGATGATTTTGTTGATTATGTATGTAATAAGAAATTAATATGAAAATTTATTTTTTGATATAATATTAGTTAGAATTTAAAACCATTTTTGATACTAATTAGTAGATCTAGTTTTAGTAAATATATAAATTAATAAAGCTAATTCAAAAAATTAATGAGTAAACAATATTCTATAAGGATTCTGGTTCAAGATTTAAAATAGTTCTTTAAATATTAAGGGGTTAGACTTTCATAATTTTAGAAGTGAAGGATTAATTTTCATCATTCAAAAGCATTAAAAATAATCGAAAATCAGAGACAAACCAAATCCTATCTATATAATATTAATTAAATCTTAAAAAATCATCCCAAAATAATCTATTTTATCTATCATATTCTAAACCTTATTTTAAAAATCTTAGTAAACATCTAGTTAATGTTGGATTCAATTACTATAATTTAATATTCATAGATTTAAGGATTTTATAATCAAAAAATAATTATTTTAAAATTACTTCTAATCTCTTACTCTCTTCTATTTTATGAATTGAAATTTGAAGCATCTTATTTGTAGTATATAATATTGTCATTTCACATAATAAAAGAAATTAAGAAAATAAATCTCTATCCATATTAATTGTCTTAATTCCAAAAATTAACTAAAATCCCTATAATACCTATTTACATTTTTGAGGTAATTCAGTTTATTATTTTTAAGGTTCAATTTTTTCAGTTAATGCAATTTTCTTAATCATAAATTAATCTTTGTTTTTTGTTTCTTATTTCAACTTATTTTATTCTTTTAGATATTATTTAATTTCTTTACTTCTTTTATTAGATGCTAATTATTAATATTTATTATCTGTATCCAATATTTCTGATTATTCCTTTGATGTTTGAATGACACTTTAATGAGAGAAAGTTCTTCCTCTTGTTATTTTTTATGGTTAAATTAATTCCATTATTGATAAATCAATTCTTGTTTCACTTAAAAATAATATACTTTTAAATTTGCTTTTATGTACCATATTAAAATCAACTCCAAAAACATAATTAAATTATTTATCTTTATTAATTCTTTCAGCAAATTCAAATAATACTTCATATATTTCTCTACTTGATGTATTTAATAAATCAATTTTTTTTGATTATTATGAAAATGTACAATAATGTTAAGTATGTGATTTGCTTGTTGATTAGATCAATTATTCTTATAAATATACTACAAATTATTTGATTTACATCTCATTTAAAAACTCTTTATATCTAAGAAATTGAAGATAATGAGGATTTTGAATAAGTTCACCTATAAACTCTTCATTATTCAAAATTAAAATGATAAATACTCCTCTTCCTTCACCTAATGGAGTTACGTCAGCATGAATTGAATATCTCTCAGTTGGTTTTCTTACATTGAATGAATTTGATCTTTCCTTTTATAAATATGGTAACATTAAATAGTAAATTAAATAATTTTATATTCAATATAGTTAACTTTTAGAATAAAAATGACACTTAAAATTAAATGTAAATATTAAATTTAAAGCTATTTAATTATTTAACAAAATAGCAAAAATACAAAAATCTTCAAATATAAATTCTCTATTACTTGTCTTTATTTTGCTTTATTAATTGTTATCAAATTTTAGTTATCTACTCTATGAACTATAAAACTTAAGGGAAAAGTATTAGCATTCCATTTTCATCTATAACAACAAAATATGACGAAATTAAATTTAGGATTGGAGGCTTTTAATAAATTCTAATATTTAATTTATAATGGGATAAGGATGCTGTTAAAAAATGAGTCATCTTCCAAGCATTGGCTAACAACCAGAAAAATTATATACTCAAACATATAATGAAGTACTCTATAAATTTAAGAAAGTCTTAATCTCAATTTATAACTCCCGATCAAACATAACCAAATGTCATTTCAGATGCAAAATTCTTATTCAATTTAAATAATGAAACCCTTAATCTAGATTTAGGCTTTGGAAGCAATGTTTTTTTTTATGAAGAACATCCTTAAATAGAGAATGAAATTGTATTGAGCACTTTATAAAAATAAGGTATATATAAGATGCCTAAAGAACCTAATCTTATTGATGTTGTTATCTATCCACCTATTGTAATATTATTATTTAAATTCAAGTAAGATAAGAACACCAAGATTATTTATGTTGGAGGTTGGAAAAATTATTAGAGAAATGGATATGGACTACAGTATTGGCCTAGTGGGGCTTTCTATGAAGGGGAATGGAAAGATGATAAGGCTAATGGGTAAGGAAGATTGATACATACAGATGGAGATATGTATGAAGGGGAATGGAAAGATGATAAAGCAAATGGAAAAGGAACCTTTTATTACTATGATGGGGCAAAGTATACTGGGGATTGGTTTGATGATTTACCTCATGGAGAAGGTAGAGAGGAATGGCCTGATGGAACTGTTTATGAAGGAAAATTTAGTTATGGAAAAAAAGTTGGAAAAGGTATATATCTATTTGCTGATGGTGGTTTATATGATGGGGAATTTTAGGATAATTAGATGTAAGGAAAGGGTGTCTATAAATGGCCAGATAAGAAAGTTTATGATGGATTCTGGATCTAAGGGAAAATGGAAGGTTAAGGTAGTCTAAAATGGCCTGATGGTAAAAAGTACGAAGGTATTAAAAACACAAGATTTATAAAGGACAGTTTGTTAATGGTAAAAGAGATGGAATTGGAACTTTGAATTTTCAAGATGGTAGGCAATATAATGGATATTGGAAAGATGGATTAATGCATGGTTTTGGAACATATAAAGACAAAACTGGGAGTAAATAAGGAGAATGGTATGAAGGGAGATTCAATCTGGAATCACTTAAACTTTGAATGAATATTTTTATAGTTATTAATTGGAAAATCGAAAGATATAATCAATGGGATATAAATGAATTTGATCTACTAAATTTATTAATCTCATCCGCTGCTTCAAATTATAAATGAATGATAGCTATCTGTATAGCATTTAATCCATCATTCTATGTTAAATACATATATTACATTTTTTATTGTAATCTCTGCTCCTTGGCGAAGTAGGAACTAAATAATTTCAAATGCTCCTGTTCTTGCTGCTTATATTAAAAATGTATTCCCTTTGAAATCTTAAGTATTTATATTGATATTCTAATCATGATTCAGTAAGTCTTTTAAGTCTTGCAATCGATGATCTTCTATTAGGGAGAACGCTCTTTCTATATTAGATTTATCATTTTGTTGGCTTTCTTGTAATAACATACTTCTGAAAAGCAAAGAAGAGGGATCCATTGATTATTAAGTAATTAAACTGGATTTGATTGAAATTAGTCCTTGAGAGGATTTGGATTTAGTTTATTATTCTGATTTGGATTTAGTTTATTATTCAGATTCTTTTTGTAAGGTTTTAATTATTTCAGAAGTCTAAAAACATTAAATATTGGGATTAGAATTTGTGTTTGCATGTAACAATCCTTAAAAATTCCTAGAACTTGTATACATGATGTTTTATGATGATAATGCAAATTTCTAATTTCCTAATAAATTTTTTGATTTCTAATTCTTTTTTAACATCATTCCTTTAGCAAATACTGGATTTATCTCCTTTGCAATTAACTTTGATTCATTCTGAAATAAAATAAATATAATACAGATCCTATTGGAGAAGTGAGTCTGCTTCTTGAAATTTAAGGAATGTTTAAATTACTAATTTATCTATCATTTAATTTAGCTGAATCTAATTCATTTTATGTTTTGCATAATTCAATATAAATCTTTTCCATTGCAGTAACTTAATGGTTTCTTTATTCTTCAAATTATCCTATTAAGATTTAGTTGTAAGTTTTTGAATATTCAGTTTATAAATTTGTTAAGTCTACTTTTAATAATTATGTATGCAAATCATTAAGAATCTATAACTCTCTATTTAATAATAGATAATATACAATTGTTTTCTGAATCATCCTCATTTTGGATGACTAAATTTATAATATTTGGGAATCTCATAAGCTCTTCATGCAAAAACTAATTTTTGGTTTCATCATCCATTATATTGACAATAACTCTTAATTTTTATTATTTTAAATCATCTAGAGACATTAAATTTAAAACTTAATAGATGTAATTGATTTTAAATTAAGTTTGTATTTCTACATCACTTATATCTAATTAGGAATTATTTAGACTCAAAATACTGTTATCACTTAGATGTCCTTGATAATTTTATACAACAGTATAAAACAGAGTCTCGACTTTATATTACTTCTTGTATTATGATTTCTTAAATTGAAAAATTATATAGATACATGAAATTTAACAATTTATAAAGTATGTTTGTTTAAGACATCTTGGAATGTTTCAGAATAATAGTTTGTATTTAAGAATCTTTATTTTGAGATATTTTATATTTCCTCTTTATCTTATTAAGGTTCATATTAGATTTCCAAACATTTTTAAGCATGATTTTGTAAGTAATATCTTGTAAATTGTGAAGCTTTAAAAGAATTGAAATTTTCAATGTTATCATTATCCTTTAATGTTTGAATGACTTTGTCTCCAAATTTTTTGACTAATTTCAAAGCAAATTTGCTATATAAATAAATTTAAAATATATACTTTTGTAACATTGATTTACTGACCAAAGAATAAATATTTGATTGTTTATTTTCTTTTATATCTGTCTATTAATTATAGTTTTACTAAATTTCATCTATATAATCTGGCATTTGAAATTCTATCTATTTTTCATTTTCTTAAAAAGCAACAGTTACTTTAATATTTTTTTTTTAAACTTGTTAAATGATTAATTATTTATCAAATTTATTATTTTCTATTTTGTCTTCTTTCTTTTCTTTTAATGCATCAATAATTGTTGTAATAGGTAGATTAGTTTCAGTATCTTAGATACTATAATTGGAATTAATTTTAGTTTATTTTTTGGTTATAGTACTTAACTTAAAATTAAATTTAGATTCAATAGCTTTTGGTGTTCTTTCATCTGGCATATTGCTTAATGTTTTTTAAAATTATGAATCTATAAAATGTTCCTTTTTCTTTTTAATTTCCAATTCTAATAATTTCTATTTATCTCTGTGTGTATGTAACATTTGTCTTAATTTTCTTATCAAATAACAACTCTTTTCATTTAAGGATTCTATCTCTGTTATATGTTATTTAATCTATGTTCTTTAGATTTTGTGATATACTCTAGGTATTTTTGAGAATTCATAGTTTTCTCCCAATATCTCAACAAGATCAAGTTATGGCTTAATTAAATGAGTGATATTTTCATTTCTACTTGATGTCAAAGATATTTACTGAATTTCAACAGCATGCTCTATTAATGTAGGAATTTTGACTGCTTGTTAATTATTTGGTTATAAATTTAATTGTTGAATATCTTCAAACTGTCGATTAGGAGAATCTAATTTAGATACATATGCATTTTTAGAAATAACAAGAGTCTCTGTTTTGTTTCTTTAATGTGAATGGATAATGCGAAAGTCTCCTGAATTTCCACTTGCCTTCCTTCTTTTAACTGTTGCTGTTTTTGGAGTATCATAAGTTTCTGTATTCATAACATTAGTTAAAAGTGGAAGTTTTCTAGTTGAGTCTAAAAGGATACGATGTGTACGTTTAGAGTAAACTAAATATGTATTTCCATTAGAAACTGTAGAGTTTGTATTTTTATTATGTTTGCTGAGAGCAGATGTTGTTAGAGAAGTCACATTAGAAACTATTTAACTTCCTGTTAAATTTGTGAAAAAATTGTTAACTTTGGATTATTTCATTAATTTTAAGAAATACTTACATAAAATTGAATCATAAAATCACTTTCTAAGGTGTCACTAATTTTAATTAAATTTCTCTTATACAAACCTAATTTCTCTTTGTTTAATTTAGGTATTTAAATTGAAACATTATATTTTACAAATTTGAAATATGTATTTGAAATTTAGAAAGCATCTATAAAATAGAATTGATATTAGTTAGTATTATTAGAAATGATTGTTTAATATAATACGTATTTTTTCAATATTATAAATTGTCAACCCAAATTCAGATAAAGAGTAATTAAATAATCAAACAATTCACTTGAAAATATGGGAAATATTGAAATGAAAGAAGAGGCAATTACTACTTAATAAGAATGTTATCAATGTAAAGGAATTGGATATGTCACACCTAAATTTTATAGAAAATATTTAGATCAAGATTTATCACCAACTCAAAAAAGAGAAAGAGATTATTGTTTAGATTGTTTAGGAAAGGGACATTTAACACTAGAACACTATGACGATAAAAATTTTACTTTATGATAATACATATGATTATATATATAAAACCATTAATAAACTAAAGATTTACAAGATTTAATATTCAGTATTAATTATTGAGTTATAATGAAAATTAATAACTATATTATAATAAAAAACTATGTCCATATTGAAATACCATTTAGTTATATGAGTAAATAATTATAATATTATTCATTGATTATGAATTATAGAAACAAAAAGAACTGTTAAACAATTTAAAATAATTGATATATTATAATAATATAAATTCTAATATATATGATTGCTATATTCTTTATACTGATACCTATATCAAAGACTTAGAAATGTTCATGTAATGAAATCTATTTTGAGGATTTATGTAGAGAAGCCAGAGGATGTGCATATGATGATAGAACTGGAATTTGTGAAGAAATTTAATGTATTGAAAGACCAATCGATGATTGCTTTTATTTTGCAGGAACAATCAGATGTTATTGGGATTAAAATGTGGGATTTTGTAAGGAACTAGAAAGTTGTGAAGAGTTTTAAGAATTAGCAGAAAAAGATTCATATAAAGAATAATGTTTAGAAATAAATTGTTCTTGGGATTATTAAGATTAAATATGTTTATCAAATTCTTAATAAAAATTGTGTTCATAATATGATTTTTAATATTGTTAAGGTGCTTAATAAACAGTGAATTTAATAACTAGTAAATGTATATTGAATGGAGAATTGGGTGATACTTGTATTGCATTTCTCAATTGTGAGGATATTACATATAAAGAATCTTGTGACCTTGATTTTTGCAAATATGAAGATGGATAATGTAAAACTAAGGAATGTAATGATTATACAATTACAACTTGTCCTAATTATAATAGAATAAGTGATAAATAATGTTATCCAACAATTGATTCTGGATGTTAAGAATTTATATGTGAAAATTTTACTGAAATATCTGAGTGTTAAAATCATCCAAGATGTTTTTGGAGTGAAGATTTAAACTAATGTTATTAATAAGTATGTGATAAAGCAACTTATGCTACTTAATGTTTAAGTTTTAGTTATGTAGTTGAAAATGCTGAATGCAAATGGGAAAACGATAATTGTTATTCTTGTTATTCAATTATCTTGTATCATTTGTTATTCACTTATTTATCATATTGATCATATATTATGATTATTATTATCTAATAAATATATCATAATATTATTAATCAAATCAAGAAGTTACTCTTGCTACTAAGGAAATCTCGAATTTGTATCGTAAATCTTAGATCACTTGGCTAAGCAATTTAATATTCTTTCAATTACTTCATTATTGATAAATTCAACTTCAGAATCACAATCTATTGTAAGTGCTTTCATTCCTCCTATTACTAAACCTTAAACAAAGCTTGCCCAAAGGGATAAATACTCATCTTATTAACTAAATAATATGATATATTACATTTTATCATTTAATCTAATTCTCCTTGTCATCTAAAAACCAAGCTTTGTAATTGTGTTATTTCCTTTCTTCTATTCCTCATACCTATCTTCAATATCATAATGTGAACCAGCTTTATTTATTTAAACTTTAGAAACTGGTTGTCCAAACATATATGACCAAAAGTCTTTACCAAAGAATTTAACATAATCTGTATATTTTCCTTAATCTGGATTAAGACGAATTTTTTCAAATTGTGTTGATGCTAATGATTCCATTACATTTTATCCTAATTTCTTGCCCATCTCAATCAATCTAATTTGTTTCTCATTTTTGTCTACATCAATTATTCATAATACTAATTTTTGTATTCTGCTATAGAGTAAACATATATGTGCTTAATAAATGATATACAATTGGATATTCAATTGTAGATTGACGTTTATATTAATTAGATTTTGGTAATTAGATTTTTTGAGTTGGTGATTAATCCATATTTATATGTAGTTATATATATATATATATATAGTATTTTTTTATATAAAATATTTTATAAATTAAGGGATTTATTATCAACCCAGAAATTCAATTACTCATAATTTAGATTTGAATATTATTTTAGATTCCATTGATTCATTTCATTAATAATAATTTCAACCACAAAAACTTATGTCAAAGATATATTCTATGATGTCAAGAATAAATGCTAATAAAATAATTATCTTTATAATTTTTGAAATATACATATGCTAATTTTGAGTTTTAATCTAGATAAGAAATAATTTGATCTATAGATTATAATTTTTTAATTCGTTTGTATATTTTAATTTTCTTATGTGGACTTCTGATTTTTCAAATAAACTCATGCTTATTCTATGAATACTATTAATTTGAATATCAACAAATTTTGATCTTAAAAAGTCTTTATTAATTTAAATTAGGTAATTTTACTACCTTCTTTGGGATTTAGATTCTCTTTTAGATATTTTTAGCTTCAAAAATGTTGTTTTACCTTAACATAATTATTAATAGGAATAATGTAGTAAAACATTTTTTAATACTATTTAAAGGAAAATAATTTATCTACTTGATTTCATGTTATTTATTAAAGTATAAATTGACAATGGAATTTCTATATAATTCATTTAAGGATAAATCAATTTTTATGGTTTATATACCTATAAAGATAGTAGAGATTTTGATTTAAAAATATTAAATGATTGTTAATATCTATTAAGTAGTTATCTGTATAAAATTAGATTTTATTTGTTTAATTTTCATTGTTAATCTGTTATAAATAAAATATTATTTGAATTTTGTATTTGTATATTAAGATGAATATAGTATGAATAACATATTATTTATTTTATTGTTTATCAAATTATCTTCAAATAGAAAAGTAATTCTAATTCTTTACTTTCAAATAAACAACAATAAAATTAAATTAAATTTCAAGATGCTTATATTCTTTGTATTTGCATGCTTAGTTTCAGCTTAGACCAAGCTAAAAGTAACTGGAACCGTCATGGATTCGTAGGGTATCAATATTGCAGGAGTTCACATTACATTATTGTAAGAATTTTGAATTTAGCAATAGTCAGCAACAATAAACTATCGTAAGTGGTTAAACGAAAGATGATGGTAAGTATGAGCTAGTAGCATAAATAAACCAAATTAGTAATCTATTTGTCGAAGCTTCCTTATATGGAAATATACAAGCTCCTTAGCGTTATGCAGCAAATCCTGACTCTAATGGCAATGTAGTCTAAGATTTTATACTCACTGTGGATGATGTGACAGTAAATGGACCTGCTGTTTTAGCTAAAATCAATGGATAATACTTTAATAAAAATGCTCCATTGAATGGAGGATCATCTTATGCACCTTTAGAGGGTGTTAAAATAGATTATACTATTGAATACATTCTAAATGGAAAGCAATCATATGATTTTACTAGTATTACAAATGCTTAAGGATTTTCAAAATTATTTACAGCTTATCCCAAATCTGCTGCCATATTGAAATTTTTAGCATAAAGTGAGAACTTCTGGAATTTTAGATAAACAAAAGATAATGATGAGAATTACATATTGATTGTGTAAAAATAATTGTATATTATCTAATAGAACAAATTAATATAAAGTGAATTATCAAGTCATAATGGAAGAAGGAGTATTCACTCAAACAGTATTAGGTACAGTGGTAGATAAAAATTCTAAAAAACCTTTGAAAGATGCCAAAGTTGAAGTTACATTTAGCTCAGAATCTAAAGGGTATTAATTATTTCTTATTAATATAGAAAATTAAGTAGTTAAAGTTTATTAACTAAAGAGGATGGTAAAATAGAAATTTAATATATAAGTAAACTTTGGTATAAATTTACAATTAAAATATCAATTGTTAAAGAATATTATGCTTTATATGAATAATAAAAAACTATTTAAATGGATCATGATGATAGAACTAAAAATTAAGATATTTTTTAATTAGGTATGATAGAAATGCCAGTTTAACCATCAGTAACATTATTTGGAGTTGTTTTAGATCCTCATTAAAAAGAAAAAGATCCAAATTTAAAACCAGTCATAAATCTACCATTATAAGTTATAGCAAAATTTGAAAATTTAATTGAAAAATTTGAAACTCAAACAGATTCTAATGGTTAATGGAGTAAAGAACATTTATTATTATAACCTTCAGCTAAATATGATTTGGAAATTACTTATACAAATAGTTAAAAGGAAAAACTTACTGATAAATTTTAATTTTAAACAACACTTGAACCAATCTAAAAGATTAAAATTGATAATTTGTATTATTAAGATGTTGTAAATGCTGTATTAACAGGTAAATTTTCAGAAGCACCTGAAAAAATATAGTTCAAGATTCCATATAAGATTATTTGTGATACTATTGATACTAAATTAAATTTACCAAAAGAAATTCTTGGCTAAACTAATGGAGATGAAATTATTGATAAGACTTGGAGTGTAGAAGCAAGAGGAGATAAAGATATTATGTGTTCTATTTAATAATAAGATAATACTTAATTCATTCAACCCTTCACAAAATAATTTACATTATAAAAGGGAATTTGGAAGACTGATCTAAAGTAAATTGATATTAAATACAATTTATTTGAAATTGTTATTGCTGGAACTGTATTAGATAAAACTTAATTAATTCCTTTTATAAGTGGTGCTAATATGAACTTTATTGTTTATTAGAAAGATAGTATACAGAATTCTCTTTAAAGAGAATTTAATATAAAATCTGATGATAAAGGATTATTTTAAATAAAATTTTAAATAGGCAAAGGAGAAAAATAGATTGTAAAATTAACAGTTTCTCATCCTGATTTTATAGATTATAAGAAAGAAGAGTTTCTAATTTTAAATGGAAATGGTCCTTAAACTATTAATTCTAATAGTATATCTTTAGATCGTATTGAATTTACTGACATTATATTACATTATAAAATTGACACATTAGAATAACCAGCCACATTAAAATTGAATTCATGTAGTCCTTTTATGGAAGTTGATAAATTGTATATTCCAAAATATGAATCTAATGAGTAAATATTTATATTTAAAATTTTAGTGGATCTTTTAAACTTCAATTTGCATGCTATTAAAATGTAATCTATAAAGCAACTTTAGAAATAACCATAAAGTCCTTCTCTGCATAAACATTTTAATCACATTAATTCACATGTATCAAACCTACAAAAGAGAAACCAGAAATTGAACTTACTTCTGATTCTCTTTTCATAAAAGGGAATATAATTGTCAAATTCCTTGATGTTAATAATCATCCTATCAAAGGATAATAAGCTACCTTTCGTACTGAACCCATTTCCTAAGTCTTGACTCAATCTTCTGATGATTAAGGAATCATTAAATTCATTGATACTAAATTATTCAAAAATTAATAGTATACAGGTTTTCTTGGTTATGGATCAATTAATGAATAAATCAAGTTTTATCCAAAATAAGATAACTTTGAAGAACATTTTTAAGATTAATATATTGGAGGAGAAGTATAATATAAAATAAATGGAAAAGTGAAATTATGTAGAGGATAATTAATCAATCCTCTTTAAATTAATGTAAAATGCTCTAAATATCCTGAATAAATTGGAAAAACAGATCTTCAGGGTTAATTTTCAGTTAGTATATAAGCAGTAGGTACTTTTAATGATATTGTTTAATGTACTACTAAAATATCAGGTGATGCTGATTATTCATTTGATTCAACATTCACTAAAGGATCTTACTCTGTATATTAAGAGGTACCAATTTGTCTCAAAGATGTTAAATTAAATCTAAAAGGTAAATTCATAGATCCAATAAACTAACCTAAAACTAATTTATAATTAACTTTAAATATAATATTTTAAGAAGATCAAAAAAATATGCCAAATTTACCATCCCTTAAAACAGATGTTCATGGTTAATGGGAATTAAAAGATTAAATTGTTAAAGCTAATGGAAAATATAAATTCATTATTAAATATAAAAATGGAGCTGGAGATGAAAAAACTATTGAAAAAGATTACTAAACTTCTGTTTTTACTGTAAAATCTGTAGATGATTATGAATTCCCCAATGCATTCTATTAAGATTTTGAATAATGTCATTTTTTTGGTAAGGCTAATGATTCTAAAAATAAAAATATTATACCTTCCACTTTTCCAATTGTATTAACATGTGATTAAACTATTTCAAAAGATAAAAAACCTATTAAATAAATAGGAAAGATTGGATTCGATTTACAATATGATTTAAAATTTGATGGATTAGTTGAATATGATTAACCAATCTAATGTTAATTGAAATCAGAAAATGAAGCCAAAGCTAAATTTAATCAAAATTTATAATTACAAGGACCAAAATGGGAAATTAAATAAGATCTAATAGTTTAATATATAACATGGTTAATAACTTTGAAAGGTTAAGTAATAGATCCATTAAAAATCAATACAAATTTAAAAGATGCAATTATTACCATTATTGTACATTAACAAGAAACTAATAAAATACAATAAAAATTAAGAGGAAGATTTCATTTAGATATTCAGTAAACACAATTAGAATCTGTTAATTCAAAAGATTAAGGTTAATATTAAATTGAATTTTAAACTTTCAATTAAGAAGCTTTAAGTATTGATATTACTGCTAAACTAACTGATTTTAATGATTTCAAATAATAAAATGCATTAAGTATAGCAGGTACTAAAAATGAGGATTTGGTGTTTAATATCAATTTACAAAGAATTGAAATACCTGCTATTTTAAGTTCAAATGTGGATGAAATAGGAAGCATTCAATTAAAAACTAGTAATCCATTAATGTAAGAAGATAAGGATAAGAAATTCTATGGAACTAGTGTAACTCTTTAGAAGGGAAAGTATATATTTATTAATTATATTTAGACCATTCTAATTTAATTTTAAATGCTATTAGAATGTTGAGTATGTAGCAACTTTTATATTAACAAATGAGCATCAATAATCTATAGAGTATATATCAGATCCCTTCAAATGTAAAATGGCCCCTGAATTGACTGTAATCAAAATTAAATCTGCAAATGATAAATACGTATTAAAAGTAAATAATACTAATATAATTAGATAAGTGGTATAATAAAAGATAAAGAAAAATTATTTGATGGTATTGTTTAAGGGGCAAATGTAATAATTAATTTGAAAAAAAATGATAAGTTGGTTAAATCAATAGAAACTACTTCAAATAATAAGGGTGAATATTAAGGTTCATTTGAAGTTAATACTGATACTTATCAATATGAAATTAAAGTCACTCATCCTTAATTTAAAGATGGAAATATTTCAGATAAAATTGTCTTTTCAAAAAATGAAATTGTGAATAGAGATATAATATTAGAAAGATAAACAAATTCATAAAAAATTACTATTAATTTATAAGATTCAAAGAAAAAACCTATTAAAAATTCTGAAGTAGGAGCATCAGATTTTAAACCAAAATCAAATGATAAAAAAATTGTGAAGGCTGATGAAACAGGTAAGGTAACTATAGAAGTGAGTTGTTTCAAAGATGTTCAAGAAAGTTTTAAATTAGAAATAAGAGTTGAAGATTTAAAAGAAACAATTGAATAGACTATAAATTGTGATGGAAAAAGTTAAGATCATTCAATAGTTACTTAATTGTAATATATTAATATAAATGGGAATGTGATCGATCCCTATTGTAAAGGAAAGAGAGATCTTAAATTAAATCTTGATACTATTCCAGAGACATAGAAATTAAAGGTAACAACAGATAAAAAAGGTGATTGGGAAGGTGAATTACTTGTTAAATTAAATTAAGAATATAATGTAAATGTTAATTATAATGATTGGGATGGATAATTGTAAAGTTTGAAAGAGAAATATGTTATTAAAAGTGATTAAACTAATTTAGATTTTAAAAAGATTTATTATTCTGATTCAGTTGAGAGTTCAGTTGAAGGTGAAGTTGTTTCAAGTGTTTATCATGTTTCCTTAAAGTTTCATAAAATATCATTGTGGTTTGATAATAAGGAGGTTAAGGAAAGTGAGATAGACTAATTTAGTGAATATGAGATGAAATTTAAAGTTGTTGCTTAATGTAATAAGGAGTATGAATATCAAATCTTAATTAAAGAAACTTAACATTTTGAGAGAAAGTTGGTAAATTTAATTATTAAGCCACCTAAATATGATTATAAAGTTGATATTGTTGTTGAAGAAACTAAAGCATATGTTAATGAAATAAAGAATTTCTTTTCAAAATTTATGATTAGTGGATACTTAGAATCAGATTATAATTGTAAAGACAAGTTGTTTAGAGCAGTATAACATGCTTAAGTTAAGATTGTAAAGAAGTAGGAGTCTGGTGATAAGGTGAAAGCTGCTACTCATACTAGAGACGATGGCAAATTTTAATTATATTTCTTTTTATCTAAATCGTAATTATATTTATTAAACATATTATTAGATAAGTGAAAAATAATATATTTGTATGGTTACATTTTGAAAAAGAAGGATTTACAACTCCATATCCCCTTTTAATCATACCATCATAATATGAAAAATTTTAAATGGATGACGAAACGATTACACATATAGATATAGGTTATTAATCCATATCTCCCATTCATGATATGGGTTGTCCAGAAGATATACCAAAGATATCAAATAATGAGTAATAAACTATTTTGATTGATTACATTAAGATGGGAAAGAAATAACTCAAAGGTAACAACAACTGATTTATATATCTATATATTATTATTAAAAATGAATTAGAAATAGGAGAAGAAAATAGATAATATCACTCTCTAATGTAATAATTGTTCTGAAAATAGAACTCAGAAGTATGGTTGAAGATGGTGCTGGAGAATCACTTGCAGCTAGTTTGAATTTAGATTAAGAAGATCTTATAAGTAAAAAATGTTGATTGAGTTTTTAAGTTTGGCCTTTGGAGTAGGTACAAAGAAACTTCAAAGACTTTATGAGATCAACTTCATAGATTGATATTGAAATGGACAATGCAAAGGAAAGAATAGACTTTCCTGCTGATATGGAATGGCCAACTGAAGATGATTTGGAATAGATGTTTCAAAAATCTATGAGCAAGTAAAAGTCATTTTAATTATTATTCAGAATTCAAGGCCGTCAAAATAAAAAGAAATGGAAAGACAATGAGAAATAATTTTTAACATGGATTATAATTAGATATTGTCTATGGAAAAATAAAGTTTGTAAAGAGCTAGTATATCATTATTTATATTTAGAATGATTTAGATTGGAGATACATTGCTTAATTGATAGTTGGAAGGAATGCAACTCAATGTAAATATAAGTGGTTGGCTCGATCTAAATTTAAGCTTGTTTAAGTACCTTGGAGTAAAGAAGAAGATGAAGCATTGGCATCAATTTATATGGAATATTAAAAACAAGGAAAACATAGTAAATGGAGTGAAATTGCTAAAGAAATTGCTTTAAGATGCAAAACATAAATTGTCAGATAAGGTAAATAATGTAGAGAAAGATGGATTAATAAATTAGATCCACAAATATCAAAGTAAATTATAATACTTATATATTTAGAGGACCATGGACTAAAGAAGAAGAATTGACTTTATTATAATTAATTTTAAAGAAAGGCAAAAAATGGTCAGAGATTTCAAAAATAATGAAAAATACACGAACTGAGAATTCCTTAAAAAACAGATATCATACTATTATGAAAAAAGAAAGAAATAAATAACCAGAAGTCAAAGAAGAAATTCAATAAGAAATTGTAGATCTATTATAATAACATAATCATAACTATTAAGCTGATAATTTAGTTCATTTATATGAAGATATTGATCCAAAAGAATTAAAAATAATACTTTAAGTTATTGATAGATTAAGTGAGAGTACTGGTAAATAGATTAGAGTAAGTACATTAATTACTGATTAATAAATGTAATAAGAATAATTATATGAAAAATAATAAAAAGTCAAGTAAGAAAGTTAAATAGATTAAATTCAATAAAAAAATGAAGAGGCAAATAATAAATAAAGATTTCTTGATACTATGGAAAAAATCAAAATTGATTTAGATCAATAAATTAAGAAAGTAGTGAATAAATAGGAATTAGATTAAAATTGCACAATAAATCTTCTTAAATAAATTCTAAAACCATAAGGTATTAAACAATATTAATTTATTTAGAGAATGAAACAAATTAATTGTAATTTGATTAATATTATGATTAAATGATCCTCAATTTTTAAGCAAATTAAGTAGAATTTGAAGTTGAAGCCATTACAAATTTAACAGCTTAAGATGTTGAAGATTGTTAATTTGGAATTGTAGATTTTGAATAATCTAACATTTTTATGATTCCTTAATAGTATTTGTAAGAGGTTATAAATAAAGTTCATGGTTCTTCAACATAAGCTTAAGTATAATAGCAATAATAATTAATGCAACATTAATAATAATAATAACAATAATAATAATAATAATAATAAATGTAATAATCATAAATATAGTAATAATAATAATAATAATAATAACAATAAAGATTAACTATTTCATCATCACTTAGGTAATCCATTCCTTAATCATAATAAGCTTAACCTCTTTAAACATCTTAATTATTTTTAGGAGATCAATTTAATCTTGTCAATAGTCAATATGATTTTGAAAATCAATAATAATACTAATAACAAATACCTGTATAAATTCTCTACCCGTAGATTATTTATTAACCTATAGGCTAATCTATAAATCTATCGTAAGGTCTATAGTAAAATTATTGGATGTAGCAATCTTATTTTTAGCCTTAATATTACATGAAGGCATAAGATTAGTAATTTAACAAATCAAATCTAGAAGAACCTAAATGAAATTTAATTAATTTTTATATATATATATATACATGTAGAATTAGGATAAATAAAAAGTTATTGAAACAGGTACAAGTAAAGTGGCAGCAAGATTTCCATTTACGTATAATATACTATTCAAAAAAAAGAGTATTTTTAGAAGAAGGTATTGAATACTATTATTGTACATGTGGTCTTGGATCTACTTAACCATTTTGTGATGGTTAATGTGAGGGAACAGGATTTGAGCCTGTCAAAATAATTCCAAAAAGAAGTGGAAAGTAAGTATAGATTACTCAATTAATTAAGTGCTTTACTTTGTGGGTGTAAGAGATAATATGATCCAAAAAATCCGAATTGTGATGGAAGTCATTCAGTTGTTAATTTAGATTGGTGAATATGATGATGAATAGCTTATCAACAAATTTTTCATTCTGAATAGAATCTAAATTCTTAAATATTCAGTTTCAAATATTTGATGTCCATCATAGTTTTTTATGATTCATAATATTATGAATTTCAATGAAAAAGTATATTCAAAAAAGAAATAACTCTAAATGGATATCTAAATAATAATTCTTAAAATATTTCATTTTATTTTATTAAGCCAACAATCTAATAATAATAGTTAATATTAAAAGTGTAATATAGTTTTATAGATTTCCAATATTTTTTTGTTTTAGTTTAGACTTAATCATTGTATTTTATACTCAAAATATTAATTAACAGTTAATGAGCAACAAATAATAATAAGCTAAAGATTATCTCACAGCATGTTTTCAATGTAAAGGTTTTGAACCATTCTTTGTTGTTACAAAAACATCTCTTTTGCGTATATTAGATAATATGGCATAAAAATAATTTGATAGAGAATTGGCAGATGAGTTATTTGAACGTTGTCCAACAAATTATAAAGGCTTTGTCAAAATTGAAGATTTCATAGAAATTGTTATTTAGGCTGATATAGTATTGAATGAAAAAATCAACAAAGCTAATGAATTTATAGTGAAGCAAACAGAAGAATTGACAAAATTAACTAATAAGAATAGATCTTAAATTTTATAGATTCGAGTAATTGGAGCTAAGAATCTCCATTAAGGATTGATTAATGCCACTAACAAACCATATGTTGTTGTACATTTCAATTAAGAGAAAAAAAGTTCTCGTTTAGCACATAATGATATTCTTAATCCAATATGGGATGAGACCTTTATTTTGTAAAAATCCTTTAATATATTTATAGTCCCATTAAGTCTGGAAATGAATAAACTTATATATCAATATTAACTTTGGATGGCACAAATAATAGAAGTAATTTAATAGGAGAGGTTCATTTTGGATTGAGAGAATTAGAAGATTAAATGAAACATAATCAATGGTTTAATATATATGATCGTCATGGTTCAATGAGTAGTGGAAGTTTACAATTAGAATTATAATTATTACTTGATGAAGTATATAATGTTAAAGATTATAAATTAGTAAATGTTTTATGAATAGGCTCAACAAGTTATGTAGCAATAAATATTAAATCAACAAGATGAAAAAGATTAATATGAGAATGATTTGAAAAATCTTTATACTCCTTTTTAGAATGGATTATTACAACCAAAAAGACTAATTGTTCCTGATGCTCCTCAATTAATGTTTGTTCATGAATTCTCTAAACCAATAATCTATTAGGGTGATAAGAAAGTAGATTTGACAGTTTATAAAACTCCTTAATTAAGTGATAGTAGAGTTTTATAAATATTGAATCAACCTCCTGAAAGTGTAACAACAGTACATCCAGAAATTGATTATCCAGCAAGACATGATTTAAAGTAAAAAGCCAATTATGGATATGATCATGTTACTAAAGATATGAAATTAACAGCCATTTTAATCATATTATATGTGGTTAGTAGTATATATTTATGTTGGGTTAAAACTGATTTTGTTAATATTACTATAGCTTTATGTACTTCATTGATTGTTGGTCTTAATTATTTTGAGAAGAATCATTTAAATATATTTGCAATTCTAATAATTTTAACATTGTTATTTGATGTTTCTTGGTTGGCAGCATATTCAGGAGTATAAAAATTATAATTTATTAATTAATAGGTTTGGTGGAATCAAAATAAATCAGAGAATCCTTAATAAGAATCTGAACTTATAACATCATAGAGAATAACAATTCTTGTTAGTTACTTTGTAATTGTTTTGAAGATCACATTATCATGTTAATTATGGAATTTGAAAAAGAATATAGAACCATTAAATAATCATAAATAATTTGGAATTGGAACACATTTATATTAAGCGAATGGAGGACACATAAATCCATTTATTTAATGAAAATATATATTTTTGTTATTATCAATAACCATCGTTTCTAGTGATTACATTTTTATCTAAATATGGATAGACTGTTCTTATTATATTTAAAGATATTTTATGATCACATTATCCATATGATTAAGAATATCCATAGATTTCTAAACTTTATTAAATATTTGAATGTTTAAGTCTGCCTCCTCCAACACACATAAATTTGAACTTATGTCCATTTAATTCAGCTTTGATTGTTCCTTTTTCTAAATCAAATTTAAATTCTGACCATTTTAAGTTATTTTTAGCTTCATTACAAAAGTGTTCAAAGTTTTATGCATGATATTCATATTATTTGAGACCTCTAACAAAATAAAATTCTTTATTGTTGTTTCCTTCCAATAAAATAAGTATATATTTAAATGTCCCTTCATTATCAATATTCACTTAACTTATATTTTTAGTGATCTAAATAAAAGTCTCTTCTTCAGACTATTAAGTTTGAATCATAAATATAAATATAAATATTAATATCATAATAAATATTTATTTTCAATCAGAAATCATAATTTTTCTCTTCATTTTTCTACGATTAACAAATATACGGATAGGATTTTTCTTATTTTTTTGCATAAATTTTTCATAGGATTAATTAACTCTTTCAAGTATATTATCTATATTAAATTGAGGAAAGTAATATTTATAAGATTACATAACTTCAAACTCCAAATCAGGATTATAGGTTGTAACTTTAGAATGAGTAGTAACTAATGACTTCTCTTTCTCTTTTTGATGTATATTTAATTTCTCTAAAATTTCATCAATATATTCTTTGAAATCATCTTCTTTTTCTTTTCTTTTAAAATTGTGATCCACAATCAAGGATTGTTTCTTTAAATTTTTTCTGGCAAAGGTTGATTGTTAAAGTTACTCACGTTATTAATCAATCTATTTACAGATCAATTAAAATCTAGAACTATTTGTAGGAGATTTCATAATAGAATTTACATTTCCTTTAATATCTTCTTAAATGGATCTACTAGAACTAAAATTAGAGGATTCTAAATCTTATATATTTACTCTCATTCTTTAAGTACCTTCTTCATTTTAATCATAATTTGGTCTAATTATATTATATAAAAATAGATACATACATTTCATCAACTAATTTTTAACTAACCATAAAATCTAAACAAGCATTTTGAATTTGTGATAATTCTGTTAATGTATTAACTTTTTTAGATCTTCTAAAATCTTTATAATATTTCCTTTCTTAATCTTCATTTTATCTATGATGAGTCAATAATTTCATTTTGTCAACTTAATAAAATGTCATAGGACATTGCAAGTACCCATGAGTCCATCCACAGATTTCACATGTCCTTCCAATAACATTTTTTTTCCTTACACTAAATTTATATTAATCTCTAATTTTACACATCTTCTCGAATTCTTATCTATCATACTATAATATTTCATAAAATGAAGCTCTAGAAATAGCAGCTATCTTACTGTATCCTTAACTTATAATGATATAATCATAGTATCCTTATTCAGTAAATTCTTGTTCTCCAATTACAGTACCACCAGTTAATTATTTTAGAACAATAGGTTATCTTGAATTATGTCCCATTAAAGTAAGTTCTCCATTCAAGAGAAAGATTAAATGATCAGCAAATTATTATGCTTTTACAACTTCATCTCCAGGTTATAATTTAATGACTTTAACTTTTGTACATAATTACTCAACTGTAGAATCTTTAAATTATCTCAATAAATAGGAATTCATTAAAATAGTTTTATAAGAATCTATCATTACTTCTTCTTCTAGATTTTTGGTTAATTTAGTAAGTAATTATTCTCCTAATGAATTTTCTTATTGTTCTTATTAAAATAAATGTTAATAATATTTTCTAACTTTAATAGATAACTTATCATTTAATTTGCGTTGTCTTATAATTTACTCAATGGCTTTCATCTAAGTTTTGTATTATTGTTTCTTCTCATTCATTGATCTATAGATTTCACCAATGTTTGAAATTGTGTAACCTAACATACCACAAAGACTCATAGCAACCAATATTACAAATAATTGTTCGTATGCAGATTGAGGTGTTAGGTCACCATATCCAACTGTTAAGGTAGTGATTACACTGAAATATAAGGATGCTATGTATCTTTAGTTAAATATGATAGTCTTACTGCTCTATCCAACTTAAATGACTAATATCATAGTACTCTAACCAATTCTTTCCTGCCACATAATGTTCCATTTCGTACACTCCTAAAAAATGCCAACTACATGCACAACAATGAATTATGAAAATTAACATCACAATCAATTTAATTAAATCAAATACAGCAGCCAAATTTTCTTTAAAATTTGTATTATATTCAAATTAATCCAATATACGTATCAATAGAGGTATCCTTAAAAATACTGAGATTAAAGGGATGAAATAACCATAAAGTATTTATAAATATGTTGTCAAAACTATTAACAAATCTAATAAAAAATAGCTTCTCACATAGTTGCTTGCAATATCAATTCTACTCTTTTTCATTATCTGATCTTCATAGAATGAAAGGTTGAATTAAACTAAAATCCATATGATTTGTAAAACAGTTGGAAATGCGTCAAAAAGTATTGAGATATCATGATTTAAGAAACTGACATTTATTGGTACATAGAATAAGTTTAATAGGATAGAAATAATAAAGCAAAACTCATAATACATTATGAATCTTTGATCTGGTTAAAATATTGGAATGAAACCCCCATAATATTCAAAGATTGATCTTATTTATTTTTTAAACAAAGAATATTGCACTTGCAATTCTGACCTTCCCTTTATATGATATTTGTTATTTCTATAACGTACAATATTTAAATAATCTGATGAAACATCCTGAATAATTGTAAATATCCTTTTGTTTAAAAGTTTGTATTTCATTGATTCTGTTTACAATTTCAATGTGTATAAGAATCTCATTATCATTGTGATAATGATTAAACCATTACTCTTCCATACTCGAGTTAGTCTTAATTTATATTATTAATACCCTAATGGTTGAGTTGTAGCAATCTCGATAGATTTATTTATTAGAACTTTACTTTTGCTACCCATCATAAAACTGTTGCTAGGGGAAAAATAACTATAATTATCTGATTAGATTTAAACCTTTACAGAGAATGTTCTGAAGGACTTCCTACTTCTTTATAAATATTAGATAAATTTTGTTATCTCCCAATATTGTTTCTCATCTCCTCAATAGCATTTTGCGATTCAAAAATACTCATTTTTATAATAATTATTTATCCACAAAGATTAATATTCTTTTATTCTTGACATATACTCATTCATTTTTATTATTATTGTATAATTTCATGAATTGCAGATTTGATTAAGAAATCGATACCATTCAGCAAAACCTTACAAATCCAACAAACTCACATTCCAACAAGTAAAAGAACTATCTTTATAACCTATTAAGTAATTTATGTATTCATATCATCAACAGATATTTAATAGCCTATCAACAAAGAACATTAGAAATATTCAGATAATATTAAAATTTAGCAACAGTCTAATCAATCAATTAATGACTAACATAATAGACATTCTTCAAAGCCAAGATTGTCAACAATGCCCAATTTAGAAGAAGTAGAGAGAATTGATAGAATAAGTAATTAATTCTAACAAACCATGGCTAAACTTGAAGAAGTTTAAGAATATAATTCTACCAATAATTAAGATACTTACATTAAAAAAGTTATTATTGTGTAATCAAAAATTCGTTCTTTTTTAATGAAAAGACAATACTTAAATCTTAAGACACAATTTCAATATAGAAAACGTGTACTTAATGAACTATTTATAACTGAATAATCGTATTGTTAAGCACTTACTATATTGATAAATTCATATTTAAAACCACTAAGAGAACAAAATAAATTAATATCTTCATCAATTATATAATAGATATTTTCTAATGTTGAAGCCATTTAATAACTTTCTGTCGACATCTTAGAAATATTTAGAAAGAAATAAGAATAATTTAATTATTATTCTCTTATAGCTGATATATAATTATAGCAACATATTTCTTTCTTTAAAATCTACTCAATATATTTGGTTAATTATTAAAAAGCATTTAGTGTATAAATGAAATTAAAAAAGGAAAATAAACAATATAAATAATTCTTAGATGCAATAGATAAATAAAATTAAGGCAAGACCTTAGAATCTTATTTCTTAATTTTACCTGTTTAACGTATACCAAAATATGTGCTTTTATTTAAGGATCTATTAAAAAATACATCTTAAGATCATCCTGACTATTCTAATATTAAGTTGGTACTTGAAAAATTTGAATAAGTAGCCAATTAAAATAATAAATCAATGGATAGTCTACTTAAAAATTAAAAACTATTTGATTTATAAAAACAGTATGGGAATTTTGTTAAAATCCTAGAATAAAATAGATAATTTTTAAGAGAAGAATCCCTTCATATGTACTTTACAAAAGGAGCTTAAATCAAACCTATGATTGTTTATTTTCTATCTGATTTGATACTTGTAACAGAAAGAGATCAAACAAAATCAGAACATAACTTTAAAACTTATATTAAACTTAATCATCTAAGTAAATGTCAATAATTACCTGAAATGTATAAATATAAGTATTTATTTCAAATAAGTGGTGTTGATAATTCTGTAATATTTGTAGTTCAAAGTTAAAATTCAAAAAAGGATATGTAAGAATATATTAATTTGGTTAATCAAGAGATAAAAGAACTATAAGATAAAAAAGCAGAAAGAGATAAAGCACTTTAAGATATGATACCTGAAAAATAAAAAATTAATCAAATTGATCATATAAGTGTTTCAGTTTAAATTATCGGAACTGAAGATGTTATTGATGCAACAGATAAAAAATTTACTTAATATATATTTGAGATAGATATTAATAATAATATAACTTAAAAAATATACTTAAGATATAGTTTGTTTAAAAAAATATTACAAGATGTGAAAATGTTATTTCCAAAAATGAAAATACCAGAAACTAAAGAGAATTCATATTTTGATAGAAATGAATCTGCAGTTATAGATGTATATATTATTTGTTATTATTAGAAAAGGAAAATTGTGATGATAGAATTTTTATAGATATTATTGAATTCATAAGAGTTTAAGGAAAATAAGACATAAAATTAACCAATTTTAGTATTATTAGGATTGCCTGAAAATTTTTATGATTTGCCTGCAATTCTAGTCAAATAATATAGATAATCTATATTGGGAGTTGGAATTAATTTTAGAGCATCTAAAAAACCAACAAGTGGTACTGTAGAATTTTCATAACACTCTGTTAGTTTTAGTTCAAATGAAAATTCAAATTTTACAACAATGTTCACCTAAATTGGTTCTCCAAGAGATATTAATAAAATAAATGAAGGATAATCAAATGGTTTAAAATTTTCTGATAAAAAAACTGAATAGACTTTATGTTAAACTACAAAAGATCCATAAACTCCTGTTAGAGGATTGAGAGCTGCAAGTATGAAAAATGTAAGAAAGATTTCTGCTACCCAATTATTGGCTGTAGAAAGTAAAGGAAATTCAAGATAAAGTTCAGTAGTAGACAAAGATTTTTTAAATTCAATATAAGTTAAAATAAAAGTCATGGTCTTTCTAAATTTTAAATAGATTGAGAAAGAGTTTTTTATAAATAAAGACACATCAGCTTTTAGTTTAATGGAAGAGATAGCTACTGATATATAACTTTAATCTGCTTATGATTTTAGATTATATTATATTGATAATACTTATTTAAAACCATTAGACAATGATGAGAAGTTATGGAATTTTTTAGTCAGATTTGATGAACCTTTTGGATTATTTAAGAAATCTTAGAAAGTACCTCTATATAATGGAAAATTACTATAGCTAAGAAAACATTTATTTGTATCAAATAAGGAAGAGACAGATTATTACACTTAGGATTTAGTGAGATTACAATTAATTAGCTATCAATTATTTGATGATATTAGCAATTTAAGATTAACATTAGGTCCAAAAGATCATATTCTTTATACAGCCTTTTATCTATATTTAAATGGACATAAAACAATTGATCCAAAAAGAATACCTATGAATGAGATTAAGAAGGTAATAAATAATTTAGTTTATATAGTTTCTTCCTCCTATAGCCATTAAGATTATATCATAAGATGAATGGAGTAATTTTTTACCTACTTTAGTATAAAATTTTCATTGTTAAATTGTAAATGAGAAATAGAATTAACAGTAATAAATATAATCAGAATATAATTTAATAGATAATTAAAATGATAGATTTAAGAATGAATAAATGACTGAAATTCATTTTGCATTATTAGTTTTTTTGAATTTGTTAAAATCTAAAAAATTTTTTGGAGTTACAAAATTTTCTGTGAAACCTGATAAGGATACCATGAATAAAATAATTGAATTAAGTAATAATTATTGGAATAAAAAAAAGAAGTAAGATAAATAATTATAAAATCATAATACAGAAAATATAAAAGGAATATCATCATTATGTTTAGGAATTGGTTATAATTCTATATTAATACTTTCATCATTTATATCTTAATTTGAATTATTAGAGTTGAATTTTGATGAAATTGAATCTATCAGTTCTTTATAGACTACATTAACTATATACTTGGAAGATTTAACTAAGTAAAGTGGTCGTTAAGAGAATAATTAAAATAATAAAGAGAAACCATGTTTAAAATTAGAGACTGAAAAGAGTTATTAGATAAAATAATTAATTGATGAATATTTCAAATTATAAATGGAAAATCATGAATAAACAGATGAATTTTTTGAAATGAAATGATTTTGATTTGAAATAATTTATGTGAATGTCTCCATTACTTTATATTTTAAATAAAATAAAATGATATATTAGTATTATAAATCTATTTTAATATCAAAATATTTCACAATTGGAACAACATCCTTTATTATTATTAACAGGATCTACTTGTTAAATTATCATATTTTCTGCATGACTTTCTTCATTTAATTTATTTCCAGATGAATTAAAACCTTATTCATCATGAGTCAATAATTTATTTTGTTCTGTATCATTCACTAATTATTAACAATTTTTTTATCTTTCAGTTAGAATAACTTATTCAGTACTTTCTTTAATTTAATTGGTCTATAGAATATTTTATTTTTTTTCTTCTTCTTTATGAATTATTTATTATTATAATTCTGGTTATTCAGGTTCATCCAAAATAATTTTTTAATTATTTTATTAAGATTCTAATTAAGGATCTTCTTTTTTTAATTATTCTTAAGAATTCTAAACTAATTCCTATTCATCTTTGTTATCTTGTTTAATGTCTTATTATGTCTTATTAGAAACAACATAGTAAATTTGTTATTACTATTTCATAAAAATATTCAAATTAAAATCTACCTAATCATATGGATCATTTTCTTCTTCTTCTTCTATATTTTAAAATCTCAAATCTAATTTTTAATTACCTCCATTATTATTCTTTGTATATCCATCTTACAAATCCAAATTATAAGGTGGCCTTATTATGAAATATATTTATAATACCAAAATTTTTTGAGATTTAATTGACTACCTCCAAATTTCTATTCTAATTAATTTGGTTCAATAAATTCTTATAATTATTTAAATTCTTTTTATTATAGAAAACTAATTTTATTAATAGTCTCTGGATTCAAAAATGTTTTAATTTATTTCCATAAAAAATTGATTCCACTTGAAGGATTTAAAACAAACATTCTTTCAAGATAACCTGAGAAATTAGTACTCAAATCATCTATTAATACTTCCAAGATTTTTTATTATAAACCTTAACATCCAATATTATTAGTTTCTAATAAAAATATCCAATTTTCAACCTTTCCTGGAATTAACATATATTTTTTTACTATACCCAAAAGAAATGATAAAGCTTTAAAGATTTATTCCTTATCATGCTTACAATATAGTAATTGAATGATTTACTTTTTTTTAATCAATTAAATGAGCATTAAGAATAATTATTGGTCTAAATTATTTATCTCTACCCAAAAGATAACAAATTCCTTCCTTAAAAAATTACTCTGAATTAGAATTAATTTCATGATGAATCTTTGTACGTCTCCAAGCTATATGTTATAGTAGTTTCTTTTTTATAAATAACAGTATACTTTTATCACTTCTTTTTTATCAAATCTTCCTGCATAACACATTCTTAAATAATCACTTTCCTTCCAACTAAACCTATATTCAGATATTTTTACTCAGAATTTAGTAATATTTTCTATTATTTTATCTCCTCCTTTAGTTCTTTCACCTTTTCCATTTCAAACTTATCATAAACAACTGTTTCATAGATTTTCCTAACTCCCTACTCTTACTCTTAATGTTTGATATAATCATCTAAAAATCAAAATTTAATTCTCTACTAGAGTGAACAATATTATTGGCCTCTTATGGTGGAGCTAAATAAGAATAATCAATCATTTGTTAAATTAATTATCAAAATAAAACCTTTATAACAAATTAGACAATTTTATATATATATATATATATATCTATAATTCAAAGATCATCCTTCTTTTCCTTCTCTTTCTAAGATTCAAAACTGAAAATTTATCTTATATTAATAATATATTCTCCATTTTCTACTCTGGTAAATGGAACATTAGGTAATTAGGCTATAAGTACTCCTGGATTAAATGAGCCTGATCTCAATTCATTTATTAATCCATGTAATCTTTAATGGTTGCTCTTTATTATTTGAATTAATTAAATACTCTAATAGCATTGATTATAACATTTCTAAGTGGAGTCTCTGATTTCTTGATTGCAGATTTGATAATATCCAATGATAATAATTGTTTTGTTATATATTCGATTACTACATTTACATCCAAAGAAACAGAGGCATAATCAATTTCGACATCTTAACATCTGAAATGTGTTGGACCAATATTAAAAATAATAGAAACAAACAAACTAAAATATTGATGCTTAAATACTCTTCTATTTTTATTGGAATTGTGTATTTATTTTCTACTATTAGATCAATATTAAAAGTAGGTGCTGATATTTCTAAAATGTCATGATTCACATCAAAATCAACCTTATTATATTTCTTTATTTATATACTTTTAATTCAGCAAAATTGTGAATCCTTATTTATGTAATCCAATAATCTAAAGCCAATTTCATAGCTCCCATATAATCCAAACCTTCAGCAGATAAAGCGGTATATTCATTTGTAAATTCTTTTATAAAATTCAAAAAGAATGACTTAGCCTCTTCTCTATGTTCTTTATCTTAAAAGTAAGCTTATGTTGAAACAAGCAATAGTGAGAGTAGGAGTACACTTGTAATACGTGTCATTTTAATTTATTTTATTATTATTTTCTGGAAAATTCCAATTTATAACAGACTAATATAAAATGGAACAATCTCATTAAACTCTAAATTACACAATATTCTTTAATTCAAACAAATATATTTTTAAAGTATTTTTTGAATATTTAAGTTAATCTAATAATTTTCTTTAAAATTAAAAGATTTATAGAAAGTTTAATTATATATATATACTAATACTATTGAATTCAAATAAAGATGTCATGACAATAGGATTAAATTAATTATATCAAAATATTTATGAATATTTAAAATATATACATAAAAGGATAAATGTTGAAGTTTTTAAATAAGATAAATATGAATAATATTATGTTTAATTCACATTTGATTAAGACTATTTTATATATCTATGGATTGAAAATATTCATTTAGGAAATAATATTCTATATAATTATGAAAAATTGATATTAAAAAATATATATTAATTAAAATGTAAATAGAGGAAAATTTGCAATCTGATAAGAAAGAAGTTTTTCTGCCAGGAGATTTGTTATCTGATGAAACTGGATTTATTAGTGGAACAAATACTTATGAAGAGTAAGGAAAAATATTCTCCAGCACTACAGGAACTATTAATTAGACAAATAAGTAATCAATTATATAATTAAAAGATTGATTATGATAAAACCAATTAAATGTAGTTATTAACCATAAATTGGAGAAATTGTAATAGGCTAAATTGTGTAAATTAGAGATAAAAAGTGGATTGTAAATATAGGTTCAAGTTCAGAAGCTACTCTTCATTTGAATTCTACTTATTTACCTGAATAAGTAAAATTATCATTCATTATTTAGAGATAAAAAACAGAAGACGATGAAATGAATATGCGTTAAATATTTTCTGAAAATGATTTAATTTGTGCAGAAGTTCATTGTAATCATTATAAATATTTAATTTATTAGCTGTCAATAATGATAAATCTGTTAATCTTCATACAAGAGGACTTAAATATGGTAAAATTGAAGATGGATTACTCATTAAGGTTAATCACTATTTGATTGTCAAATAAAAAAGACATTTTATTAAATTGAATAATAATGTTAATATGATATTAGGACATAATGGATAAATATATTTAAGTAATTAAGATAGAACTACAAATAATTAAAAAGTAATATATTGTTAAAATTACACTGTTTAATAAAGAATTGATATCGCAAACACAGGTAAAGCAATTAAATTCTTATAATAAAATTAATTTAAAATCTCACAAACAAGTATAGAAAAGGTTTTAAATTATATTTCTGAAAAAAAGCCTTAAAATGATTGGATAACATTAATTGAATAATTCTTTTTAGAATAAAAGTCAAAATAATAATAATAGGATTAATGATCTTAATGTAATTATATTGTTAAATCAACAATTTTAATATATAATTAATAATGTTATTCTTTTTATATAAAAATCTAATAGAAAAAGTGTTTTACAAAATTTTACATATTTTTTTTTAGATTTTTTACAAATAATATTAAAAAATAGTTTTTCTTTACTTAGCTTATAAATATTTCTGATAATTCTATTTTTTAAGAGTATAATACAATTTTTAAATATATTATTGGAGTGTTTTTAATAGGTATAATTATTTTAATTGGATTAAAAAATAAATAATTATAGTTATTTATAATAAAAATAAAAACGTTAAAAAATGAATATATATTGAGTTTTATAACTTTTAAAAAAATCATTCATATTTTAATATCAAAAAAATCAGCTGATTTAATGAGTGACAATCCTTATTCAGCTATTGGTAATTCTATTTATAATTGATTGAAGTTTTAGTTATAAATATCAGTATCAACAACATAAGTTTCATTTTCTAAATCTAATTACTATTGATATTAAATTCTATCAGCATCTCTTTGTATTAAGAATTAATTACAATCATTTAATTTTTCTAAATATTGATTCATATATAGTTACAAGTAATTGCATCCAAATCAACTTATGCTTAGCTAATTTATTTTTAGAATTCATGATGTTCATCTTCCAATTAATCTAATCTTTCTAAAAATTCTTTTTAATTAAGTTATTCTTATTTAGTTAAATCATTCATAGCTTCAACAATTTAATTTCTAAATTCATTCAAAGAATCTATTATTTATTTTAGAATTTCTGAATCTGCAAAATTCTAATTAAGTGCTATTTGAAGTAATGCCTATACCATAGGACCTTAATTAACACGATTCCATTGTTTAGATGATAACCTTTTTAAAGTAAATTTAAAATTCTTTATTTATAATAATGAAGGATTGGATAAAGAACCTACTAAATTGATGGCATCATCTACTGCATCAATAGCATCATTATCTTCTTGAATTTATTATTAATATGCTTAATTTTCTTAATCTCTAAGTAAGATTATTTCATCTACATTTTTTCTATTAAATTCATCATTTTCAATTAATGATCTAATTCTATTATTAATTTAATCTTTTCTTGGTATAAGTAAATTATCTATCACATCAATCATTCTTGCAATATCTTAATCAGCATCTTATAATTATTAACTAACTTGAACAATAAATGAGTTGTGTTCATTGGTTCGCATTAAAAATTTGTATTAAACATCTTCCATATTATTGTTGATATCTTGAATCTATTATTATGGTCTTTTTATACTAATTCTTCAATCGTTTCTATAAGTTCTTAAATAGGTCCCTAAACCAATGAGTGTAAATTAACAAGATTTAAAATTGCTTAGCCTAATTTAGTTCTTTAGAGTTCTTCTAATTTCTTAGCATGACTTATTTTTGATGAAATTCCATAAGAGAGTCCAATTAATGTGAATAACACCAAGACTAATTTCATTAAATTTATTATATTTTATATCCGTTTTATGATTTATTGTCTAACTCTGTCATTATGTAATCAAGTTAAACTAAATATAATATTCAATAAACCAGTTTAACTAAGCATATAAATCAATAATGATAAGAATCTATAAAAATATAGATAAAAATAATAATGATAGTTTATAAAATATCAAAATATTATATATATCTTTTCTCTCATTAACTTAATATTTATTGATAAAATTAAGTTTTGAATCTCTATAAGAAAATAAAGTTATTTCAAATATTAATATTACTATATATATATATATCTATATTTTATTTATTTTATGAATATATCTCAATTCTAGAATAACTTTTATACTTTTAAAAATAATTCTTTGGTTGTTTCAATATTCTCTAAGTGATGTTCAACTTAGGATTCTATAATTCCAGCAAATGTAGATTCATATTCTTTAAGATTAACTTAACCATCTTATAAAATTAAGTTTGGTTATATTTCCAATCTTCTTGGAAACTTATTTTAAATAACAATATTTCTATAATTAAGGAATTAATCATTAACAGCAGCTAAATTACTAAAGAATTGAACACCTTCATTTCCAGCTCCAATTGATTTAAATACTTATAAATGTAATATTAAATTAGAAATAGCTTTCTTACCAGTTGTATATAATTTAGATTAATCAAATTTAAAATGCATATATGGTTTACCGTTTTATTGAGTTTCTGTAATTTTAATAATTTCTGGATCTTCTCGTATTAATGATTATAAAATAACATTTCTAGCTAAAACATGTGCTTAACCCCATTTTTTTTATTCTGGATTATAAAATTCTAATCCTTAAACAGCTCTATGAACAACAAAAAGCCAACCTGCAAATACAGTATTTCTTCTTTCTTCTTCTGATTATTTTGGTAAAAGCAATTTAACAACATCATCATAAGTAGATAAATATAATGCAGTAGCATCAGCTTTACATTCTTCCATAGCTCCTGAAAATTCACCAAATTTTGAATGCCATTATTCACCATGATTATAAAATGAATCAACTTTTTGATTTGTTAATGGATTAATTGTATTTTCAAGATTGAAATTTAAATTACCATCCTTATCTTTCATGAATACTTTACCAGCACCATGACCTATCAATTCATGAAGTGCAACAATCAAGAAAATAGCTTCTGATTAATATTTATGAAATATATCTTAATCTGTTTCATCTAAAAATTTTATAGATTCTTTTGATAATTTTCCTATTGTATTACCTAAATTAACATTCTTAAATCCTTCAGTTTATCTTATATCATCATAATTTGGTATATTAATACCTAATGGTGTACCAGAACTAGCAAAAGCAAGAACTTCTAATGAAGTAAAATCTGGTCTTTTATATACATCAACTTCAAATTCTTTAGGCCATGGTAAATACTTAATGATATCTTCAGCTTTATTCACTAATTCATTTAACAAAGCACTTTCTTCTTTGTTAACTACAGCTACAAAGCCTTCCCATTCAGCACGAACTTTTAATGGATCCAAATAAGTCTCAATAAATCCTATATTTGTTTCAATAACTGGTCCTTTATCTTTAATCCAATGTCTCTATGATTATTTATGCAATTCAACATCTCCACTCTTAAAATGATCAATATATGCTAATATCATGTTCTTTTGATTATCATTTGTTGCATATTAGAGAGCAGCTGTAAGATGAGTTACAACACTATTAAGAAAAGGAGCAAAATCACCATAAACCAATTTAACTTTGTGGTTATGTACTTCTCCTAAGTCTTTTTAACCTTCATTGACTGAGGCTACTAATACATGAATTTCTTCTCCAACCTTAACAACTCTTGTATTCAATTCAGAAACACCTTAAGCAATTAAAAATTTATCTACAGCCTCCAATAATTCTCCATTCAAATTATTACTATAATAAGAATTTGAACCATTCTTTTCTTATAAATCAATCAAACCATAAGGTTTATCATAATTATAGACATATTTACGAATACTTTCCCAAACTTAATCAACTTAATATCCTGGTGATGTTGTAATAAATTATTCAAACTTTTCCTAACTTACTTCAGGTATGAATTTAGAATCTCCAAAGCTTTTAAAATTGCCAGAATTTTAGAATACAGCAGCAACATACACAAATAATTATTGAACTTCTTCTTCACTCCACCCATTTTATTATAAACGCTATTTCACATCTTAAGGCTTCTCGGTTGAAAAGATCTTATGGAAAATGTAAAACAAGCCTGGTGATTCGTAAGATCTCTAGAAATAACAGATTCTTGCTCCTTCCCAAGAAGCTCTTGCAAAATGATAGGCATATTGTTTTTCGTTTTAATTAAGTACCTAATGTAATCTTTTATTTTTCATACATTAAAACCTGGGCTAACAAATGATGTGACTGGTGAATTCACTTAAATCACTGGAGCTTGATTCATAATTTAATTTTTCAATTAAAGATTTTGTAGTAGTGATATATATACAACCAAAATGAATACATAAGAATTATTAATTAATATATATTTATGTCAGAAGAATAAGCAGTGGATTTTACTTTTAGTAGTTTGTTACCAACAGCAGAAAAGTTAATGACATGGCTTACATATTCTACTCTATTTGGTTTAATATCCTTCCCCTTGATTGCATTGACCATTGATCAATAATTGTATTTATGTTATTTATAAATAGTGCTTTTCATTTTTGGATCTTAACTTTTCTTGATGCAGGATTATTATTCACTTTACTTTATTTGAAAGGTTAGCTTAGTTAAATAGAGAGAGAAAAAAATGAATTCACTTAAGATGAATCCAAAAAATCTTAAAAAAAGAAGAAGCCATTAGAAAATGAAAAAAATAAAGTTGCTTAGAAAGCAAAGAAGGAATCATAAAAACATAATTCAATGAATTACAATAAAGCAGTAGGAAAATAGAAATCATTCCAATAAAGAAAATGATTTAGTTGTTGTAAATAAATATTATATAATAAAATCAATTAGGATGTACAATTTTTTCAATAATTTATGATTCTTCTATTTAAAAACAGTCAACTTCTCCAATTGTTTTAATTTCACTATCATTTTTTTAATCCCTATTTATATATTAATAATTATACTTATCTTCCAAATTATCTAATTCAGGCATCAATCTCTATGGTTTCTTGCATTTAATTTCATCTGGTATAGTTCCTGTATGAAGTACAGTAACATTAAAAGTTCTATTAGTAAATAGGACTTCAAATGATTAAATTTCATAGGTATCATCATAAAATTAATTTGCTTCCAAATGGGTTGGTTAAACTAATACTATGGGATCAGTGACATTTGAAGAAGCTAAATAGAAAAGTAGACCTTAAGATCTTTCCTCAAAGGCAACATAGGTCTTATTGATTTATATTCCATCAAGTAATGTTTACTCTATAAATGTTTAAAAATCGTTAAAGACAAGATGAAACTCTTCGTTATTTAATAAAAAATAGTCTTCAAATTTAACAATTGTATATTTAAGGGATAGGAATGGTTCTAATTTAAATAGTTCAACATCAGAAATATACAGTAATCCAGCAGAGTCTGGATGATGAATCAAAATGTAAGGGATTTCAAACTGAGAATATGAATCATTTTTTGGTTTATATATGTTTGAGACCATAGTATTATTCTTAGATGTACAAAATTAGCCATTTGATTCTTAACATTCTTCAACACAAATTCCTTTAAGGGATAGATAATAAGTTTATTCACAAACTACACAATAAGATGTCTTTTCAACACTTAATTAACATCCAATGGGATTAGGTTCACAACCTTATTTAGTCCAATATTGTTATCTATTGCATCCGAATGTAGTTTTGGTAGCAAATTCAGGATGAATGGCTATAGGTGATTCATATGTAAAGTAGAAATAAAATAAGCCTGCAAAGAAGCATATGATTGCAAAGTATAGAGACTTTTTAGTTGGCTGATCTTTTTATTTACGATTATGTAAGCCTGTAGTTTCTAAGCCTGGTCTCATATAGTTGTCATCATCATCTAAGTCATCTAAATATATAGAATGAGTACCTGGTCCTTCAACTTCCAATGGTCCACGAAATTAAATGGATTCTGTCATTAATTTATTTAATGTCAAATCAATAGCAACTGAAGGAAGAATTACAGTTGTGTCGGTCTTAATTAAGCAAATTAAGTGTAGAGAGAGATTAAGTATTGATCATATTTTCTAAATAGACAGTGTTTGAACTAAATAAAGTGATTAGATTAGTAGAGAGATTGTAAATTATAATTACAGAGAAAGATGCTGAGATATTGATGCTTCATAATTAAATGGATGAGTAAGAAAAATATCATTAATAATAATTGGAATAAGTTAAGTAAGTAATCTATAAGATGAAATAAAAGATAGCATTATGAGTATTTGAAGGAAAGTGCAATAGCAAGACTTAAGTCTGAGATGAGTTTTGATTCTGAGATCATGATCAAAGAATTAAGAGAGACAAAATAATTGTATTAGGAAATCTTAATAATGGAAGCTAAGCGGAAATCTTCTTGTTCTTAAGATGAGACTCGTTGTCAATCCATAAATGATTACTAGAAACTCTTTACAGAGAAATAGGAACTATAATAATTGGTTGATAAATTATAGAAGATGAATGATAGTTAGAAAAGTGATCAATCAGATGAATTAATATAAGAGATACAATATTTACGTGACCAACTGTAGAAATTGTACAAATATATCTTTTATATCTAGAACCTTTGAATTAGAAACTTCTAAATAAACCATAAATATTCTCCAAGTTCAAGTTCTTAAATAATAAGATTTATTGAAGGAATACTACTCTAACGACTTTTAAGGGTGATTCATTTGAAATAATTTTCCAATTTCTATAATAAAAATTTAATTTGAGATTATGAGTCAATTACAAGACTTAATCGATTTTACCGATGTAGATATACCAAATGAATATATCAAAAGAGCATGTGAAGAGTAAGAAAAGTAACCTAAAGATATCTTGTAAGAATTTCCTAAATTAAATTTCAATTCCAATCTTCATATTCTTCTTATTGGATTACCAAAAATTAAAGAAGAAATGAAACCAAAACTTATTACAGCACTTAAAGGATTTCTCAAAAAGAATAATTTTATTTAATTTTAAGAAATTGATCTATATACTTATGGATATGCTGTCTTATCATATGAAAATGAAGATTAAGCACAATAGGCAGTAGAATAGATTAGTCATCAAAATTTTGATGCTAAACATTAATTGTTAGCATTAACTTAAAAATAAATAAATCATATTAATCAAACTTCAGAATATATACCAATTACATTAAAATCAAGATAATAATTGTTGGCATTTCATAAAGATGCAAGATCTGCTCTAACAATTATTTAAGAAAAGACTAAACTTTCACTAAAATGGTTAAATTCATTGGAAAAGAAATTAGAAGATAATATTACTGAAAAGAAATTACCAACATATGATAAATTACAATGGTCTCCATTAGGATAATATTTAGTTTTATTTACAGAAAATGAATTTTCTCTCTATGGTGCTTAAGATCTTGAATTATTACATAAATTTGAACATAAAAAAGTTAATGAATTATTATTCAGTCCAGATGAATAATATGTAATAAGTTATGATGGATTATAAGTATATATAATTATTATTATTATTTAAGCAATTTATAATTTGGAATATTAGAGAAGAAAGATAATTGAGATAGATTGTATAATAATAATCTTCTATTAATCATTTTAAATTTAAAAGAGATAATAAATTATTAGCATTTCAAACACAAGATGAAATTTAAATTTATGAAGCTCCAGAATTTTATCAAAAAAATTAATTAAATCTTAAAGCTGTTGGTGTAAAATAAATTGAATGGGTTCCATAAACCAATTATTTAGCTGTTGTTTGTTATGGTAAAGATATTAAAACTTAAATCTTTTTGCATGATTATAATAAAAATATAGATGTCAAATGGAGAAATATTGCATTTGAAATTGATAGTATTCAAATATTTGTACATACATATGGAAAATGGGTTGCTACTTTAATTAAAAAAAAATAAAAAAATAAGGTTTTTGCAACTACTCTTTAAGTTGGTAATTTGAGTAAAATAGATCCATTTGAAATTGATGAACATACAGTTAATGAAGATGTTGAAAACATATTTGCAGAACTTAATACAGGAAAATTTGCCTTATCTTATAGAGAAAAAGATAAATAATAAAAACCAACTTCATAATTTACTTTCCATCTTTATTCAGTTCAAGAAGATATTAAAAAAGGAATCAAATTATGTTAACTTGGAGAATAGAAAGGAAAAGACACTAATGAATTATTATGGGCATCTAATGGAGTAATTAATAAATAATATAATTTTAGAATTATTTTGCTATGGTTAATAAAACCAAAAATTCACCTGATTAAGGTAAAGTTGAATTTGGTCAAATATCTAAAAAAAATGAATAACCAATAATAGAAATTACAAAATCTACAAATCATTTTTATATGAGTCATGCTTAATGGGATCCAACAGGAACTGTATTTAAAATTTATTATTTTTAGTATTTTATAACTATGAGTGATTTATGGCATAGTGTCAACATTTGGAGTGCTATTGGAGAATAATTAGTCAAAGATACAATAACTAAAGTTACAGATATCCATTGGAGAAATAAACCAATTCATCTATTATCTTTTAAAGAAGAATAAGAATTATAAAATAATCATAAATAATTTATCAAGAAGTATGAAGCTGAAGATGATAAAATTCTCAATAAAGCAAAATATGATAAAGAACAAAAGAAAAAAGAAATGTATAATCAAGTAAATATAATAATAATAAATATTTTAGTTTACTTAATATCTTAATGAAAAGAGAAAAATTTATAATGATACAAAAGAAATAAGAAAGAAATTATTAGGTTGGGATGAGGAAGATTAGAATATTTATGTTTAGTATAAAAAAATAATTAAAGAAGAAGTAGTAAATTTATGATGTATATTTTAAAATAAGAATAATGTTATCTATGTATCTTAAATATATTGATAACTAATTTTGATTATATTCATAATTATCATCAATTGATTTGACTAATTCCAACTATCCTTTTTGGATGTACAAAATTTAGATACTATTTTTTTTATGATCTCATACTCAACAATCCTGAAATTTATAAGTTCTTTTTCATTCTATGCTCATTTGATGAAGGTGAAGGTTGAATTTCTGTTAAATGATGTTGTTTAGGTTAAAATCTATTTTAAACATTTCTATATGAAGCTTGAATTACTTGCTAAATTTCTTTAGCCTTTTTAGCAGGATTCTCAGCTTTGTAAGCTTATTAATACATTAATGATAACACCAAATTATCCTTTGGAACTCGAGGCAATTTACTTATAGATTCTAATACTGTATTTAAAGATTAAGGTTAAGGTCCAACCAAATGTAAAGAAGGATGTAGAGATGGAAGAATAATCTTTTATTAACTCTCCCTTTTAATTATGACAGATGATCTATTCGAGCTTAATTTAAGATCAACACTATTTTCATTTAATGGACTTGTAGTTGAATTATTGTCATGGTTAATACTTGTATTTGTTGGTTATTTGTTTTGATTTAGATTTCTTATACAAGATGCATCAGAATCACAAATAACCATTTAAGGTTTCTTTAATAATTTAGCTTAATATTATTAAAGTGTGTTGCTATATACTCTTTATAGAAGATTTTAACTATCATTACTAAAGTTTTTTAAATCTTTTAAATTTGAATCAGTCAAATTCTAAAATACTTTTATTTGACTTAATTTCTAACCTTGAGACTCTATGAGTTTTTTATTTAAAATGTATTTTGCTAAGAAATTTGGTTTATTTTAATTGTCATCTTAAGCAGCTTCATAAACCTATTGAATATAAGGATTAATATACTTCATCTCTTGGATTAATTGATTTTTAAACAGCATTACAAATTAATTACCAATGTTTATAAATTATAGCTGAATGTTTTTTCATATTTTCATAAGTTCCATAACTACCTAAATTATCAAAAAACATTCTTTTTCTAATCCTATAACAATTTAATCTTGGAGAAATCACTTTGGCTTTTGTATATCTATTTATTTTATTCATAATCTCAACCTCCCCAAAACTTTGAAATTCTCCATATGAAGACAATATTATCGATTTCTTTTTTACTTATTTCAACAATTCAATTTCCCCATTAATTATAAAGTATATATATTTAGTTTTCTCCCCTTCATCATAAACTATCTCTCCTGCCTTCATAGTCACCAATTTGCTTTCCAATACTATACCCATATAATCTTCTGGATCGATATTTCGAAAGAGTGGAGTCTATCCAAAATATTAAATTTTATTATCTAAAGCTATACTTAAATAAGGATTTAAATATTCAAGATAAGCAGTTTCATTTATATATAATAAATGAGTATCTTCCAATGTAAATACTGTAGATGATCTTGCAGTATCTAATTTGATAGCTGCTTCACCAAAACAACTAAAAAATCAATAAATATATACTTACTCTCCTTGAAATAAGATTTTTAATATGATGTAATCTGGAAAGAGAATTTTCAATCCAAATGGATCATCATCATTTTTCCCTTGTGTTTTTTATTACAAATTATCATCAAATTCTATTTTACTGGACCCCACCATCTTTAATTTCGGTTTCATCACTACTACCTTACCTTCTAGTATAATGTAAAATCTTTTATTCTAATCTCCCTATCGATACACTGGATTTAAGGCTGGTACAAATTCATATCTCATAATCGTTTGTTAAAAATTACCTAAGTTCTGAGTAAATTCTTCCCATCAATTCTGGAGGTACTTCTGAACGTATCTCTTTTATTTTCTTCAAGTTTCCTAATTGATCTATCAAAATTGGAGATGTGGGAATAATAAGATCATTTAGAGAACGGACACTTTTTATCTTAGAAATTTTTTTCTTTTAAATTGAACTTATTTTCATTTCAACATTAGGCCTGTTTTTCAATTCTTCCTTCACCAATTCAATATCAATTAATTTCTTAAATTTTTTGTGTTCCTTCTAATGTTCATGCATTTATTATAATTTCTATTTTTATTCTTCATTATCTGAATCAGATTCAACCTAATTCTATAAAAATTCAAAATTCGGCTTTGCAGATATTGCAAATGTTGATTAAACAAAAGATGTCATATGCTAGACTTGTTATAATTATTTTTGGATAATAATATTTATAGATTAAAAATGTATTTTTCATCTGATAAATAACAAAAGAAAATACGTATTTTAAATCAACATGTCATAATTCTTAAGAGATATTATCTGATAATTCAGTTTATATGATAAAAAATTCTCTAAAATTGCCAATTTGAATTAAAAACAATCAATTTAACAACTATATAAAAATTTAATATAAAAAATAAAAAGGGTTGTCAACACGAGGACTTCCCAAGCGGTCCCCCACCTTAGTACTAACCTCGCCTTAAGCCGCTTAACTTCGGAGTTCGAATGGGATCCGGTGCTTTAGGCTTAGTATGGCCGACAACGATATTTACNGAGTCTATCCAAAATATTAAATTTTATTATCTAAAGCTATACTTAAATAAGGATTTAAATATTCAAGATAAGCAGTTTCATTTATATATAATAAATGAGTATCTTCCAATGTAAATACTGTAGATGATCTTGCAGTATCTAATTTGATAGCTGCTTCACCAAAACAACTAAAAAATCAATAAATATATACTTACTCTCCTTGAAATAAGATTTTTAATATGATGTAATCTGGAAAGAGAATTTTCAATCCAAATGGATCATCATCATTTTTCCCTTGTGTTTTTTATTACAAATTATCATCAAATTCTATTTTACTGGACCCCACCATCTTTAATTTCGGTTTCATCACTACTACCTTACCTTCTAGTATAATGTAAAATCTTTTATTCTAATCTCCCTATCGATACACTGGATTTAAGGCTGGTACAAATTCATATCTCATAATCGTTTGTTAAAAATTACCTAAGTTCTGAGTAAATTCTTCCCATCAATTCTGGAGGTACTTCTGAACGTATCTCTTTTATTTTCTTCAAGTTTCCTAATTGATCTATCAAAATTGGAGATGTGGGAATAATAAGATCATTTAGAGAACGGACACTTTTTATCTTAGAAATTTTTTTCTTTTAAATTGAACTTATTTTCATTTCAACATTAGGCCTGTTTTTCAATTCTTCCTTCACCAATTCAATATCAATTAATTTCTTAAATTTTTTGTGTTCCTTCTAATGTTCATGCATTTATTATAATTTCTATTTTTATTCTTCATTATCTGAATCAGATTCAACCTAATTCTATAAAAATTCAAAATTCGGCTTTGCAGATATTGCAAATGTTGATTAAACAAAAGATGTCATATGCTAGACTTGTTATAATTATTTTTGGATAATAATATTTATAGATTAAAAATGTATTTTTCATCTGATAAATAACAAAAGAAAATACGTATTTTAAATCAACATGTCATAATTCTTAAGAGATATTATCTGATAATTCAGTTTATATGATAAAAAATTCTCTAAAATTGCCAATTTGAATTAAAAACAATCAATTTAACAACTATATAAAAATTTAATATAAAAAAAAAAAAGGGTTGTCAACACGAGGACTTCCCAAGCGGTCCCCCACCTTAGTACTAACCTCGCCTTAAGCCGCTTAACTTCGGAGTTCGAATGGGATCCGGTGCTTTAGGCTTAGTATGGCCGACAACGATATTTACTATAGCTTAATCCTTTTAAACCCAAGGTTTATCATCATTCATAATAAAGAATTTATAAAACAAATTTTATTTGAATTAATAAATACATGAAATTGAGGCAAATTCAATATTTTTTTTCTCAATATCAAGTTGGATAGTTATTCAAATTGGAAAGAATATTTACATTGGATGATGTTAAAAATTACGCCAATCTAATTTAAGATTTCAATCCTATACATCTTGATGAATAAGTTGCTTCTTAATCCATCTTTAAGTAACGAGTTGTTCATGGAATGTTATCAGCTAGTCTTTTCTCTACATTGGTGGGTACTAATTTTCCCGGGGCCATTTATTTAGAACAATCTATATTTTTTAAAGCTCCCATATTTTTTGAAGAATAAATATTAGCTTAAGTTGCAATATAAGATATCAAACTTAAAAAAGGAAGATCAATTTTGAAACTGAATACTACTATTACAAAAATGGATTAGAAAATAGCTGTAACAGGAGAAGCAACAATTTTAATAAATTGATTTAATTAGTTCTATATAATATATTTACAATAAAATTTACACAAATAATTTAATGAAAATGTTCATAATATGCTTTTTTTATTATTTTATGAAAAGAATATCAATCTAACAATAGATGAATAAAACTATAAATAAATCTGCTTTGATTAATCGGTACATCTTGAAATTACTAATTGTTATATAAAAATTAAGATAAATCTTTAGAATTTAAAATCTTAATATTTATTTATAAGAATCCTATGAAAAAAATATAATTTATTACTTTTTAAATAAACCAAAATACTTTAGAAAAAGTAATTTTCTTATAAAATTACTGTTCAAATAAGTACTTATTTAAAGATAAATCCGAAGAAATTATTAAATTTTATGATTTATAAATAAAATCTAGTAAGCTTTATGCATTTAATAAGGTCATTATTAATATTGTAAAACCATAAAAATTGAAATTTTATTATTAGTATTTCAAGACCGTTGTTCAAAGGTTTAGAATAAAATAAAAAACAATATAGTCTTTCTGATATGTGCTTATTCGATATAGCTTGAGTAATTTTCTGTATCCTCCCTTTAAAGATTTCAGAGTCATGGAATGGCCTCCAAATTTTCAATGGAGTGAATTTTTGTTTATAACTCCTTTAATTTCAAATCAGATTGCTCAGCATATTCATGAAGATAACTGATTTATAAATTTATTTAACTAAGGAATTATTAGGAATATCTTTAGAGATATTCTTTTTAATTACAAAATAAATCCCTATTACTTAATTAGTATTTTTTAAAGAAATAAACTTTTATCAAATCATGTAATTTATCTTTAATTATGTATGAATTATTTTATCTTTCTTATTAAATTTAGAAAATATGATTAAGAAATAACAATAAATTTAAAAGTCTGTTAATAATCTTAACAAAATTTATAGTGATATTATTAGAAAAGTGGAATATAATTAAATTATTCTTAATTATTGTTTTATTGCTACTTTGTTAGAAAAAAATACTTTATGAATTAAGTTTAGTTGAAAGATATTAATTGTTATATCACATTTATTTTAATAATTAGATTTAAGAGACTATTAAAATCTACATTCTTTCCAATTATAAAATTATAACAATAAATCTTTAAAACTGTGTTCCATTTTCTATTTTTTATGCAAGATTTCTAATTTCATATACTTATGTTATGATTATTTTTTTAAACTAAAGTTTTATTAATTGTTTTTATTTAATATAAAAAATAAAAAGGGTTGTCAACACGAGGACTTCCCAAGCGGTCCCCCACCTTAGTACTAACCTCGCCTTAAGCCGCTTAACTTCGGAGTTCGAATGGGATCCGGTGCTTTAGGCTTAGTATGGCCGACAACGATATTTACTATAGCTTAATCCTTTTAAACCCAAGGTTTATTTAAAAGAGGATTAAAATTTATATAAAATTACAATTATTTTTAAGCAAATATACAAAAATTTTAGACTACAAAAACTAAAATATCATTCCTTAAAATCTTTACTTGTATCCATAATTCCCATATACAAATCCTTAAATACTTAAAAATTAAATATATTACCAAATTGATCATTTTTTATTATCTTCCAGTTCTTCTAATATATCTTCTTATTTTAGGATCAGGTATTAGATCTTTTATATTGGTTCTCATTAATGCATTTTAATCATTAATTTAGAGTTGTTTTAGATTATCTGTATTTTAAAGCTATTCATTAGCTTTTTTAAATTCTGGTAAAAAATTCTGCATTTTTTGTAACATAGATGATTAGAAGTATTCAAACTTTGGTTTAGGGTTTAATAATTTGGTGATTGCTAATTCACTTGGGTTAATTTGAATTTCACATCTTAATAAGTCTTTTTTTGACATATGTTATAAAATAATTAATTTTAAACAATGAACTAGAATAAAGTGATATAGCAAATTATAAATGTTAGAGTGTTTTACATATATTGAATTAAATATCTTAATTTTTATTCATATATGAATACTTCAATAATATAATTATTGTAAATGTGAATAATATAAAGAGTAGTGAATTATAAAATTTGAATTTTAAATATAATAGTCAAAATGTCAATTCAAAAAAAAATGACAAAAATTACAAGACAATAAAATGAATAAGGAAAATTTTAAAATATGTATTATGAAGTTCAATTACCTTATTTCAATCCTTAATCAAATTCTGTATTCTCAACATCATTATTAAATAATCCTTCATTATTGAATATTTATTAGTAAGCAATGAACAGTTATTTGCAAGGATATTATAAACAAGCGATCTTTTTTGCAGAAAAATTGCTATGTTTAAGTTAAGATTCAACAGCATTACCATATTTAGTATTTTTGCTTGGAATGGTAATAATAATTATATAAAATTAGTGCCATTTTGCTAATTAGGAATACTCAGGAGTATATAATCTGTTTTTAAAGCACAAATTAACATAAGGAGATTTTGCAGTATTAGGAGCTAGAGCTTTATATTCAAATAGGCAATATGAAATGGGAATTGAAATTCTTTAAGAAGAGACTAGCTCATAAAGTGATTGGGTAAGAGGATAATGTTATGAAGCTTTAGAGAATAAATAATTAGNGACAACGATATTTACTATAGCTTAATCCTTTTAAACCCAAGGTTTATTTAAAAGAGGATTAAAATTTATATAAAATTACAATTATTTTTAAGCAAATATACAAAAATTTTAGACTACAAAAACTAAAATATCATTCCTTAAAATCTTTACTTGTATCCATAATTCCCATATACAAATCCTTAAATACTTAAAAATTAAATATATTACCAAATTGATCATTTTTTATTATCTTCCAGTTCTTCTAATATATCTTCTTATTTTAGGATCAGGTATTAGATCTTTTATATTGGTTCTCATTAATGCATTTTAATCATTAATTTAGAGTTGTTTTAGATTATCTGTATTTTAAAGCTATTCATTAGCTTTTTTAAATTCTGGTAAAAAATTCTGCATTTTTTGTAACATAGATGATTAGAAGTATTCAAACTTTGGTTTAGGGTTTAATAATTTGGTGATTGCTAATTCACTTGGGTTAATTTGAATTTCACATCTTAATAAGTCTTTTTTTGACATATGTTATAAAATAATTAATTTTAAACAATGAACTAGAATAAAGTGATATAGCAAATTATAAATGTTAGAGTGTTTTACATATATTGAATTAAATATCTTAATTTTTATTCATATATGAATACTTCAATAATATAATTATTGTAAATGTGAATAATATAAAGAGTAGTGAATTATAAAATTTGAATTTTAAATATAATAGTCAAAATGTCAATTCAAAAAAAAATGACAAAAATTACAAGACAATAAAATGAATAAGGAAAATTTTAAAATATGTATTATGAAGTTCAATTACCTTATTTCAATCCTTAATCAAATTCTGTATTCTCAACATCATTATTAAATAATCCTTCATTATTGAATATTTATTAGTAAGCAATGAACAGTTATTTGCAAGGATATTATAAACAAGCGATCTTTTTTGCAGAAAAATTGCTATGTTTAAGTTAAGATTCAACAGCATTACCATATTTAGTATTTTTGCTTGGAATGGTAATAATAATTATATAAAATTAGTGCCATTTTGCTAATTAGGAATACTCAGGAGTATATAATCTGTTTTTAAAGCACAAATTAACATAAGGAGATTTTGCAGTATTAGGAGCTAGAGCTTTATATTCAAATAGGCAATATGAAATGGGAATTGAAATTCTTTAAGAAGAGACTAGCTCATAAAGTGATTGGGTAAGAGGATAATGTTATGAAGCTTTAGAGAATAAATAATTAGCAGTTTCTAATTATTTTGAATGTTTATAGAAAACACCTACAAATGTTAGAGTGTTTTAGCAATTAGTTGATTCATATTTGATATCTTCAGATGAAAAGGAAAATTTAGTATAGCAAATCCAATTAACTTCTGATGAAGCTTGGCTAAAGGATTACTATATAAGCAAAACAATAAATTATGATATTGTGAATTCAAAAATAGCTGATCATTTATAAGAAGAGAAAAGAAAAATAGTTTTATAATTATAAATTATTGATAAAGTTGAAACTCAATAATTGAAACCTTCACCAGTACGAAGTCCTTATATAAGAAAAGAAGAAATTCCAATTCAAAATGATTTAATATATGTAGCTTTGGAAAAGAAAAACAATATAGATATATTGAATGTTAAGGCAAAAAAAGCATATTATAATTACGACATTGCTTCTGCTTATGATTGGTCATTGAAGGCAATTAAATAAGATCCTTTGTATTTTGAAGTAATCCCTACTTATGTATCATGTTTATTGGAATTGGAATAGATAGCTGAACTTTATTATTGTGCTCACAATCTAATTGAGAATTATGCTCAAAATGCATTAAGTTGGTTTGTTGTTGGAGTGTATTATTTTTCAACAAAAAAGTATGAAGTAGCAAGAAAACAATTTTAAAAATCTATTTAATTAGATTAACATCTTATATACAGCTGGATTGGTTTAGCACATTCTTATGCAATATAGGATGAGTCTGATTAAGCAATGTCAATATATAGATCAATCACAAGACAATTTCCTGGATGCTATTAAGCACATGTATATATTGGCATGGAATACTTGAGAACAAATAATTTGCAAACTGCTATTTTATCATTATAACAAGCCAAAGATATCAATCCAACAGATCCAATGATTTAAAATGAATTAGGAGTTATAGCTTACAAATAAAAGAAATATAATGAAGCCAAAGATGTAAGCAATATAATATTATTATAATAGTACTTTTTAAATGCATTAGTCTTTTGTTAAAATTCTAATCATAAAATTAGAGAATCTGCTTTATAAAACCTTGGACATACTTTTAGGAAATAGAAAGATTACAAAAATGCCATTTAGATATTTGAAAAATGTATATAAGTAATAATATTTTACTATAAATAGTTGAATTCTGTCTCTCCATAGATATTCTTTGGTTTGGCATTCTCTTATCATTTAAGTGAATTACCAAATAGTTTAAGCAAAGCAATTCATTATTATCATAAGTCGCTCTCATTAAAATCTGATTAAACTTTTGTTTAGGATATGTTAAGCAAAGCATTATAGGAAGCTGCTGATATGGGATTATCAGAATATATAAATTGAATCTAAATATATATATCTATTTAAACAAAAGTAATTTATTGATATTATCAATAAAAATAATAGGGTATTAATCAAAATTATATTTAATTAAGAATTTCCTAATAATATTGGATTATTAAATAATTATATATATATTTAAGACAATAAATATTAATAGTATTTAATTTGGGATTATTTCAATATTTATATAGAAATAATCTTTAAAATATATATGATAAAGGGAAATCAAACATAAATAATATTAATTATATATAACTAATAACTAATAACAATAATAAAATATTGGATATCTTTTAAAAATATTACATAATAAATTTCACAATTTTATGCTTATCTTAATTTAGGACAGAATTTTAGAAAATTGTTAAAATATAGAATTTAGTTGATTTCTTAATGGATTCATAGAGAATAATACTTTAATTTAATAATAGCTATTATATTTTATTTGAATGTATTTTAGCTCAATGAGTAGCTGATTAATTGTTTGGAGCTGTAAATGGTCTTCTTTATTCCAAGAAATCATCAAATTCACCATCTGCACGTCTTATACTATATTAATTTGAAATACCTATTGTTAAGATTTGGTCTTTATTAGGCAGCTCTCAATTATCTCATAACATTCATAACAATTTCTGCTGTTCTTTCAATACTCAATTATTTGCCTGCCCCTAATTTAGCTTTCTCATCCTTCACTAATTCACTTAAATTTTAATTCATTTTTATACCTGATATGATCAATAACTTAATCTTCAATTGCTTTACCACCATTCTTTCTTTATTCATAAGCTTCTTATTGATTTGCCAAATATTAATTCCAGATAGTGTAGGTGAACAATTGATAAGGATGTGAATTGTAGGATACTAATTCAAAATCTCTATCAATCTAATCTACCATTCTTCTTTCACCACCATGTTTGATTTAAGTGACTTGACATTCAGCAATGTGAGGTACAATGAAAAATGTTCTCAAACCCATCTAAAATAATTCTTCCAACTCTTTATTGCCAAAGAAATATTATTTGCAATGTCTGGAGATCTTTCTATATGAATGATAAGCTATTCAATAGACATTTCATTTCAAACCTCTCAAAAATGAATTATGATCGTAACGACATCTAATACCAATAGTAAATTCTGAGCTTGATGGTCTTGGAGCATTGAAATTTTTAGGATGCCAGTTATTCTTCCAACCTGCTCTTGTCCAGAAAAATGACTTATTTCTGATTTTGTAAACCATAAATTAATATCTTTTATTATTCACAAATCAATTACATTAAATTCATTCCTTTTTTTAAATCTACTCTTATTTTTCATAATACTAACCTATGCAAATAAATAACACTTTAAAAACAATAAAAATATTGTAATTTGTTCCATGAAATAAGTGAAGGATTTATTATTCAAATTTTTATTTATTTGAATTCTAATACATCAAATAGAAAAACTATTTTATTTTGAAATACTTGAAGCACAAAGAATTTTTTATTATTTATGAGATGTAATGCTAAAAAATTTATATTACTATAGTATCATATAATTTTTTTATTTTACTTATGAGATTATATTTTAAATATATTGGTTAAACGTATAGAATTAGCATTATTATAATATTATCAATAGCAAAATGACATCAATTGAAAATAATTTAAAAGTAAATAACACATCATCTTATAAATAATAGAGAATTATTTGAAAAATTTCAATGATCCAAAAATAATTCAAGTAACAGATTCTTCAACTTTCAGCTGTGTCTAAAATAAGTTTTTCATTGAATATATCATCAATAATGATATGTGATGCCATAAGAAGGATATTTTAGTATTCAAATAAATTCTATTTGATAATTGAAAAAAAAACAATTAGTATTTATAGTCTTTCTATAAAAAAGTGAAAATAAATTAATCTAAAAATACTTAAGTTTTATAATAATGAAATTGATGAACGTTATAATAAATCATAATACAATTATATGATGGAAAAAATTTATAAAACTAGCATCAAACTCAATATAATAGAAGAGTAGTACTATAACCATTCGCAGTTTCTTTAATACTAGAAATTTTAAGACAAAAAGCACAAAGCATTAGTTTGTAGTGTGATCAAATAACTTTTAAAATATTTTTTAAAGATTTTTAATTAATGGGAAAGAAGGAAAAAGGAAAGCCTAATCCATTAGGTGAAGTTAGTAGAGATTATACAATCAATCTCCATAAGGCAGTTCATAAAGAAACATTTAAAAGAAAGGCACCTAGAGCAGTTAGTCATATTGTCAGATTTGGTATTAAATCATGGACTATTTAGCTTAAAAAAACATGTTAACTGAGGATGTTAGAATAGATCCATAATTAAATGAGGCAGTTTGGGCAAGAGGAATTCGTAATTTACCTAGAAGAATAAGAGTAAGATTTTAAAGAAAGAAGAAGGAGGAAGATGATGGTAAAGGTAAGTATTATACCCTTGCTCAATATGTTCCAGTCGATTCCTTTGATAACCTTAAGACTGAAATTACAAAATAATAATGATATATTTTATGTACAATATAAAGATAGATAAATAATCAACTCATTTGAAACTTAATTACCACAAGGCATCACCAAGATGATGTAATAATTAAATTGCATGACCTTTTGGGTCTTTTTTAATTTCATCAGAATTTGCATTCATTATTCCTATTCCCATAGCATTTTCTTTGCCTTCTCCATATATAGCAACAACCTATCCTTTTTATGCCTTAAAAATAAATCAAGTAACTTACAGTATTAAGTTAACTTCCTTAAGAAATTAATCCTGGAGCTAATACATCAGAACCACTTAAAATATGTTTGATTGCTCCTAAATCAACTTATTATTTGATTAATAGATCAGGGAATTTGTGGACTAATTTCAAATGAGGAATGACCAAATCCTCTTTTGTAAAACAAATATAATCTTTATCAACTTAGACAATTTCGACTTTGTATTCACTTCTTAATTTAAATGATTAGATATTGGCTTTTTTAGGAAAAACTTCATCCTCTATTTCTTTGAAAAAAGGATACTAATCATTGAATGATTGTTTTAATTCCTTAACTCCAGTTTTGGAAAGCAATGTTGGTTTAGAAAGATCCTCTAGTTTCTTGAACATAATTTAATTAAATATTCAAATAAATAAATATCATAATATGTAATCCTGGTAAACTTGTGCTCTATCTGGAGAGTTGATAGAAACTCCAGTAATATCTAAAGTGAGTGGACACATTTATGAAAAGAGATTAATTGAAAAGCACATAGAGAGCACAGGAACATGTCCAATAACAGGAAGACCATTGAATATTGAAGATCTAATTGAAGTATGAAATATATAATGATAATAGGTGAAAGTGTCTCGAGTTTAGAAACCAAGACCAGTCACAGCAACATCAATACCATCATTATTGTCATTATTATAAAATGAATGGGATGCATTATTATTGGAATAATTTTAATTAAAATAACATTTAGAATAAGTTAGACATGAATTGACACATGCATTATATTAACATGATGCAGCTTGTCGTGTGATTGCTAAATTAATTAAAGAAAGAGATTAAGCTAGAATAGAATTGGCATAATTATAGCACAAATTAAATCATAAAATTGAAGTAGAAGCAAATAATGCTCCTGAGAAATTACCATCAAATTATATTGCTGAAATAGAAGAAAATGCAATTAAATTAACAAATTAAAGAAAGATATAAAGAAAGTAATAGACATATTTTGATTAATTCCCAGGCCCTGAAGTAATAGATTCTTATTATCATAGATTCTTTCAAATTATGATGTAAAACAATAATATGAACAAACTTAAGGAGGAACATCTTTGGATACACAAGGTAATTATGTGTTAGTAGGTGGATTGGCAGGATAAGTCTTATTGTATTCTCATGAAAAATTAGTTTATTAAGCTTAAGAACACACTTAGAATATAACTTCAGTTAATTTCTTTACTTATGATGAGCATCTTAGATTTATTTCTTCTTCATAAGATGGAAATCTCAAAATATACTAATTTAATTCTCAAACTTAGGAAGGTTAGATTATTCAGACAATTAATATTGGTTAAAGTGTTACAGGAGTTGCAATCCATCCTTTAGGATATATTGCTATTATAGTAACCAATAATGGAATATTGACATATTATAATTTAAAAAATGGATAACAATTGAGTAGAGTAACTGATTTTGAGGGACAATGTTAATTTACTTCAGTATCTGTTCATCCTGATGGATTATTATTGGCTATTGGGTAGACAGATTCTTAAATTAAGATTTGGAGTATTGTAAAAAATCAATTGTTAGCTTAATTGGAAGGATAAGATGTATTAATAATTATATAATTATAGGGAGCAGTCACAAATGTAACATTTTCTGAAAATGGAGCTAATTTAGCATCAAGTAGTAGTAGTGAAGTTTATGAATGGGATTTAAGACGTCCTGGTTAATTCTCAAAGATATATTAAGGCTAAAAGATAGGTAATTTATGATTTTAAGTTTTAGGTGGTTTATAATATGATCCATCAGGTTAATATTTAGCTATTGGTAGTAACAAGACAATTCACTTTTTTGATGTTAAGAAAAAATAAGAATTTTGTAAAATTGAAAGTCATAGAGATGTAGTCACTGGGATTAGGTATATAATAATTTTATGGATTTTAGATTTGGACAATTAAGTAAGAATATTTATAGCTGCAGTGTTGATAAATTAGTAAATATCTATGGTAACTGAGTAGATTTTAATTATATAAATAATCAGTTAATTAAATATGTATTAAAGGACATCGATCTCTCATTGCTAATTATGTAAAATGTAAGCTATGAAACCTATCTCCTTAATTTGTTCTCATACACTTTGTTTCAAATGTGGATAAAATATATCTATTTAGGAAAATACAAGGTATGAGAAAATTTGAATTTATATTTTAGTTAAATACAGAATAAGTATAGAATTCAATGTCCATTATGTCGTAGAGTCACACATACTTATGATATCAATAATCTCTTAATGGAAAATAATGAATTGAATCTCATTACTGATTCAAGTGAAATGGACAAAGAGATTCTAAATGAGGTATTTACTCATTTACATATAGAGTTAATTATAAAATGATTCATAACATTGCAGAAGATATTCTAATTTTGATATTCCAAATAAAGCTCAAAACACAGCTCAATAAAAAATGTCAGAATTATTAACTTAAACTAATAATGCTATGAAATTGATGAATGAAAAACCTAAACAAAATAATACAACTATTGGTCATATTCATAAATAATCAGCAACAGTTGCTATAATCCCTGAAGAAAGTATTTTTATATTTGAAATTATTAGATCGTTCCAAAGTTCAACTCAATTAATAACCTTATGGATCTTAATTTTAATCTTAGATATAAAAAACCTTAATCTAATATCAATAATAATAATAAGAACTTCAATTACAAACTTAATTAGTTAATAAAGATATATTAAAACCCAATAATAATACTCCTAATGCTAGTCCTTATTCAACTCCACTTGCATCCTAATTTCACATTAATTTTCAAAATACTGATAATAAAAAGTAACCATAAAATCCACCTCAATTTTAACCATAAAAAGATAAACCATATTATTTAGATGATAAAAAATATACTCAAGAAATTAAAGAAAATTAATTTCAAAAAGATATATAGAAAGAAATTACTGAACCATCTCGACACAAAAGAAGTGCTACTGGAGTACCTAATAAATAATTAACTAATAATAATAATATATCAATTATTAATAATGTTAATCAAAATAATAGTAATAATGAAAGTTCAGAATAAATTATTACTTAATATTTCTAAATTATATAAAAAGGTTTATAAAAATTAGAAAAAGATACTTTAATGATTATTAAAAACAAAAATGTTCATCCATAAGCTCTATATTAAAAAATGAAATAATTAAATCAAACTAAAGATCAAGATGGTGAACTAATTTAATCAATTAAAATAGTGATCAAATTATAAACTGAATTAAATGGATTATCAACACCATCTTGTCATAGAAAAACAAGTTCTCATGCTAGTCATAGATATTCAAATAATACAACCAATACAAAAAGTGATCATAGTTCTACTTCAATTTTGCAATAAGAATTTAAAAACTTAAAGAAATTGTTTTGATATTATATATCAATTTTTTTTTAATTAAATGTATTTCATGCATCTAACCAAAAATAATCAATTTCATCTGGATCATAAATAACTATTGCAGCTTCTTATGATTCCTTTAAAAATTTTTAAATTGTTTTTTCCTGATTGCAATACTTTATCAATGACTAAAAATTATTATAATAATAACTACTTTTAAATAAATATTAAGTTGTTTAGCCCTTCTTGAAATAAATTCTTATTCAAGATTACCAAAAAATTTTGATTCAGGAAATTTTTTTACTTTCAATTTAAAGTTTTTTGAAAGCCTGTCATCTAAAGCTTTCAATAGACTATATCTAGTCTAAAATACCCAATAAACATTCCCTCTTGATAATTTTATTTCATAAAGAGTGAATTTATTGTCAACTATTTTGGTCCCTATGACATCTATCTAGAGTTCCTTATATTATTTTATAGTATTTTGTACTTTAGATTCATCTTTTGACAAGTGTAAATTTTTGATATCGTTTTTCTACAGAAAGTTAAGAATTGGTAGTTAAGAATCTGAAAGTTTTTCAGAAGAATATAAGAATAAGTTTTAATCATTTTCCATTTCAATCAAATAATATAAGATTGCAGATTTCTGTATTATAATAATTAATAAAAGGTTTAGATCATTTATTCTTTTTTTAATCAATAATTATAATTTGATATGTTCAATAAATTTTTAATAAATAAAGTACTAAATCATTCATATTTTATATAATTAACAAATAAAAAAGAATTCCTATTTAGATATAATTCAAAAATAATTATGTTTATAATCTCTTTGCAATTAGAGATCTACGATTGTAAATGAATAATCATTAATATTAGGAAATTTAGAAATATATTCTATTCTATTAAATAATTTCTATTAGCAATCTTAAAAAATTAATTCATACCAAGATTTAATTAAATTAAATTGAAAAAATGTTTATCAAAAAAATAAAATTCAGAATTCTATTATCTCTATATATAATATATATAGAATTTGCAACTGATAATAATTCTGTAATTTGAATCATCGAATAGAATAATGATTGAAAAAAGAAATTGAAATTTTGAGCATAAAAATGTTTATCAGCACTAAAAACATTATTTGATAATCTTTAGAAATGTATTTTATAATGTATATACTATACTAAATATAATTTTAATCATTGTTGAGTATTAAATTAAGAGAGAGTAGATTACTAGTTATTGAATGTCATTTAGGATTCAGCAGATTCCATACTGTATTCTCTAATGTTTAGATTTATAGAAATACTTATCAAACATATGTTTATCTGAATCAGAAGAGATATTACTCTTAATATCAGAACCATTTTCAGATAAATAATGCTCATTTTAAATTTCTAAAGCAATCAAATTAATTCTTACTTTCGCATTCCTTTATAGCTCTTGCAAAAATAACCGATCGAAGACTATCATAGCCAAATGATGAATGAAGAGACATTTTTTGAACGTTCAAATTATTAGAAATTTATATATTGAATTTCGTTTTTAACTTCTATAAAAATACATAATTAATACGAATAAAAAATGCGTAAGTGATCAAATAATTGCTCAAAAGTAATTATTGATTTCATAAGTAAGTTAATTCTAATATTCATATTCAAAGTATGTAGATCATCATAAGAAAGTCATGATTATAGAAATCTAATGCACCTTAACGAAATATAAAAGGTTATTTTTATATTCCAATATTAATCGAGCTATTCAAAACTGTAATAAGAATTAAGCTTAAATGTATATTTCTGGATATATTATGAAACATAAATTTGATTTTAAAACAGTTGTCAAATTAATAACAATTTATTTAATAGCTCATTTTCTTAGAATTATTGAAATAAAAGTTAGTTATCTAACATTCTTATAAAAAAATTTGAATTATTTAAGTCTGTTTTAATAATCTGGTAAAAAAAGGTTCTTTTTATTCCATTTTATTCAGATATATTAAAATATATATGAATAAGTTTTTGTTCTTATGTAAATTTTAAACTAAAAATACAACAAGGGGTAGTTCAAAATTATTTTCATATGTATAAATTCTGTTTTTTTATAAAGATTAGAATTATGTATAAAATTCAATTTTTTTTAGATATCACCTGATTACGCCGTAATACATACAAATTGATTGATATCTTGATATTAATACTAATTATATTCGAAAATTAATTATCTTTATGATTTTTATTTCAAAAATAAATTTTGTTATTTTAAAAGTATGGTAATTGGCAAAAAATATTCAAATTAAGTGATAGTTTTAAAAAATCTTTGTTAATATAAATTTCATTAACATCAATAAAATGGTAAAGTATTGCAAAAATTAATTTCATTCTATAATTAAAATAGTAGCTATTAGCTTTTTAATTTATTGAAGATAATCTGTAAAAAGGAAATTTAACAAAAATCTAACTTTAATTTATATCCTTGCTCTTCTTTATAGATTAACTAAGAATATAAACTGAAGATCACCATTTTTTTAATAAGAAAATTTTTAGGTTTTTGTAATGATAGAGATAATTAGTGATCTATAATCTATAGTTTGTATCTTTAAATAGATAGAATTGAAAGTAATTAAATACTGGAGTCTAATCATGTGTAATTTTATATCAAATTCGGGAGTGATCTTGGTATGGTTACACTATTTCTACGTCTATCATTGAGTTAACTATCAGTCTTCCATCGGTGAAAGTATTTCATGGCGGAATGAGTAATAATTTCTATTGGATTAACAAAAACAGGTTTGGAAAATGTTTCAGGTGTTTCGAGATTTAAAAAACCATCAAGATCATTGGTATAAAAATTTAAGTGACTTCTTTAAGATTCTTCAATTTCTTCTATCATACTTAGAGTTGATTTGAAATTGTGGAATCCAGAATCAAATATTTATAATTCACTTTTAATTTTATCAAATTGATCTTTAAATTAATGTTATTTTTATTGATTAATTTCTTGAAATTATTCTAGAATTTCATGTGTGCAAAAGTAAATAATATCTTTATTTACATTTACTAAACAAGGTATTAGATCTTGAATATTTTACTCTTATTCAATATTTCCTATAGTATATTAAACAGTAATTTAAGTTCGTTATTTAAATGCTGGTTTTGGTTATTGTTGTAATTCTTAAATTTCTATAGATTTTTTATGATTGCTTTTATTTTAAGTTTCAGCACTTCTCCACTTTAATTTAGCCAAAACTGCATCAATAACTTATTTTTATAAATCTGTTATTTCAGGTCCATTACAACCTGATAATAAATCATCCAAGTTATTAGCTGATCCATTATAAGTTTATCTATAAATATATTATTCAATATATATTACAGATAAGGTAAATCTTTTTCTCTTTTTATCAAACTATTAAATCGATTTTTTAGATTATTTTCACTTCTTCTACCATCCATAATTTTTGAAATTTCAGACCATCTTCTACCAATTTCTTTAACTGTCTACAATAATTTTATATCTTCATCATCTGTCCAAGGTTCTCTAAATTTAATACAAATTATATGATACTTTGAAATTTTTGGGTTTAGATGATTTAACCATCTTTCTCTACATTATTTACTAGAACGATAAACAGAAGAATTTTGATTTAATTCCTATGAAATTAGACTCCACTTTTAACCCTAATCAGCAGATTAATACTTCATAATAATTTCAAATAATTTTTAATCCTCTTCTGGTCTAAAAGGTTACTATTACAAAGCGACCTTTTACATTTAAGCCCATTTTTATTTACATTATTCCTTATCTCTACGACATATCATCTTTGAAACTTCTTCAAAAAGTTCAGTAGATAAATCCCTCAAGTCTTCATTCCTAATTTAACTAAGCTTCCCAATAAGCCAAATTAACACTTTCTTTTCATTTAATGTCCAATTTTTTTTGAGATTAGAATTCCATCCACTTGTAGTAAGAATCTCTAGTTAAATTTAATTAATTTCTTCATCTGTTGGAAATTCTGTGAGTCCTAAATTAAAAAATTCTTTCATGTATTCAAATTTAGTAAAAGTAGTGCTCTAAGCTTGAGAATAGAATATTTGGAATTCCTAATAGAAATTATTATCTTGTGAATCTGAATTTTTCCTTTATGATATCGCTGTCTTTAATTTACTTTTAGATTTCTTTCTCTCTACCAAGCTTTTATTTCGTTTACTCATATAATAAATATTAATGAAAATAACAAACTATAAACATTTCATTTACTCTTTGACTTTAATCTACTTAACTTCTTACTCCCATTTTTATCAAATACATATAAACTTATGGCAATCACAAAATTAAAACAACTAACACCAACAAAGAAATAAGATTAATAAAGATACCTAAATAATAATGATTTGATAATATTACCCTTGAAATGGATCAACTTGACCTTCTTCATTGATTAAATGACTATTATATAAACTTCCAGTAATAAGAGGAAATAAGGCTAAAGCTGTATTTTACATTACTCCTAATAAACCAAATGCAGTTCCTAAAATTCAATGTTTAAGAGTACCTATCATTTGTGATTTAACAACTAAAGGGATGGATGGAATCAAAATGGCAGAGTAAAAAGAATAACAAATTCCTAATGATAATAAAGGCAAGGCTGAAACTCCACAAGCAGACTAATTTCAAATAGATTTTATAGATTTACATCACAATAGATAAGGAGAAGACATAAATGAGTGATAATAAAGATTACTGTAGTAAGAACTATTAATAAGGAACGTTGACGAATCTTGTCACTATAAATGCCTACAAAAGGAGTCACACATGCTGCAAATACATAAGGAATAGTAAGTAATACACCTGCTGATTGTTAACTAAAGCCAAATTTGACTTAAAAAAATGCATTTCCATTATCTAAAAAAGGTACAAAAAGTGCTTCACTCAACATAATTATGCATGATAATATCCAATATGATCCATCTAAATGTTTCAAATCTGATAATTTAATCTCTTCTTTTGCTTCATGAACTGGTGCTTCTTCTTTTTCATCATCTTCATCATCATCATCTTCATCTTCTAATAATGATACTGATCGATCACTTTCTGTTGATTCGCTTTTTCTAATCTATAAACTCATTTCTTAAGCACTATTTTATGCTTCTTTTGTATCTTTAATCTCATGATTACCTTCCTCTGGATTAAGCTCTTTCCAAATTTTCATCAATTCTTCATTTTTCTTATCTAAATAGATTAAAGCCAATCCACATCCCCAAGAAAATATTACAATAAAAAGTCCAACTAAAAATGTGAATCCCAATTCACCATGATTAGCTTAAATCTGAGGACTAACTAAACTATTCAAAGCACTTCCTAATTTTGGTATGGATAAACATAAACCCAAAGCCAAACTGACTTACCCTCCTTAAAACCATTAAGACATTATAGCTGCTTATGCTGCATTCAGACTTTCAGAGCCAATGCCAAAAATGCATCTACCAGCCAACATTGTACCATATGATAAAGAGTATCCACCAATAACTACTATACTCTAACCCAAAATAAGTATAGATGAAAATATCAATATACTCACTCTCACTCCTATCTTATCGATAAGGATTCCTCCAAAAAACGGTAATATGATATTTGGAGCAGAATAAATCGAATAAAGCATATTGAATTAAACATTGTTTAGGTTCATCTCTGTTTAGATCGTTGATTGCAGAGCCATTGGATTATCAAAAGCATATGCATCTCCAAATAATAGAAAACAAGCTAAAGCAAGTGCCAACCATAACACCCATGTCTTTTAATATGGTAATTAGAATAGAAACGACTACTTGCTTGATTTTTCTAATTACATAATTAATTATCTTTATAATTCTTATATTAAAGTTCATACAATTCTTCCATCAAGCCTAAGATTTGCTATTATTTGTATCATCTACTTAAAATAGATCAACCGAAATATGATGCATATTTCTTTTATAAATTGAATTAATATTTTTTACAAGTCATGATTTTATTTACAGGGAATGAGTAAAACTCATTAATTTAAGAGTATATATTTTAATAATCATAGAAAAAAGACTTGTCTAACAAAATAAATTTTTTTATAAATTAATATTTTTGAACTTCTCTTTTTATTCTTCATCTTCATAATCTTATTAATAATCCTACTCTTTTTGTAATTTTCATTCACAACTTGCACATTAAATAGCCTCTATAAATGCTCCATATTTTTAACAAAATAAAATCTACTTCAATAATATGAAGTCTTCAAAAGAACTTTATTCTCATAAAACATTTTTCTATCATCAAGATTATGGTTTGGTAATTAATTTTGTTGTGATACTATAATTAAATTAAAGTTTAAAAAAATCTCTAATTTTATATTAATTAAGAAAATTTTATTTATAATTATTAAGATTAAGATTAATTTGTAAAACAATAAAATGATAAATTTAAATTAATAGAAATTATATAGAATCTTAAAATCTGAGATAAATATTAATTAATAACTTAATCTTTGAACATATTTGAAAATTATCTTCAAAATAGTGAATCATAACTAATTTAAATACTGAAACATAAAAAAATCTTTATAATTTTAGATTTCAAAGAATTTTCAATATTTTCTACTTTTATTCCTAAAAAAGTTACAATTCATAAAAGATAAATGCAAATGGGAAAAATGAAGACGAGATTGTTTGAGAATTTCAATATGAAAAGAATGAATTCAATAAGAAAATCTAAATTATGAATCTACATAAGTTGTTTATTGTTATTGACAAGCCTCTCTATTAATATTGAGTGCTTGATCGTATTTCATATTTTGATTGGACTAGAATATTAATGAAATACAGCTACAACTATGGTAAATTATATAAGAGCAACCAAAATTTAATTTAATCATAATTTTGATTAAAAAGAGAAATGCAATTTCATCCTTTGCAAACTAGACTAATAATATAATGTTGCTCCATCTCTCTTCCTCTGTATGAAAGTTTATCAATTTAATAGAGATATTTAATGTTGATGATTCCCTCATACTATATTTAAAAGTTATATGATATTATTCCAAGGCAATAAATATTCTTCTAGATTTATGGTCATATTCATATTTTACAATAAAAAGTTAATTTAAAAGTTATGCTAAAAAATAGAGAGATTCACCCAATTAACATATAGATGCTATTTTGAAATAAAAAATGTTATTTTGATCACAAATCTTATACTTTTCAATATGTAACAATAGTCAGCCTATCAAAATATAATTTAACCTATTTTATTATTTGTTTGTTATTTCTTTTAACTTATATTTTCTTTTTTCATAGGTTTTTATTTCTTTTTATTATCAATAATAAACAAAACTTAGAATTAAATATCTATATTAAAAATATGCAAAATTTCATACCTCGCTACTTCTATTATCAAAGATTAAGTTCACATATGGTATTATTACATTTAACTAGAAAATTAGAAAAACTTTAGATCGTGAAAATAGAAAACCAAAGAAATGGCTATAAAATTACTTTGTTCCATTTATTCCTAAATGGTCCCAGAAAATTGTAGATAATAAAAAGAAATCTATCTTCTTTCTTCTATGTTTGGGATTGTTTGCTTATTATGAAGGGTTCTAATGTAAAATTAAATTGTTATTATTTTCAGATCTACACCATAAAATATTACATAGAGAGCCTCTTAAAAGCAAATTCAATAGATGGATTTTCAAAGTTAAAAACCTACCATAGTAATCCTTAGTTGAATTTTAACCAATTACAACACTAAATCAAAATACTGTTGATTAATTAAAAGAGATATATTTAAAATATGAATAGGAAATGAAATATGGAATGTCTCGTAAATTAATGTTTGAGGTCTATGAATCTCTTAATTTGTTCTAAAAAGATGAAGAGAGAATAGGATTCTATAGACAGTCAGGTTATTATAAAAAGGTAATTTCAACCTTATATTAAATTAATAGAGAAATTAAAAGGTTTCAAGTGTACATTTCTAATAATTTATCAAGATATTTGAAGATGCCTTGAAAAAGTTGAATAAAAAAGGAAATACAATTACAGAATCAGAATTAGTTTCCCAATTTATCTAATTATGTTCAGAAAAATAAGATGAAGTAATGATACATTTATATATTATTAATATAGATTAAGAAATGGGAAAACAAAATATAATAGAAGAGAGCTGAATTTGTTAAATTGCTACCTGAATTATAAGATTAAAAATAGGGACTTATAAGATAGATGTTAAGTGAAAATCCATATGTAACTGAAGAATACATTCAATAGGAAGTAAAATATAATAGTAGTTCATAATTAGCTTGAGAATAAGGGATTATATGGATTGGGTACAAAGGATAAACTTTAGATTTATGATCTTCAGTTATCTCTTCATAAAGTACTATTGGATAGCAAAAAAGCAAAATTATACAATAGTATGCTTTTTGGATAATCCACGTTGAGTGCATAAAAAGAGAAAAAGTTGAGAAATAAGATAATGATTGAAGAGGAGAAAGTGAATGAACTTCAAGTGAAGAGAAATGAAGTTGCTGAAAAGTTTAAGGTGTTATTTAAGAAATAAGAGATATTTGATATTTGATTAATAAAATAATAAAAAATTAAATGTCTGAAGAACATTAAGAATTTGAAGGTTAAGAAGGTTAAGAAGGTTAAGTAGGATAAGAAGGATAAGAAGAAATGCATGAGGGATAAACTGAATAATAATAACAATAATAACAATAATAAACTCAAACTTAACAAAAATAAAAGCCTGTAGTCCCTAAAAGTGATCCTCCTCCAGAGGGAGCAATCATTTTTGATTTTGAGGTTTGTATGGATTGTGCTTCTCATGCTTGGTGTACTCATCATGATGAAAATAAATACACATAATTGTATTTGGATTGCATGACAGGTATACAATATATAAATAAATCTAGAAATTAATGCATAAATTCCAAATTCCTATTGCACATATAATGCTAAGAAAAAACCCTCAACTGGAGCTTTTGAAATATCTCATAAAGGTAAACAGTTATATAAATGAATAGGCCATATTATTTTTTCAAAGAAAAACTCTTAGCTCTTTCCATAACCTAAATTGTTACCTGAAAGAATTAGATAATTCTTAGATGATTTGGAAAATAAAAGAGATGTTGCTAAATGGGCTACAAAAAAAGAGAAAAAATAAGAGTAACCAAGACAAATCAAGGAAAGACCTACCTTTTAAACATACATGAAACAAAGAGAAGAATAAGAGAGATTAGCAAGAGAATAAAAACAAAAATAGGAGGAAGAAGCTAGAATGAAATAAGAATAAGAAGAAAGAGATAGATAAGAAAGAGAAAGATAAGAAGAGGAATAAAGGAAAATTGAAGAAGAGAAAAGAAAACAAGAAGAATAAAGATAAGCTGAAGAAAAGGCAGCTGCAGAGGAAAAGGCTAGATAAGAATAAGAATAAAAAGATCTTGAATAATAATAAGAAGAAGCTAATAAATAAAACCAAGAGTAAGAATAATAATAAGATGGAGAAAAATAACCAGAATGATAAGATTCATAATAAGCAGAATGAGATTATAACATTAAATAAACTATTTGTTAATTCTTTTTATTATCATAGAATTCTAATACTTTAATATCTGTATGTTGAATGTTTGTATAGAGTTTTAATTGAGAAAAAGAAAGATTTAAAGTTTAAATTCATGAGATTGATAATTAGATAATAATTGGATACTTCATATAATAAACTTGATTCAAACAAAATTGATTTAAAATAATATTATTTTTAAGTTTTCAAATGCAATAGTAGAAACTTCAATCTACTTGTCCTCATTTCTAAAGGATTTTACTTTAAAGAAGTAGTCCTTAAGTTCATAAGTCTTTATCTAAGTTATTAGTAATTTATATTCTTGAAAATTTAGGTTTTATTCAAGAATAAGTAAGTTAAATGTGAGATTTGTTAAAGAAAACAAGATTATTTGAATATATGTTTGAAATGTGAAAAGCCATTATGTGATATAGAAAAAATATGTTCTGCTGAGCATTTAAGATGTAAAAATATTGATTCAATAATAAGTAAATAGTCCTGAACATTGTGTGATAATTAATATTCACTCAAATTTAATTGCATGTCTGATGTGTAAAATAGAAATTTATGATTTTGAGCAAACTTTATAAAGTGAAGAAGATCAATATATTGAAGAAATTATTAATCCTTAAAAAATACGAATGGAATATCACAAATTCTTTTATAAGTAAGAACCTCAAAATATACAATTTAAAAATCATTAAAATGTTTAACATGCAGGAATGTTAAATATCTGTAATAATAGCCATTTGAATTGTGTTTTATAAATATTACTAAATTATCCTGTAATTTAGTAAATACTTCAAAAGATAAATTCTGAATATGAAATAAATGAATATTGTTTGAAATCTAATCGTAAATAAATTCTTAGAGAATTAAGTGCCATGGCCTCTATTTATTCATAACATTAATATAGAATCATAAATCCTTCTAAAGTTATAAAAAATCTTGCTCAAATTGACTCAAAAATTATTGGGTATTCAAGAAAGGATGCTTATGTATTTATTATTATTATTTTAATTAGGATGCTTTTAAAACAGTTATCAACTTTTTAAATGAAGAATTCAAATTCTCTAATTTGAAAGGATACTTTAAAAGTAACTTGATCTACACAAAACAAGCTTTAGGACATGATTGGAACATAATGTACACTCTAAAAAGTAGTTAGTGCTGATCCTAGTTAATATATGGAATATTCTTTTATTCAAAGTATATTCTCTGGAGAGCTTATTTCTAACCTACAATGTTTGAATTGTAAGAAAATTACAAAGTCTGTTGAATAATTTTCAGCGTTATCCCTAGAGCTCCCAGAAATAAAGCAACAAGGATTCTTTAAATAATTAGTCCATAATCAAAAATAGTCTATCTCATTATAAGAGTGTCTTGATTATTTTTATGAACCAGTGATCGATTCATTAACACTATGTAGTTGTGGTGCAAGATCAGGTAAAAGACAATATAGTTTTTAATAATAATCCAATTTATTATGTATTCATTTACAAAGATTCTTGAATAAAACTTAAAAAGATACTAAACATGTTTCATTTCCAATTAAAGATCATAATTTTTAAGAATATTTTAATGTATGATTTCATTTAAAATAAATAATAGTTGGATAGTGAATAGAATTATAGACTTTTTGGTATAATAGTACATTTACACGATTAAGGAGGTGATCATTTTGAAACTATATTAAAATGTCAAAATTAACAATTTCTTAGCATTAAAGATGAAATTATAGAAATAGTTTCATAAAAATATGTAGAAGAATGTGAAGCTTTATTATTATTTTATGAAAAGGTTGATAATTAAATAGATCTATTTAAAGCAAGTCTTCGAAAAAACCTATAAAATTAACATAATATGATAAAAAATTAAGAATTATTATTGAAAGATGAAGAATTATGCTATTTACCACATTTCTGGTTTGAATAATTTTTACATCTTGCAAAACCACCTTCAATTATAACATCCCATTTAATTTGTCCTCATAATCTCTTAAAACCAGATTATTGGGATTTTAGAATAGAATATGAAGTAATAAATATATTTATATTAAGAATGCTAAATCAGCTTAATACAATTCTTAATTAGATACTAATACAAGTTTCATTACTATAGGAGAAGTATAAAATTCTAATTCTCCTGCTTACATCTAGGAGAGTTCTGCTTATAAATAATTGTAACTCACATCAATCATTATTCCAAAAGCTGTTTGTGAATTTTTAATAGAAAAATATGGAGGAGGTCCAATTATTGAAAAGAATATCAAAACTTGTAGTACTTGTTTAGAATATGCATAATAAATGAGTAGAAGAAGGAAATTAGAAAGACAACTAATAATTAAATATGAAAGTCTTCAAGGATATGACAGAATATTTGTAGTACATGAAGAATGGTTAAAGAAATGGCAAGCCTATCTTTATAATTCAAAGTAGATTTTACAAAGAAATAGTTTATTTGGTTATCCTCCTCCTGGAGAAATAACTAATTATTTATTATTAGATAAAGATTAGTAGATTGTATAATAAAAAAAAGAAGGTTAACATTTTCATATGATCACTGCTCCTATATGGCATATTTTATAAGAAATTTATGGAGGAGGTTAGATATTTAATTTAAATTAGGACCCACTATTTCTATTAATCCTCATTAATAATAATATGAACCTTTTAAATTATAAATGGATGATCTAATTTAGATAAAAGAGATCAAGGTCTTATATTAAAATTGTATCAACTAATACAAACCTGAAATTTAACAATGATACACATGTTTATGAATTTTGCAGATTATTATAAAATTAATAATAAATAAATAAAAATCTACAATTATTAATATTGCGCTATTATCTTCTAATTTCATATTAATAGATATTAAATTATTATTAGGTAATAATAATTTACAAATATATTAAATTAATTTAAAATGAATATTATATCTAAATAAAATAATGCTTTTATATATCAATATATTATCTAGTTTTAATTATTGTTTTACAAAATTACTTATGAATTGAGTTTATATATTTTATATAAAAATCGATCAGTTTTTTTGTATAAATTAATTTTAATTGTTCTTGTTTATTTTTATTATTTAAAAAATCCTTTTATATATTATTTATATATATAAATATAAATAACTTAAAATCATTGGTTCATGAGATTAAAATTACTTTATTAACAATCTCTTTAATGTATTTATTTACTAATTTAATTTAATTTAAAAATAAAATAGTTTGAGAATTCATTTAATGAATTTTAATATGACTTAGTTTTCATAATTTTTTTATTTGATGCCAATTCATTAATTTTATTAAATCAAATATTTTCAGATAACAGTATAGAAATGGGAAATTGTTGTAATGGTGGTGGATAAGTTATGGAAAGAAATGTATAGATAGAAATAGGTTAAAATATCTCAGATAAGTAAGCAAATTCAGATATACTTAATAAAAAAGCTATAATAATTTAAGGTATTTTTGATATGCAAAACAAGCTCATTGTAGAGGTCATATAGTTAGAAAGAAAGTCAAAAAAATATAGGAACAAGACAAAACTGGGAATAAAACATCGTAAAATGGTTCAAGTAAGGGAAAGAACAATAATAATAATAAAAATTCATAAAATAAAAGAATTGCTTAAGAACCCAAAGAAGAAATTTATTAAAATTAAGTTGATTTAAATAGAATTCATGCTCCAAGTGAAAAATATAAGAAACTAGACAGAATGCCAGATTATTTGACTGCTAAAACTAAATAAGTATTAAAAATTATTTAAGTTAGGTTTTAAGTCAAATTGAATCCTTTTTGTATGATTAGGACAAGGATGAATTTAAAGAATTACCATTTTTAGAACCTTATGAATTAGATGGGGGTAGTGTTTATAAAGGATAATGGAAGAATGGGTAAGTTTAAATTTGAAAGTAATTTTAGACTGAGACATGGAAGAGGAACATAAATTTGGCAAGATGGGTCAATATATGAAGGATATTGGTATTAGAATGTTGCTTGTGGCAAGGGAAGATTGATTCACACTGATGGAGACAAATATGAGGGAGAATGGAGAAATGATAAAGCTCATGGATTTGTAAGAATGTGAATCTATATAATAGGGTAAATATATACATATGGATGGAGCTTAATATGTGGGATATTGGGAAGATGATAAATAAAATGGCAATGGTAAAGAAATATGGCCAGATGGCTCTAGTTATGAAGGATAATATAAAAATGGTAAAAAACATGGCAAAGGAACTTTTAAATGGGCTGATGGCTCTATATATATTGGAGAATTTGATTAAAATAATATACATGGTAAAGGAGAATATTAATGGGAAGACAACAGAAAATATGTTGGGGAATGGAAGAATAATAAAATGGATGGAAAAGGAGTAAACATTTAAATTATATTAAGGTTTTTACATGGTTGGATGGTAGAAAATATGAAGGGGAATATAAAGATGATAAAAAGCATGGCTATGGAGAATTTTAATGGCCTGATGGAAGGGTAATTGTCTATTTTATGTAGTTTAGATGTATAAAGGATTATGGGCAAATGGAAAATAAAATGGTATAGGAATTTATATTGGCTCATCAAAAGTTGAAAAGGAAGGAGAATGGTAAGATGGAAAAAGAATACGCTGGATTAGAAAAGGAGGATTACCAACTAAAGAAGAAGGAAATTGAAAATTCACTAAGTTTATTATCATTTTTTTAAAATTGTTCAATCAACTATTTAGAATTTATTATATCATATTCAAGAGAAATTAACTAACAATATGATAGTGTATAATATATTTAATTTTAATCTTAGTACCCCGTTTCATTTACATCTATTCAATTTCATTTTTTAATCTCTTATACGTAAATTATTTAATAATACATTATGAAAAAAAATGAAAAAGTTGAACTACTGTTGTGTAAATTTGAAACTGATACTCTACACAAGGAAAAGCTTAATCAACAAAATCAGATAACTTATCTCTAATCATAAGAAAATTATGTTCTTTAAAACATTTTGAGAATCGAAAAAAAAAACCAAGTCCCCTAAATAAAAGCATCTCACTGTGGCCTGACTGTTAAAAGTATGATATTGCATTGATTTCATAAGAAAGTTAATAAGAAAATGAAGAAGTTTAATTAGAAAATTATAAGAAGTTCTAAGAATAATCTTTATCAAAAATTGAAGATCTATCATCAAAATCTCATTTGTCCAAAAAGAGAACAGAGATGATTAAATCATAATCATTTACTCAAATCTGTCCTTTATTAGATGATAATTTAACTTGTATTTCTTAAACTTCATCATTGTATTTGATTATAATAATTTTCAGTATTTCAGTAGAAAAACAAAAGATATCAATTGAAACAAATAAAAAAATTAAGAAACGAAAGAGCCATGTTCTTAGAGATCTTAAAACATCTGTCAGTAGAAAATAGATTAATATGAAATGTAAAACTTAAAAAAAACCAGAAAACTCAATAGGATAGACTTTACCCTATTTACATGAGAAAGATGAAATAATTTCATCAATTGAAACTATAATATAATAAGAAGCTCTATCGAGTGAATAAAGTAAATATTAATTTTATTCAATATTTTAGCAATCTCCTTTTAAAATTATTAATACTATATGCATAATTTGATTGGATATCTAATGGGATCTTTGAAAGACTCTTTTATGGCTTAAATGTATATTAGTCATTTCTCTCAATTATACAACAATCTATAAAAATCAAAATTCATAGTTTGCCCATAACAATATACTTTTTCTACTAAAATTAAGCCTTAATTAAGTAATATAATTTAATAAATTTAAGAAATATAAAAGACATTGATAATAGATTTAGATGAAACATTAGTACATTGTAATGAATTTAGTTGTTTAAAAAGTGATTTTTTCATTCCAGTAGTTTATAATGAAAGAACCTATTAGGTATATCATATTTCAAATTTAGGTTGGAATAAGCATAAGACCTCATGCCTAATAATTCTTAAAGAATATGGCTAAAGAGTATGAAATCATAATTTTCACTGCATCAAATCCAGATTATGCGAACAAAATTATTGATTATTTAGATCCAGAACATAATCTTGTATCTTATAGATTGTTTCGAGATGATTGTATTCAAATATCAAATAATTGTCACATTAAAGACTTAAGAATTCTTAATAGGAATATGAAAGATATTATTTTAGTGGATAATTCAGCATACTCATTTGCCTTTTAAATTGATAATGGGATACCAATCATACCTTATCTTGATGATAAGAATGACAAAGTATAAATAAATTTTATAATTAATAGGAATTACTACATTTATAACATTATCTCCAATATGTGAATTAATTTGATGATGTTCGTATTTAGAACAATAAAATGTTTAATTTGAAAATAGTGTAAAATTGCATTTCAATAGCAGAGGCTATTAAACATTTAGCAGCCTCTATCTCAAAGTGATCATTTTTATGAATAAAAGCAATGATAATTAATATTTATTATGTTTGTAATTTGAATAAGAGATTATTTCTTAAATATATATATATAATATGAAAAAAAATCAAATATTTTCTAAAAGTATAAACATCATAAGAGATCGTTAATAAGAGTATAAACCTTCCTAACATTCAGCATCAAAGTCGAAATAAGAATCAGATGAAGAGAATGGAAAAATGTACTCGTCCTAAATAATGAAGAAGGATATAAGAAAATAGGTAATTAAAATTCAGAATCATGGTCATCAACAGTATTAAGCCAATGTTTAAGTACATCAATAATAACCAAAAAAGAATGGTATTCTGAATATTAGCAGAAAAGGTATGTTGATATCCATCATTATATTTTAGATTAATAATAACAACATTAATAACAACCAAAATCAACAGGATCATTTCCTATATTTATTAGGAATATTAGAGAAGGATCTAATTAGAATGAATTAAAATAATTAATAAATGATGATTCTAATATATTAGGAATATAAGTAAGAAATTTTAGTAATATAGATTAATAATAAATAAGCCACCATTACATTTTCGAATTAATAATCTGCTGATCAAGCAATTGGTATATTTTATTAAATTTAATTTATTTAGAACTTATTAACAATTACAAAGAGAAAGGCTATCAAATGAGTGCTGTTCCAAATTATTAATAATCCAGTAAAGTCATTGTACTAGGATAATTTTAATCAGGAAGAGGATCCAAAGATGATGGAAGACTTAGAATGGATGTTAAAGAATCAATCTTTGATAGAATATAAACCAAATAATAGTGAGGCATTCAGTCTTGTTCAATTTATTTCTATAAATAAAATCAATATTTAAATTTAAATGGCCAAGTTATTCATATTGTATATAGATCCAATTCTATTTGTAGGATTAATGAGGTATATATACTTCAAACTATAAAAATAATATTATTTTACAAATATTTATATATATTTAAATTATGATATAATAATAAAGATAGGTGTTGAATGATAATGATTTGCATACATTAATATACAGAGGCGAAATTGGTATCAATCAATTACTCATTTCTAGATTGTCAGGTATGCATTTGTTGGATGCACTCTCCGTTGCCAATTTCCATAGTCCTGATACTTAAATCAAAGAACATTTGTTTAAAACTGCCAAATAGAATTACAAGTCTGATTAAGAATTCCCAAAATTAATGTAAAGATATGAATTATCATTGACAATAATAGAAAATGATTCATTAAATGCAAAAGTAATTTTTGATCACAAATTAATTTTAGTAATATATATCCCTTTATGCAACAATAATGAAAACTAAGATTAAAGAATTCTTCACAAATTAGAAGAACCAATTATTTTGTAATGTCTATGTTCCTCCAAAATACACTAGAACTTTAAAGATATTCTGTTATAGTCCCAAATCAACAGGATATTTGGCCTTAGTTTCAACAGTTTAAATGAATACATTAATTGCTATGGAGGAAATGATGGCCTAGATAGACAATTTACAATAAGATAAATTCTACACATTTGATTAGATATTTGAAGATGTAAATCTAAGTTTAAGTTTTAGAATTTAATGCCTTAAATAAATAATACACCAGAAAAAGAATAGTAAAAATTGGTTAGAAGACATAAGAAATCGTTATCAGAACATTAAATTTTTGATTTTTAGAGGGAATAAAAAGAGTAATAAATAATTACTTAAATTTAATCTCTTCCATAAGATAAAGCATGTAAATATATTTATTTATTTTAGTGTTTTTTTCATAAACAAAATAACAATCTTTCCTTTAAGATGATTATTAATTTCCATCATTAGATTAAATAAATTCATTTAAACCATTTCCAATTTAAGAAGAGAAGAAAAAAACTGAATAACCCTCATATCAATAATTGTCTTTTAATTAGTAGAGATATGAAGAAGGAATTCCAAATATTGATGATTTAGAATTCTTTCCTCCTTTAGATTTAGTATCAACTGCTAGTTGTCCTTCACTAAGTAACAAATTACAAATGACAGATTAAAAGAAATAACCAACTAATCCAATTTATACTGGAAGACTAAAATTTTTTGATGAGTAAAAAAATTATGGGTTTATTGTTATGGATGAAGATAAATCAGATATATTTGTTCATTTAGATGATTTATAAAAAGCTGGAGTTACTAAAGAGATATTGAAAACTTCAAAATAAGGCTCATTGTTAAGGTATATTTTAATAATAGAAAGTAGGTTTTAATTTAATTGTATGGTTTATGTAGGGAAATACAAAAAGTCAAGAAAAGCTGTTGAATTGAAATTACTAGCGAACTAATCAGTTAATAACTTCAAGGGAATTGCCTGATTGAATAATCAAATATATAGGCATATCAAAAAAATTAATATTTTTTTAATTTAAAAAAAATCATTATCATTAAAGGTATTAGAGTGTTAAAATAAGATTTCTTAATTATATATATAAATATTCTATTGGAAACACATTAAAACATACATACGTGTATTAATCATTTAGATTATTATAAATTTATAGATTAATCTTAAGAAGAATAAAGAAATTAAATGTAAACAAATTAGTATAAATCGTTACTAAATATACATAATTTATCTTATTATAATACTATATTATCTCATTTAGCATTCTTCTTGGCTTCTTATTATTTTTTGAGCTAATTAGCATCAACAAAGACTATAGTCTTGCATCTCTTAATAACTTTCAACCACTTTAATTTACACTTGACGCATTCAAGCCTATTCTCCAAAAATATATATACTTTAAAGCCACTTTTTTTGTTGTCTTTGCTTTCTTTCTGAAAATTGGCTTTGTTTATCCACCATACCCAGCTTGTTTCATGTCGTACCTTCTTCTACCTTAAGCAAATGGGCTTTCCTTGCTCTTTTTGTATTAAGACACTTTGCAACTTTAATGGCTTCCACATTTTCTGCAATATGTTTTTCTGTTTTTAGGTACGTTCACCATTTAATATTTTTTAAATAAAATTTAATCATTTTTTTAAATTACTTTAAGAATAATTAGTGAATGTTAAGCCAATATCCTATAATGAGGTGACTCATATAGTAATATTTCTATAATTACTGTGAATATATATTGTAAGTTCATCAATTGATATCCTTCAATAAATCGTTTATTTCTTCAGCCGAATAATCTGGATGATATGGTTTAATAAATGGCTATGAATTCGATCTCTATAAAGGATGGGGTTATTCCTTATTTTTCAAATCGTCAGCTGATTTATTCCTAAAAAGTTTAAACATTATAAAAACACTCGTTCTTCATAAATTATCGATCCTATAATAGTTGATACTAAAGGCTAAGGGGATTGTTCTTTTCCAATAATAGAATCTGTTAATATTACTACATTAGGTTCCTAATATTTTTAAGGCATTCTCTTAGGGTTTTGCTTTCTATTTTTTATGTTTCTATCTTCAGATTTTACCATCAAGTAGAAGGCAAAACAAATAAAGCAAACTAAAAATATTCCAATCTATTATTATTTGGATAAAAATATTTCGAAGTAATTATAGAAAGCAGAGAGTTACTCTATTAAAGTACTTTTAGCTGCAGCCCAATTTGTAATTTCTGATTTTAGATGATTTCTCTATCCATCTTACTGAACATCAGTTTAATAGAGTGCTAAATCTACATCACTTAATTTAATTTCTTAAGCATTAATTGGTTAATTGTATTTTGTTCTAAGTTATATTTGCTTTTTTGGAATAGCAATTGCTGTTGAACATAGGAGTAAAATGCAAACAACTAATCTCATATAAAACGGAATATTAATAAAATTATTATATAAATTATAAATACCAATAGAGGATTAGATAGTCAAAATATTGTATAAAGGTAATCTTTTTTTTCAATTCTTTATTATAATAATATATTAATGATATAGATACTCTTAGTACATAATTAATAATAATGAAAAATTTAATTTAGGATGATAGATTATTATTGTACATATATATTTTTGAAGATAATAAAATTAATAATTGAATGTTAATAATTGCATTATTTTTCATCTCAATTGAATTAACTTTAGGAAAACTAAAGGTTATAGGTCCAGAAGAATTAAAATAAGAATTGGATCAAAAAAATGGAGAAATAAAATTTAGCATAGCTAATTTTGGGTAAATGTTGAATAAACAGCTCAATATAGAAATATACCTTGGGGTCGTAGATTAAGTGGGACTCTTGATATTTCAGATCCAATAGAAGCATGCACAGAAATTAATTAAACTGTGAAGAGTCATTTTGTACTAATAAAAAGAGGAAGTTGCTCTTTCGTAACAAAAGTTAGACATGCATAAAATGCAGGATATTAATTAGCAATTATTGAAGACAATAAGGAAGAAATAATTGATAATATAACCATGTCTGATGATGGGACAGGATATGGAGTATTTATATCAATATTATAAGTTATAAATCCCTAGCATTTTTATATCTAAATCAGATGGAGAGATGTTAACAAAATATTTGAAGATGCCAAAAGCAGACTTGGAAACAGAATAAATTCAATTACTCATCAAATTTGATGTTCGCTAATAAGAAAATATAGATGTTTTATTTGCCCTCTCTATTTCATCAGGAGAAACATATAAATTTTTAAGAGAATATCAACCTTATTATGAAAAATTGAAACATGATAATGGTATTTTCTTTTGGATATATTGCTTTTATTAGTTAACTATACTGTATTGTATCCATTATATCAAATTATACCAATTCCAGATAGACCAATTGATTATTAAAATTGTATATCTTATGGTAAATACTGCTCACCAGATCCTGATAGATCAGGTATAGGAACAGGTAGAATGATAGTTGAAGAGACACTTAGATAATTATGTATATTCAATCTAACTAAAACAAAATGGTTCGATTATATGGTATTTATTATTCAAAATTTAGTAATCTTTCAGAGATAATTGTACATCAGCATAATAATATGAAACCTGTTCTCCTAAAGTTTAATAAGAAGTTGGAATCGACAATCAACTTGTTGAAAAATGCATAAGAGATTAATAAGAAACTCATACTTTTTAGATAAAGAATGAAACAATTAATTACAAATCAAATCAATTTTTAGAGAAATAATTATCATTATGGAATACTGCTGGTGTATAGTAATTACCAGGGATCATAATTAATCATTAAGATTATTTAGGAAAAATAACTGGAGCAAATGTTTTTTTTGATATTTGTTATAGTTTTGAAACTCCACCTGAATCTTGTGGCAATTATGTTGATGGGTATATTTTTTAGCCAGATTAATCTCTAAATCTTTATCTGACTATAGCTATCATTATCACAGTTATGGTCATATTTTTTGTGCTGCTATTTTGTGTTTATACAAAAATAATAAGGAGAGAATTTAAGGAGAGTAGTTAGGCATAAGTCAATGAAATGGTTTCACAATATATTTAATTTTATGAATCCAAAGATAAGAAGAAGAAAGAAGCTATATGAAATAATATATTATTTGTTAAAAAATAACTTCATCATTTTTAAATTTTCTTAGACTTTGATAACTCAGCCTTTTTTTAACTCTTCCTTTTTGTTTGGGTAGTTTTTTGCTTTTTTTCTGTTTTATTTGATTTAGCATTATTATTCTTTGTAGCTGTTTATTATTCCTCTTATTTATCTTTATTATCTAAATTCTCAATGGCCTTTTTTATAATATTCCTGTGTTTAGGATTTGTTTTACCCTGTTATCCATTTAAACCAAGAATCATTTACTTTTTATAGATATAATTAATAAATTGTATATAGAAAATTTATAATTATATAGATTTTTTAATTAAAGGAGAATATATATTTTAACAGAATTTTTATATATTAGTAAAATTCATTCATTCATTCATTTAATAATATGAATAATATTCAAACTATTATATCTAATTTTATTTATATAGAGGTAACTATATATATAATAATTTGGATTAAAATTGTCTTAAAAATTTTAAGTATTTTTTGTTAGACTAAATTTGATTTAAATGATAATTCAAAGATAATCAATTTGTATTTACATATTTTTNATAATTGTACATCAGCATAATAATATGAAACCTGTTCTCCTAAAGTTTAATAAGAAGTTGGAATCGACAATCAACTTGTTGAAAAATGCATAAGAGATTAATAAGAAACTCATACTTTTTAGATAAAGAATGAAACAATTAATTACAAATCAAATCAATTTTTAGAGAAATAATTATCATTATGGAATACTGCTGGTGTATAGTAATTACCAGGGATCATAATTAATCATTAAGATTATTTAGGAAAAATAACTGGAGCAAATGTTTTTTTTGATATTTGTTATAGTTTTGAAACTCCACCTGAATCTTGTGGCAATTATGTTGATGGGTATATTTTTTAGCCAGATTAATCTCTAAATCTTTATCTGACTATAGCTATCATTATCACAGTTATGGTCATATTTTTTGTGCTGCTATTTTGTGTTTATACAAAAATAATAAGGAGAGAATTTAAGGAGAGTAGTTAGGCATAAGTCAATGAAATGGTTTCACAATATATTTAATTTTATGAATCCAAAGATAAGAAGAAGAAAGAAGCTATATGAAATAATATATTATTTGTTAAAAAATAACTTCATCATTTTTAAATTTTCTTAGACTTTGATAACTCAGCCTTTTTTTAACTCTTCCTTTTTGTTTGGGTAGTTTTTTGCTTTTTTTCTGTTTTATTTGATTTAGCATTATTATTCTTTGTAGCTGTTTATTATTCCTCTTATTTATCTTTATTATCTAAATTCTCAATGGCCTTTTTTATAATATTCCTGTGTTTAGGATTTGTTTTACCCTGTTATCCATTTAAACCAAGAATCATTTACTTTTTATAGATATAATTAATAAATTGTATATAGAAAATTTATAATTATATAGATTTTTTAATTAAAGGAGAATATATATTTTAACAGAATTTTTATATATTAGTAAAATTCATTCATTCATTCATTTAATAATATGAATAATATTCAAACTATTATATCTAATTTTATTTATATAGAGGTAACTATATATATAATAATTTGGATTAAAATTGTCTTAAAAATTTTAAGTATTTTTTGTTAGACTAAATTTGATTTAAATGATAATTCAAAGATAATCAATTTGTATTTACATATTTTTGATAATTATAAGAGTAAATTAGGAAACAAATTATTAAAAAAAGCAAATTTAATAATTAATTTAAAAAAATGGAAATTTTTAAAAAATAAATCATTTTTTGGATTAACTTAAAATGTAAAAGATCAATAAAATAAATTAAAGTTTTTATAATAGTTATCAAAGAATAAGATTATTATTTTTCGAAGCCTAACTAAAAGAATCGTTGTTTTGAAATTTCACTTTTTAGTCAAAGACATTGTTATATCATGTTTATGTAAATATTTAAGAATTAGACAATTTCAGAGAATTAAGACATAGAAAAATATTATGAGAAAAATTCATAATCTCCATTACTATATTAAATTTAATTTGTAACTCTTAGGAAAATTAATAGTTTTTTTCCTATAAATAATTTAGATAAATTTACAAATCTAATTTAGTTTCTCTATTAAATAATGTTATTTAATATGAATTAAATGAGGTAAATATATTAATTGAATTCATAAAATAATAAATAGTTTAAAACAAATTTATAAATCATATATGAATGAAGATTAATGAAGTCATTTTTCACTATATGGATTTGAAAACTTTACTTAAGGGATTAAATTCATTTGACTCAATTTATTACCTCTACTTGAAATAGTGCTAAGTATAAGTAAATATATACGTTAATCTTTGAGTTGTTTATTATGAAGCCAATGCATTATATAAAAAAACATTAATAGATTATTTTTTCTATGCTTAATGTTTTTTGTAAGCCATTTTTAATTTCTAAAAATTTTATTTGGCTCTTTGTCTGCTTTCAACATTAGTTCTTAGTAATCTTAAACATTACTAACTCATTCTTAGTTTTGTTGGCAAATTTTCTAAAATTGTTGATTTAATTAAATCAAATGTTTTTTCCATTTCGTTCATGTAGGCATTAAAAATGTATAATATCAGCTTAATTAAGAAAAAAATATTAATTGCTATTAATGTAAAAAAGTATAAAACTGAAATGTTAAAAAATTCTTATTATTATCCCATATTTAAACCAATTCCAATTATAATAGATATTTCACAAATTATTGTTGATTAATAATCTAAATGATTTAATCTAGCAGATTTAAATGGTTAATATTTTAGGTTCAAAGACCAATAACTAAATAGAATAAAGTAAATTAAAGATCCTTTTAAAATGATTGAATCTTCATAATAGATTAAGGCTAATATTAGTAATTATTTTGTAATGATTTTAATGATCTCCCAAAAATATGCATTTGGCTTATACTCATAGTATAAATAACCAAGAAGACTTTTGCCTCTTTTATAAATAAGTTTGTTTCTAATTTTAAACAAACTTAAAAGTAAGCCCAAGGGTATTAAAATACCAAATAAAGACAAAAAGGGTATACAAAAAGTCAGAACCCAATTAATATGTGTAGATGTATCAAATTTAAATGCCACATTAGCTTGAATCCAAGGAACATTAGAAATTCTTCTTGTTGAAATCAAAGCTATTAGTGATCCAATAATGCTTGGCTGAAAATATATGTACATATAAATAATTGCAGTCATTACAATTGGTCCTCGATAATTGAGATGCTTGGTATAAATTAACATCGAATAAATGATTGATAGTATACTAAAATAAATACAAGGGATTATTAATTGCCAAATCAATCTTAAATAATGAATATCTAAAGAAGATATCTAACCTAATAAAATAAAAATATTTAATACTTAGATAGCAATCCAAAGAATAAGATATTCGTTGTATTGGATTACCAACTCCATTTAAAAAGTAAAAGACATCCACTGGTAACCTTAACTTAAAAGAAGTTAATGAACTAATAATCTGTAAATAATTTGTAAGAATCTTGATTAAATAAGGAGATTCAAATTAGTAATTTTAAACGGAGTTAGCTCCTTTAACACTAAGAACAATTGTAATTAGAGACCTAATAATATATATAATAGATTACCAAATGCTGAATCCTATAATTTAAACTAAATTATAACTTATATCATCACATGACCCACATGAATATTATTAAGATGTAGAAAAGTATCCATCTCCTCTAATATTTTAAATATCACACTATTCACAAAGAGCCCCTATATGACCTTTAAAACAAGAATTGTCACCATAGTTCCATCCTCCTAAACAATTTTCCACTAAATTTGAGCATTCTTCTATAATATTATTATCAAAGTAAGGTCTCCAAAAACCCTAATATAATTTTATAATAAATAATTACAGAACGTAAATTTAATCCATGAGATGTTACATTTATTGTAGATTATTCATCTCTGATATAACATTTATTCAAGTTCAGTTAATTTGAATATTAATCTAAACTTGGATCACATTCATGACATGAAAGATCTATGAGAGATTTTATCTAACCCACACGACATTTGAAAGTGTTGATATTAACTAGTAATTTATAATTATTATGAAATGATTAAATTATTAATTTTTCTTCGTCATATTAAGGTATTTAAATACTAGAACAAGTAATGACTAATTATAATTATGTTTTATTAGTATTTTCACTATCAAAATAAATGATTAAATCATCTAAATTATAATCATTTGTAATAGGATCAAAAGAAATAGTTCTTTTATTAACAAATTTTAAGTTTGAAGTTTCTAGTAATTTATTTTATTCTATATCAAAAATAAAAGTCTAAAGATCACATTTTGAATTAGTTAAATTATTTAATTTTGAATAATGATCATCTAAAGCTACTATTCTAAATGTTAAATTTTAGGATTCTAACTCTTCCTTATCTTCATTAAATTTTTTGTATTCTTTTATAGGTGTTCCACTTGGTAAATAAATAACATTTTATTTATACAATAATGAATTACTAACAGATTCTATCAAAGTATCTCTAGAATTTTGTAAAATAACTGTATTATAAATGTATTGATAATTATTTAAAGTAATAGATAAATGGGTTGGAGCTTAAACCACATTTTAACCATAATATGATGCCTAATTATCAAAAACAAAAGAATTATATTTTTTCATTTCCTACCTAACACTGTTATCAAAATAAATAGCCCCAGCTATACTAGCATTGTTATTAATAATCTGACAATCAACTAGAAATAAGAATGATTATTTTCCACTAAAATAAATTGCCCCTCCAGCTATTTTAGCTTGATTTTTTATAAATATAGAATTAAAAATTATTACATTAGTTTAATTGGATAAAAAGCAAGTTCCAAAATCTGCAACATTTTCTTAGCATTAATAATTATAAATTATTATATCATGATTAACTAATTACAATATATTTTCTGTATTTTATGCAAGCAATCTATTTTATATTGATGTAGTAGATGCTATATCAAAAATATCAAAATTGATATAAAAACATCCTGCTAAACCACAAAAGTTATTCATTATAATTAAATCTTTAATCAATATAGAATATGAATCTAAGCCTTATTTATTAATTTAAAGATAAATGAGACCACTTAATGAGTTTGAATAATTATTATTCGAAAGATTTATGTCAAATATTTAAATTAAATCGTTACTTTTAATTTAGCCTATAGTAATAGCCGATTATTAAAAGTCAGTATTTGATAAAAGCAATTTTTAGTTCAAACATTCATTTTATTCAATGTTATCCTCTTTTTCATCCATTATTAAATTTTGATTGTTTGAACTGCCTTTTGAACTACATTACATATTATTGATTTTTTGAGAGATAATAATTTATTAAATTTCACATCTTCCATTTTATTTTTGAACCTGTTTCATATTATTGAATGAAATCATTTTTATTATAATTACAGTAGACAAATCTAATTGGATAAAATAATAAATAAATACCTTCCCTAAGTTGAATTAGAATAATATTTTATTATGGTGCAGTTCCACCTAAAATAGTTATTTTATTCAAAGTTACATCTCCTTAATCAATAGCCTCCAAAATAGATTCTCTATAGATGTTATCAATTAAAATGTCTTTTAAGATAAGAATTGTATTTTCAACATAAACTAATACATTATTATTAATATCCAACAGTTTTTTATTATTATTTATTAATTATTTCAAATAATTAAATAAAGCAACTTTTTAATTTTTAACTATTATCTTTTTAAGTTCTATAACATTTTATAATGAATTTTTTTAGAAAGCCGCATAGATAGCTGAGCCTTTCTTAGACATACATTCTGATAAAGTTAAATTATTAATTGTCAAGTTTAGTTGATCTTAATTAGAGGAGATAAATAAAAAACTGCCAAAGTCTTTGGCTAAGATATTATATCCTACAATATCTTAGATGTCTATTCTACATCCACTTATGGGAATCTTAATAAAAATGCATCCTCCATTTTCGTCATTATATTTAAAGAATGTAGTTAAATTCTTGAATATCATATTATATAATTTCACTATTTATGCACTAATGTACAATCCAACTCCATTTAGACCTTATGAATTCTACACTAGACTATTTTAAACAACTACAAGATCTGCTTCAAGATAAGAATTTCCATATGTATTTTTAAAGTTAAATATGGATTTTAAGTTATTCTCATATATAATTTAATTTAATGGGAATTGCCAATCAATATTTTTTAAAAGAACTTCAATATTCTAATAAGAATTATTAATAAATTAAATTTAGTTTAACATAATTTATTCAGCAATAATATTAATCACACTATCAGTAGTATTAGTTGCAAAATTATTATAAATTTAACTTTGATTTATATTAACTATTCCTGAAGGACAATTAATAAGTAAAGCAACAGCTGAAGCTTTTAAAAGATTTTGTTAATAATTGTGTAATTAATTACGCTTAATTTCTACTAATTAAATATCTACAAAAATCTTTTAATTAGACATGATTGATATTAAAGAGGCACTTGCATCTTTTTATGAAGTGATTAATATATTATCTTAGATTACAAAATTTCTGATTGTTAAAGTATCTATAATTGATGTTTAAGTTTTTGATTATGTAGTGAATGAAATTAAACCTGAATTTATAAAATTTAATCGAGTAATCAAAAAATTATCTAATTTAGCATTCTTGACATCAAATAGTTAAATTAAATTAGGATATTTATTATTTGCTTTTATTATGCTAGAACAATCATAATACTAATGTAATAAAAGAATTTAAGATTATGTAACTATTAGATCTGTAATAATAAGTGATTATAAATTAGAAAATATGAATTCTTATATACCAAAACCTCTAACAATGTAGCATGATTATACTATAGCTTATTATAATTGAATATAAATTAAATATGATTGTAATTGGGTTTAAATTGCTTATTCATCATCAATAATAATCAACTCTAGAATAATATTTTTAATAGTAATTTCTGATGTTATAGAATCAAAAGCTAAGAAATATAATATTTAAGTATTGAAACTGGATATAAGATTTTTTACTTTTAAATTATCAATTGAATATATAAATGCAATTTATTTAGCTATTTAATTTTCAACATTATTACGAATAAATGATACTGATCCATAAGAATGACAACCTTATATAAATAATTAATTAATTGACCCTGATCTTTCTAATTATAGAAATGTTGAATCAATAATTACTAAATCTATTAAATCAACTTTTTCAATATTTGTCTAAAGAGCATAATTTAATTTAAAAAATGGTTATGAGTTTTCTAATTTTCCTGATATTGTAAAATTTGATATTGTAATTTAATTTAATATTTAATCATTCTAGGTATTAAATAATGAACTATTCTTGAATACTGAATTAATGCTAATATGATCAAAAATAATCTTTTAAATATTAGTAGATTTTATCTCTAAGATATTTGTATTTTCAAAAATACTTTATTAAATTATAAAATCTTTTATTTCTATTGAGGATATTTTGGAAGTTGAATCATAAAAAAAGGAAAAAAAGTTTTTTTAATTCTTGTTGTTAATATTCATATTTTTAATGATGACCTTATTGAAAACTATTTAATTCAATTGGTTAAATTAAAAATAAAATAATGTAGATGTTGTTAAAGAAGTTGTAGAAATTAATACATTTTATAATTACAATTGAATTGATTTAAATCCATATGCATTAATATTCTTATGGTAAATATTAGATTAAATTGTAAATACTACATTTTAAAAATTCAATACTGTAAAATCTATAAAGTGTAATTCTTCAAAAATTATTATTTACAATTCTTTTTCAATATTAGATTTAAATGTTAATTAAATATCACTATTTTTAATTAAATATAAATATATTACATTGCAGAAAAAACATTCTAAGAGAAAGCTTAAGTTATATAACTCAATTAAGGAATTGAACAAACTTAATCAATATTAGATTAAAGAATTAATTTAATTCTCTTAATAGTTTTCTTATTCATTATTTCATAAATGGAATCAATATCAAACTAAGTAGATATTATATAATATTACTATTTAAAAGCTGTTTCCTTAAATATTAGATTATAATAATTGTGAAAACATTATATTTTATTTCTTAAATTAGTTTTTTAAGTCAGTATCTTAAATTAATTACAATTAATCAAAGTAATCTTCATCTTAACAAAATAAATTCAATTCAAATGTTAATACATTTTCACATTGCTCAGAATTCTAACATGATATAAATTGTCCTATTGTACTATCATAAAATAAAGTTTCATCATTTTCATAAGGTTTTAAACACTAATAAGTGTAAATAGAATTGCTTATAGTTTTAATAAACAGTGAATTCACACTTAGAATTTCATCATCTGTTCTTTCTCTACAAAGTTCACAATAACTAGGACAAACAGAGCATTAATATTAAACTAAACTTAATAGATTATGATATATGTTCTAACCACAAGTTTAACATACATATTTATCATTCAAATAAATACAACTTTTACAACTGTCATCACAATATTTAATGCATTTATTATCTTTTAATACATATCCAGAGTAACATGAAGTACATATTATTTAATAATCATCTAAATTTTAACTTTAATCACTGTTCCAATACTATTAAATCATAATTTTAATAATTTACAAAATATGAATTATTATCTTAAGTTTATAGATAGTAATTCAAAACAATTATATTATTCTTCCATTCATCATTATATCCTATAGTTGAATGATAGCATGTTTTACAGTGTAGATTATCTGGACATAATAAACATTAACCACTTAATCGAGATGTATAATACCCTTAATGGCATTTCAAGCAATAAGCATTTGTCTTAATTTTTTTCGTATAACACCAATAACAATTAGGTATTTCATTATTACAAATTTCACCCTAAATGCTGAAAGAAGATGTACTATCTGAAATTAAACAAACTCCTTGAACTCCATAATCAATCCCATTATAAATAAATCTTTTAGTTAATCCAATTTAACAATTTATCTAATCCATCTCCATACAAGTATGTTAATCAAAAAAATACAAGTAATTCCATTAACATAAAGCACAAATTGGTTACTCATCTGATAAATCATTAGAAGGTTAGAAATTATAAGTAAGAGCATTGTATTATAACTTAGTTTTGGAGGTTATAAAAGCTTATTAACAATTGGGAATATCAATTATTATGCAATCTACTCCATTGAATCGAATCGACATAATTTTATTATCAATACATTTTAAACACCTAATAAAATATTCTTATGTCTAAATATTGAAATCTTCTTTACAAAATTCACAATAAATTCCACATGGTTTACATTATCCTAAATGATTTACAGTATGTTTTCTATATTAACAATATATAAATACTCTTAGCATGTCAGACATTAATATCCAAAATCACTAGTAGGTGCATTTTAACATATTGTGCATTCCTTTGGACATGACAAACACATTTTTTTCTAATAATTAAAATAATGATTTTCAATGCAAGTTAAACAAACATCTTTAGATTAACATACTATGCATGATTCAATACAATTTAAACACTAAAAGTTATCGTAATATCTATTAGTTTTACATTTCATTCTTATTTATACACCTAAATGGAATTCACTACTAAATTAGCATCCAAGCTAAGTTGATTCACAAAATTCACTAGCTCCTTCTACTAATTAAAGTTTCATTTCATTATTGATGTAATATATATCTATCTGAATATTTGACCTTTAGCTTTTTATATAAGCGTATGTATTCTATTCTTATAAATAATCAAAGGTACAGATAGGCTTCAAGTACCAAGTAATAGGTTTATAAAAGCAGTCTCCACATAAGATATGTTTTTCTTATTTTTAAGGACTAAAATAATAAATAATATCAAATACCATTAAAGACAAAAATATTAATTGTTAAATTAAACTTAAAAATATCCAAATTAGCAAGATTAATCTGTATATTCTCCTTTCATAATGCTTAAACTTTAGGATCTTTCTATGGGTTCACAAATTCCACTTTTTTAATTATATTCGTTTAGATATAAACATTCACATGAATGAAATTAAGTTAAAAATTAATTTAATTCAGTATAGCAGGATATACAATGATATTTAGTTGGACCATTACAATCTTTACAGCTTGAATCACAATCTATTATGATTTAATATAATAATTACCATATCTGTCAGTATTATCCTCAATATGTCCAGACATGAAAAAAAACTTTTCTAGTTTACATCTGCTTTTTAGACTTAAGCTATAAGCTGAAACCTTGAAACTAATTGAGATTATAGATCCTGAAAATTAAGAGTTATAATTTTATGTTCCAAAATTATAAACTAAAGGTTCTTCATTTACAAAATATAATCTTAATTGTAAAGTAGCTCCATTCACTGGATTTCTTCCTTTATCGATTACAAGATAGTGCCATTATTAAGTTTTCTCATAAAAATAATCTTTTTTTATTTTCAATGCATCAAATTTTCTTAATTCCTCATCTTCATATAATGGAACTTATAAAGGAATCCTATAAAATTCAGTTCTAAAAGTTATTACAGTTTCATTGTTGTTTTCAAAGTCGACCTATACTTTAATCAATAAAATACTGTATAATAAAAGTCAATCATTCGATCTCCCGTCTTTCTATTAAATATATAATGTTGTTATGAAATTGAAATAACTGCTTGATCCATTACATTTTATGTTAAGCCATATTCTTTCAAATAGTAGTTGTAAGCCTATAATAATAATTACTCTGTACTTCAATATAATTTTACTTGATCCAGCCTTTAACGGTATATCTTTAATTTTTTGTTAAGTATAAATATTCTAAAACTTCAAGGTCATTTATATTTTGATTCGGATCCATTGATCTAAATAAATCCTCTGATATTTAAAGAGTTTTTTATTTCTAATATGGGCAATTTGATAATAAATTATTAAAGAAATTGTCATCATAAAAAAAGGGAACGTATTCTTAAATAAGAGAAAAATATCCTTTAAAAAATAGTAAAGAATTCCAACTTAAAACAAAATTTTATGAAATATCAGTGTCATACCCTCCTAAAATTATTGTAATTTTTTGTGACATTAATTTATAATCAAAGGCAAATAACTAATTATTATAGTTTGTGTAAAATCGAATTTTTTGATCAACTGATGAATACAGTATTGAAGTATAGAACCATATACATTCATAATTGTTTGCTTCAAAATTAACTGATGATTACTGAATCTCATCTGAATTTTTTTTAAACAAATAAAAATCATGTGTTAAGCTAACTGGATTATCATTCATATTTAAGATTATTGCAGCAAAGTTAAATTCATCATCATCAAGTAATTTTAGAAAATAGAACCCATTAAATTAGCATACTTCAGTTTGACAATTAGGATCATCAAAAGGTCTATAAAAAAATGATTCTTCTTTAGGAATCAAGTTAGCAATGTATTTTGACCAGAATCCAAAACCTCTTGTATCACCATTTGAAGAATCAGCTTAAATTTCTATCAATTATAATTATGGCCTTTAAATGTCTAATACTAAAGCTGAATCATCACTTTCATAATAACAAATTAGATTATTTTGTTATTAGCTTAACCCAAAGTTGGTTATACAAAGTAAAATAAATAAAAACATATATTAATTTTTTGTTTAAAGATTTTGCTAATAATTTTTTTTTATTTTGAATTTTAAAGTATTAATTATTCCTAATTTATTAATTATACTTTTTTGAAGAAAATTAAATTTAACTATGAAATAATTATCATAAATTATTCATAAATATAGCAATATATCAATCATCATTTATTAAAAATTCGATTTCTTATTTGTATTTTGGGGTTATCTATAACTAAAAAATATAAAAAAAAGAATATTAATTATTATATTTTTTATTTTTTAATAATTCTTTGATTTTCCTTTTAATATCAAACTTTAAATACCATTAAATTTAATGAAATTATAAATATAACATTATGAAATTTTAATGTTATGTATGTACTATAGGATGAATCAAACTGAATATATATATAATATTAGATAATGATATATTAATCATTTAAGAATATGAATTTCTTGTAATTTTTCTAATACTTAAAATATTATTCAAAGTTTTAACTTAAATTATTCTTCAAAAATTTAACAAAAAATATGAAATATTTATATTAATAATAAAAAATAGAATTACTTTATTTATGCTTAGAAAATAATTTATTTTTTAATATTAATGATGAAAGTAATTAGTAGGATGTCTTCATTAATTCTTAAGAAATCAGATGATATGATTCTTTTTGCTAATGATCATCCAGTTAAATTAGGTGAAACTTTAAAGTTTGGAAATTCATTGGGAGTAGTCATGTCAATTTTTGAAAGAAATCAATTAGCATTATTATTATAACAATCTGAGGTGTTAGAGCCTATCTAATAAGTTAATTCATTAAAAGCTTGTCCTCAAAATGAAATATGTACTATTGCAGACATAAAAGAATCAAATGAAAATATTGCTGATAATAAAATATTACCAAAAAGAGTGCTTCCATAGAATTAAATTTTAACACATAATGTATATATCGATCTCTTTCATCCAATAACGTATGGTCAAATGCTTATCATTAAAGATAAAGAGCTTTTAAATAAGTTGTAGGCTTTCGATTAGATCATCTATTATGGGAGGTCTCCAATCAAATAAGCTACTTGGTTTAAATAAGCAGATAATTAAGGTTCAAATTATTTTTTACCAAAATTTGCATTACAATATGCCAAATAAAAAGCAAAAACTAATAAAACATTATTAATAATGGATTAAATTTATGGTCATTATGTTGCACATTAAAAATTATAAGAGACAATTCAATCATATGTTTATGAAAGAACTACAAAAACAGTGTACTTGTCAAATCTTTTAAAAGAGCTTTCGGAATCATGTGGTTATAGACCAGGACATAGCAATCTTACTGTTGCTGTATTACATAAAGATTCCAAAGATGATTTATTAAATGATGAATTGGAAAAAGAAGTAATATTTAAATGTAATTCAATCTTTAGTTAGAATCCTTGTAATCTCATACTCCAACACCAACTGTATCTAAACCAAGTCCATTCAGTTTGTAAATCCAAAGTCCTTTGTATTATCATTTAGCTTAAGAATTATACGATATTCTTTCATAATATAATGAAAAAAAATCAGAATATTTATAGAAACAATAGTTAAAGATCCATATAGATCCTTGGGACTTTTATTAATATTTTGATTGCAAACCAATAGTGTAAATGATCAACATATTCAACCAGTAGAATGGTCAAGAACATGAATTAGCAATCTTAGTAGATTTCTCTGTTAAAGCATTCAAAGAAGAATTGATTTGTCAACTAAAAGGTATTTATAAAGTATATATTTTAGGTTCACCTAAAGAAATTTTGAATGATCTTCTCGGATTCTCTTATTAAATAAAAGAATTTGATGGAAAGACATTTGCTAAATTTTATTATGAAAAGAAAAATGAATTAAATGGAAATGAATTTAAGAATGTTATAATTGAAAATCTAGGAAGATTTTATGAATTATTTATGCTTCATTTAAGAATGACAGATTAATTGTTATAATACAAAAAAGATTACATTTGATTGAGTATTAGCATGTATTTTTATTAAGACATAAAATAATTAAATTTCTTTTGAAATAGAAATAACTTAAATTATATAAAGCTACATCTATAAAATAATATTAATAATTAATAATTCTGATTTGATCTTTTTTATACTAATAATGTACAACCATATGATAAGATAATTTATATTTTATTTATATAAAAATTACCTATAAATGTTGGATAATCGTACTTCTTATTTTAATGTTTAAGGAAATAAAGCTAGTTTTAAGTAGAATATTAAACTATTTTAATCACTTAAATCAAAATTATAATAAGCAAAATCAAAATCTAAAGAACCAATTAAAGGATAACTGAAAATATTAAAAAGATTAGAAGATACTATTAATGAACCTTAGATGCATTAAAGAGCACTAACAACTTAAAAAAGATTAGCTGCATAATTTGAGGAATAAGACTAAAGAAATGAAGAGATAAATCCAATGAGATATAATTTAATGCAATTACTTGTTTTAATGGGAAAAAAGGAATATTATTTTGATAAATTAGCAAAAGATGATTTCAAATTAATAAGAGTAATTAATCATTAAAAAGAAAATGTGGATGATCATATTTAAAAAATTAAAAAATTTTTAAGTAATAAAGTTCGTTATAAGTATAGAAGTTGTTTTAAAATGCAATGTATAAAATTAAATAATTAATCAAAGTCTAAATTTAATTAGAATTATTGAAGTATGTCCCAAAGAAAAAATCAATGGCTATTAAAAATAGTTAAAAGGATTATGAAATAGATGAAGATGAAGATAATTCTAAAAAGAAAAAAATAAGTGCAAGAGGTTATTAAGATTTTTCTAATTGGAAAAAAAAAAATAATGTTGCATAAAATCAAAAAGTGTTTATAATAACAAATGGGTATCATGCTTTAAGAGATTCTTTATTAGATAGAAATTGGGCAGAAAATGAGGATGCATATAGTCCATTCTTTGATCTTAAATGGACTTGTGGATTAAGAAGTGATGATTTTTTAAATTTGATGGACTTTTAATAGATTAATCATTTTGATTCTAATTTATGTCTTTGTTCTAAATTTGGTTTGGCAAGAAATATAAGATGTATATCTAATTGGGAATCATTTTTTCCTAGATGTTATGATTTAGGAGATTTAGTAGATTTTTCAGACTTTATTGAAGATTTTAAAATCTCAAAAATTCATAGTATATTAATGGAATTTGATTAAAATTATATTTGTAATTAGAATAAAAAAGTAATTACAGAACCTTATGAAGATAGTGAACATAAAAATGTATTACGATTAAAAGATTTTAAAAATAATACAATAAGAATGATTGAAGATAATAAAAATTAATCTTTTATAATGAATTATAGAGATAGATTTAAAATACGTTTATGCATAATGATTTTGAATAAAGTAGTTTGTTCATTAAGTAGTATGATCAAAAATATACTTAAAGACGAATTTCCATTTGTTAATCCTGGTGAATGGTTGCAATTGATAAAGGATCCTGAAAAACCTAAAGATGTATTAATTTAAGATTAGATTGAAATGATATTGAAAGTTAATGGATATGAAGATTAAGAAGGAGATAAATTTATATAAAAATATGGATCATAAATAAAGGATTTGTTAAAATAATTAAATAAAAATCCTTAGAATTCATTACAAGGTACAAGAAATATTTGGATTGTTAAACCTGAATATTCATCTAGAGGAAGAGGTATAAAATGTTTAGATGACTTAAATTAAATTTTGGATAGTGTAAATAAAGAAACTATGAATTATGTAGCAATGAAGTATATAGAGAATCCTTTAATAATTAAGAATAGAAAGTTTGATATTCGTTAATGGGTTTTAGTTACTGAATTAGTACCACTTAAAATATATTTCTATAATGAATGTTATATAAGATTTTCAGCTGAAGAATTTGACATAAATTAATTTCATAATAAATTTGCTCATCTTACTAATAATGCTATTGCAAAATATTCTTAAAAGTTTTATGAATCAGATATTAAAGGTAATATGTGGACATAAGAGGAATTTTAATAATACTTACTTGAAGAATTTGGATGGGATATTTTTGGAGAGAAAATCTAACCTAAATTTAAAGAAATTGTTATAAACAGTTTAAAATGTTGTTGTGATTAGATGAAAAATAGAAAAAGATCATTTGAAGTCTATGGCTATGATTTTATGATTGATGAATAATTTAATACTTGGTTGATTGAAGTTAATATGTCACCATCTAGTGATACAACAACACCAGTTACTGCTTAAATAATACCTAAAATGTTAGAAGATATAATGAAAGTAGTTATAGATAATTAGAATAAGACAAAAAAGAAGGTTGGAGGATTTCAATTGATATATAATAGTGATACTAAATTATAATGATAATTTTGAATAATTAGATATTTAATTCAATCTCAATTCTTTACATGAGTGAAGTGATGAAATTTTTTAACAAATTCATCAGTTTTATGAAATGGTCTAACTTCATTTATTGGCTTAGATTAGTAAATAATTCCTTAAGCTTACTTTTCAGAATAAAATGTAATAGGTTTAGCTGTTAGATATGATTCTTATGGTAATATTGATGCTAATTATTAATCAGATGATAATTAAGGTCTAATATAGATTAAGTTTATAATGATACTTTTAATAAAATCCCATGTCACTTAATAAATCAACATCTTTTTTGTCTGCATCTATTGCAGTTCCATTTTGTGTTCTCATTACTCTTCTTCCAATAGTATTATTTTCTATTGGTTTCTAATAAAGTAAATATTTAGAATTACTTAAATAAATTCTGATTTACATGTTGTTTCAAAATATCTCTATTATGTTTAACTGAAACTGTCTGCTTCTCTAGAATCTAATTCTGTCTGAATTTATTATAAATATTATTATTCAATTAATTAGGCTTTCTTTCCAACTTTAGGTATTAAATCAGCTCTATTAACAGTGCCACCAACGCTAATTTTATATAATTGAATTACTTTTGTGAAGCTGGTTTTGGAATGTCTGGTTATATTTTACCAAATAACCTAGTTGTTGTATCTAGTTAATTTATTGGTTCTTTATAAAGAGGAATTTCTTCAGGAGGTTTAAGCATTAAATCAGCATGTTTCTTTTTAATATGTTAAGGAATAGGTGCTCTTCCAAAACCAGTGTCCTCTTTTAATTGAGCTTCTTCATGCCAATTGGACATCAAAGTTCCAGAAATAAATGTATTTCCTGCTTTAGATCCACTACCTGCAGCTTAAGTTTTATTGTAGCAATCCAATTTCGTTTAATTCATATTCATTATTTTGTAATAATTATTAATTAAATATTTTTCATTATTTGATTTAATGTTAATTTTAAATATTTTCAGATTATAATCAATAATTTAGAAAATTATTTCTTTTTCTTTTCAAAAAAAGTTTTAATGTTATCAATGTTCATTATGTATAATAAAGAATATTATCTAATATATAAAATATTTTCAATCTTATAACAAAGTATTAAAAAATAAAATGTTAAATCTTCTTTTAAAACAAACAATACCCTTATTTTTTTTGATTTATTTATTACCATGAATTAACTGTGTCTTACCAAGTCAATTATATTTTAATGTAAATGAATATTAATTAATTTATCAGATGGCCTAAAAAGAATATTTATATTTTTATGTTTTTTGAATTGTTCCACAACAATATTCTTTAAGATAAACTCTTTAAAATACTTTTAGAGTTATGCTTTACTCTTTTTATTATCAAAATTAATTTTATCTTTGAAACATACTGGTTTCATTCAGCAAGAGAAAAACATGCTTAGATATAAATGATATCAAAAATATTACCAAAGCAAATGTATATAATCAAAACCAAAAAAAGAGTTCATATAGAAAATATTGTTAATTTGTTGAAAAATATATTGAAGTGGTATAGATTAGAAGACCATAATTTTTTTCGAATTTATATATGGTTTGAATTCTATAATAGATATCATTTAGGTTTTTCAAAACAAGTAAAAAAAAGTATCACTCATCCGGGTTAAGAGCGTCAAAAAGTATTCCATTTATAATAACTAAATATTATGTTTCTTTTTCTATATTTATTATAATATTATACTATTTGGATCATATTATTATGCAACTTCTTCCTTTATTTATAGTGAAGATTCTTTTAGAACTTTCTTGGATTAATGACAACCCATATTTTTATATTATTTAAAAATATTTGTAAAAATGTTTGTTTCTTAAACAAATATTTACAATTATTGGATTCTTTAACCAAAATGAATATTTTACTATTACTTGAAAAAAAATTAATCAAAGTAAGTATATTTTAAGCATTATATATTTTTTTAAAATACTATCAGATATGGTTTAATTTGGATATTTTATTATTTATTATTATAATTAATAAATTAATGGTTTATTAGATAGTTACTAGATCTTGACTTATAAGAAACCATCTAGGCATCAATAATAAAAAAACATATTTTTAATGATTCAAGAATTTAGATAATATAAAATTTTTCCAAATTTTGGCTACATTATTCTTCTTATCTAAATTTTACATTTTCTGATATGCCAGTATTAATAAATGGGTATAATAATAAATCTTAGTGAAATAAGAAATACAATACTGAAAACAAAGGTTTAAAATTTAAAGAAAAAACTAGAATAAAAGTTGATTAGCAAAATTAAAGATAAAAAGTATTAAAAATATCATATGAAGTTAAAAATAATAGAAATTAACGAACAATATATCACTCATCTATTTCTTTTTAAACTAATTTATAAAGTTAAAATAGAATTTTATTATTGCCTTTTATTATTTATTAGTTTTATGAATGACTAAGATTATTATAGACATTCTAAATCCCATCAAAATTACAACTTTTTATTTAGATTCCTGCTCTTTAAGTTTTTTCTAAAAGATCTCTTCTAACTTGCAAATTTAGAGAAACCAACCCTTCTTAACTATCATTTATTTCTTTTATTTAATGCTTAATTGATTTTATTTTTTTGAGAAATTCAATTTAACGATTTAAATTTAGGGTCTAATTCATAACATATAACTGCTTTTATTTTTTGAGATTATCATAATCTTGTTTAAATGTTTGTTAAACTTATTCGTTACTTATGTAATAAATATCATTATTTACATCAAAAGTAACTTCATTAATTAAAATATGTTTTGATATTAAACATGATTAACCACCATTAATATTATTACTTTAATTAACCATATCTCTTTGAGAGCATATTTTACAATAATATAATATATCTAAACTGCTCTCTTTATGAACTCTAGTTGGATTTTTCATTTAACTCAGGAATTTAAAATTAATAAGAATATTCTAACACATTTTCTTAGCTTCAGCTAAATCTAACTTAGAACCAAGCTCACAATCATAATGACATATTTTTTAACAATCTGTGCAAAATAATATTTTTTTCTCTTTTGTTGCTTTTAATTATTTTTTTTCATATTTATTTTCAAATGTTATATAATTTGTAGATAATATAAGGTTCTTGTTTGGTTATTTTGATTTATGAATTTAAGGTAAAATACCTAATGAATGTATTTCTTATTCAATTTTCAATAATCTTTTAAAATGATTTATTTAATTTAATTTTTCTAAATTTTAAGAATTAAAAATAGTATTTATTTTTAATTAAATCTTTAATAGTTCTTTTCTCATAATTTCATAATAAAATTACAATATTTATCTTGGTGTCACTTCAATTTCATTTTCTTATAGAATCAAATTTTCAGATTCAATATATGATTAAGTTAAATCTATACCAACTTCAACAGATTAACAATTTTATTTGAAATCTTAATAATGAATATTGTTATGATTAATTAATATTTATTCTGACTCATGGTCTAAATCTATAGCTGGAAAATATAGGTAATTATTATTAATACCAAACCAAAACTTTAAATCTTCATTTGGTATTTATTTTTATTCAATTTAATTTTGATATTCATTGATTTTATTTTTCAATATTTTAGGAGTGGGTGAATTATTATGTGAATAAACACTAAGAAGAGGATTATTATCTGTACAAAATGTTAGAATTAAAAATATCCTTTGAGAAAAAGATTTATGGAATAATTCAAAAAATCTTTATATTGTATAGATTTCTTCTTATCCCAATCTATTGATTGAAGCTGAATTAACAAAAAATGCAGCTACAATTTCCTTATCTTAAACGTATTCTAACAATACTTAAAAAAAATTGTTTTTATTATCATCAAATATATCTTTTTCTAAATCTCCCATTCCTATAAAATCTACAAAAATCAAATTTTCTTATTTTGACATTTCAACTAAATATTCATTATAAAATAAGCTATCTCTATTTTTAATTTACTTTTTCACTCTATATAAACTATCAACATCAACATCATAGTAAATATTAATTAAATTAAATAGAAATGAAGTTTTCCCAGTTTTTTAAGGACCTAATATTAATATATATTTATATTTCTGATTCGCTATTGGTTATATGAATGGTATTTTATATAAAACTAGCTATTTTATATCTTTATCATAACATAATTCTTCAATTTCTTTATTGCTTGGTTTTGGGAAATCACATTTACATTATCCTCCTAATTCTCTTATCAAAATATATGCTTCTCTCAAAGTAAAACCTTTGTCTAACAAATCTCTAGGAGAGTAACGCAAGAATATTTCTATAGAGGAAATGCCTCCAGAAAATAATTTAACAATCAAACTAAGTAATTATATTTCTCTCTTTTAATCAAATCTCCTTCTATCAATATTTGCAGATACTATATTAATCAACTATGATATCTAATTTTACATTTAACTTGGCAATTAAGCCAAAATTACACTAGATTCTTGATTCATACTAAGCCTAAAATTAAACAATAAAAATTATAATAAGAAATATGAATTTGATTAAGTAATAACTTAGTAATACATTCTAAAGGCAAAATTAAAACTATTTACTATAAAATGGAGATTAAATAATGAAAACTCAATTTTTAATTTAAACCTCATTTTATCTAATCAATTTTTGTTTGTTTATTTTATCATTAAACTAAAATAGTTTTTATATTTTATGCAAAATCCTTATATAACAAGCACTTTATATTTTCCAAAATAATCATACTTAAGTAAATACAAAGGATTTTATGAATTCAAAAAATAAAAATATCATAGTCCAGAGGAAAGGAAAATTAAGGAAAGAAGAATATAAAATAATTAAACATCTGATTTTGAAGAAACAATTTTAATAACTAATTCTGCAAAATAACTAATACCATAACGAAGGATTACTTTTGAAAATTAAATTAATAGTGATGAGGAGTCTCATTTCTATAAAAATGAAAGTTCACCTTCTCACAGATACTTAGCAAATTCTTAGATGTTAAAATAATAAAAATAAATATTACCTTCTCTTCCTTACTAAACTAATATTAATTAAATAAAACTTTAAGCAAGATAATTATTTGTTAAACCATTTATTAAAAAATAAAAAAGTCTTGATCATGTAGTTTAAATTTGTTATTCTAATAAATATTTTGCTCAATTAAAAGAAGGAACTAGTTTAAAATGTTTATTTAAGACTGCAGCCTTAAAAGAAGAGAATTATGATAAAATTTTAATTATTTAATTTGAAAGTAATAAATTATCTATAAATTTAGATCTTATATTAAAAAGATCATATTCATTTTGGGAGAACTAAACTGAAATAACTAATTGTGGTATCAGTTTAGGAACAAACAATTAAGAATAATGTGAGAATTCATATTGCATTTGTAATTTGAGAAGAGAATTTAAAAATACACTAAAAATGTACATCAATTATTTTAACAAAGATTGTCAAAGGCTTTTATAATAATTTTCTTGGTTTAAAATGCTAATTTTATGTTAAAATGGCATAAATATCTTTAGGATTAAAATTATTAATATGATGCAATATACAAAGCTAGAATAACAAAAGATGTACGTATAGGTGGCATTTAATTGAATAGAGTTTTTAATGATTTCTAGAAATTTAATTTATCTAAAATAATTTACTTTGATTCAATTGATATATCGAATTCATTCAAATTACATCCAGAAGACTTATAGTATAAAATACCAATAGCTAATTGCAACATTGAGACATCAATATTTTTATTTAGGAAAAATCTACAATAAAAGTAGTTTGATTCAAATCTGTTATATAACATATCTATGGCAATTTTTTAAGGCAAGGAACATGTAATTAGCAAAAAATAAGTTTATTTTGAAAATATCGATTTACACTTTGTTTTTGAGTATTATTCTTCCTAAAATTAAATTAAGAAAACGAATTAATTAAGAAAACTTGATGAATTAAAATAAAAATATTAGAGAATTTTACAAACATTAAATGAGTCTCAAACAACACAATCTGAAAAGGATGAATATTTAATTCAGTGGATATAAGCAACAAGGAATGATTTTATCAATGATTTTAAGATGAAAAAGAATGAAAGAGTTCCTCAATTTTATTTTACAATAGGAGATGTTATTGTAAGGAATTAAAAACTAAAATGGTAACATTTTAGCTATAAAAGTGAAAAAATATAAAGTAGATATGAACATCTTTGTAAATAGATAACTAAATTAAATTAAGATCATGAAAATTTTGAAAAACACTAACATTCAATTAAAATTAATTGTATACTTTGTATTGAATGATATTTCTATATACTTTACCTATATTAATTGTATAAATATTTAATTTTATCTGATTTATTTTAATAAAAATAATTCAATATAATTTCTTCTAAAATCTTTAAAAATATACATTTGGAAAGAGCAAATAGGGCATTAATTTAGAAATGATGTCATCTCTATTTCTTAGATTTGCTAAATGTATCATTTTTTCACCATTATGTTCTGGATAGTAATCTGTATATGATTTCTTTTATTCAAAGTTTTTCAGCTATTTTTTCTCAAATTTTTTGAAATTTTTGTATTTCATGATCAAAAATGAAATTGCCTCTTTATCTTTTGGAGGTAGATTCTTATAATTCTTTAATTAATAGAATCTTTATTTTAATTAATCTTCAATTGCATCATTAATAATATTATCTTATTCAGGATCATAATTAATAATCTATTAATTATTTTATCTAACATAATCGATTGGATTTTAAGGTCTTCCTATTATACTTATTGAATGCTTTAAGCCTTGAACTTAATTGAAATTAAATGGATCATTAAAATTTAATTAAGAGTTTTTTCGAGATGGTGCAGGTGGTGAAGAATGCTATATTATAATTTTAGGGATTTAAATTTGACTTTTATTTTCACTTGGTGGTTTTTCTTAAAAATCAAAATGATATTTCTTGTAATATTCATTTTAAATCTTTTTCAAAATTTCTAGATCTAGAGTATTGTTACAAATTCTGTGTTTTCTTTTAAACTTCATTCTCATTTATTTATGATCAAATTAATATCTTTTTATAATTAAATCTCTTTATGGTATATAATGTAACATAGGACAATTAATGATAGAATGTGAAGGTGATTAACAGGATAAACATTATTCATCCCAAACAATATCTGAAAATTGTATTCCATCTCTTGTTTTGCAATAGAGTTCAAAATCTCTTGGAAATTCTTTAAGAAGTTAGATAAAATCATATCTACAAATCATTAATAATTTAGAAAAGCCAACACTTTTATAGATTTCATTAGTTGGTATTCCTAAAACAAAGCCTTTTAATCCAAAAGTTTCCCCTACCATAACTTACCTAATCTTAATTTTATTCTAACCCTCAGCACATACTGAAATTTCCCCTTTTTCAACATAACATACAAATTAATCTAATTCTTTACGAAATTCATTTTCTGGAAGTAAATCAACGACACTTATTCTTTTTGATAAAGCTTTTTAAAATGGTCTACTAAATTAAGAAAAGAAAGGCATTTCTCGAATTACTTATGTGTTGACTTACCACATTAATTATTCTTATAATTTTTCTGACAATTAATTTATGATAGTTTTTTCTTCCATTGTTTCCTCCTCTTATTGTTAAATCCAATATTATTTTAAATACTCTCTTATTTATTCTTAGAATGCATATGGAATTCTTTTTTTATGTAAATATGTATTAATAATTCTTATATTCTTTTTTTATAATTCTGATTAAGATGTGATTTCTGAAATTACATTTCCAACTGTATTTATAGAATATGGCAATTAAACACTTGATACCATAATTAACAATATTGCTATAATTCGTTCTTCATCACTTTTAGGTGTTATATCTCCATAACCAACTGTAAACATAGTAACACATGCATAATAAAATGATGATAAATACTGAATATTCCAAGACTTATCCAATAGATTCCGATCATCTATCCAACTACTTTCTCTATAAAGCTCACTAAATTAACCTCCCTATATAGTTTATTAAATAAAATTACCCAAAACCAAAGACATCCAAAAATGTGGATTACATAAAATATTAATAATGTAAATTTGAATAATTATAATATTGATGAAGCTTATCTTGTAAAATTTAAAGCCATTTCATATTATTTCCCTTTATTTTATACATTCTTATAATGTGATAAAAATAGTAACAAAATTATGTAATATGGGTTCTAATTAATATCTACTTTAGTATCTGTTGCTAAAGAATACAAAAATAAAATAAAAACTATAAAGGTTGATATCCACTCCAAACCAAACGATTACCATAAAACATTTTTAATAATTTAAATTCTTTTAGTAACAATTTAGCCAGCTTCATAAAATACAGTGTTTAAACTTATAAATATATCGACTAATAAAATTGATATCATTATCAAGGTACTTATAAAATAATTGTCAAATAATAATTATTCTTATGTCCAACAGATGTCAACTGGAATCATATATAAAAAATAAAGTCTTGCAATTGTTGCTAAGACATCCCATATAGTTTTATAGATACTTTATGGGTAAATTAATGGTATTTTATTTATTTTTTTGGCTATCCATGAATAAAAAGGATGACAATAATTGATTAAGTGATTTTTAAGTAATTTATTATTCTCATCTACTCTTTATAATATTGCAGAATATTTTTCATTTAATATTCTATAATGGTATTCTTTAAAATGAATTTGAAAGAATTTCCGAGCTAACAATTTGTCTATAAATTATTTGACATATTTATTTTTTGTAGCTAAGTTTTTATAGATAAGCTTCTATTGAAAGTCTTTTGTTGCTTATCGTGTTAAAAAACTGATCATTCTGTGTTTTAAGTTACTTTATCTAGAACTTTCGGTAACATATAGACTTTTAACATTTTTATTAAGAAAAGATTCTTTTCCATCCTAATTCGAAGATTTAATATCCTATCTGCATGAGCTATACATATTATAATTTGATAATCAAATAAAAATATCAGATCATTTATGTTAAGAATAATCTTTTTGAATGTATAATAAATATGTAAAAGTGATATTTTAATATCAGTTATATACTCAATCATTATCTTATAGAGATTTATCCTTATCTACAAAGCTTCCTCTAATAGTAGTGTTTTTAGCTTATCTAATACGATCAAAAAGAGTGAAATTGGTTTTTGTTCTTTTCATTTCTCTCATATCAAATTCCTCTTTTTTTTCGTTTAATTTTTCATAATATACATTAATCCTTTGTATGACAACTTCAAGATTGAAATCAGGAAAATATATTTTTGATGATTTAGCATTGTCCATATCCATTTCAAAATGAACTCGAACAATATCTTGTATTCTCTTTTACATTCCATCCATTGATTGACCTACTTATAAACTATTATTATCCCCATTATTATCAAATTTATTATTCGAATCAACCAAGGCTGAATTACTAGGTACTCCTGCTGTATATACACTAGAACTATATGCTTCATTATTTGGAACACTTTTTTCAACTTTCTTATTTGATTTATTATCCATTTCTGATCCTTAAAAAAATTATAATAATTATGTAGTTCTTCTTCTTTTTTTTCTACGATTGACTTCAATACTTTAAAAATTAAATTCTATTTTACTTGCTTGTTTTTTTTGAAATAATACTATTTTCTCTTGCCTCTATTCTTTATTTGATTTCTATTTCTTATGAACAAGAGGGAGGTGATTGATCGAAATTAGTTTCACTTCCCTTACTAGCTTGCTTTAATAAATTGATTGGTTTATTATCTATATTATTTTAATAAAAAATAAAACCTAGATGTTGGTTTGTTCCACTATCGAATTCTAACCATGATACTTTTCTAATTCCCATATTGTTTGAATTGTTATTAAGTTTGTTTTTGACTACTTTTAGTTTATTATGTATATAATTTTATGATCCAAAATTTGCATTTTGTATTTTAACTTCCTCTTAAATTAATGACTCATCCAATACATCATTGTTATTTTAATGATATTTCCCTTTTATAGATTAGATAGTCTTGCCTCTATCTAATCCTTAAAGTTTAATTCTATTAAGACTTTTTCTAAATTGACTGCCTTAATCCCAATCTATGACACTTTCCTAATAATCCATTAAACAAATATTCTTACATTTGTCATACTAGGTCTTTAACCATCTTTTAGAAAGATTGCTGTTTAATTTTAAGACTTTAGATCAGCAGGTAATACAGTCTAGATTGAAGGTTATTGAACTGGTTATTATTATAGATTGTTATCAAATTAGGACAATATTTTTTAATCTTTAAACAAGGAATTCTTTTTATTTGGAATTAATTTCTATGGATCATCATCTCTATCATTTAACTCAAATCCTAGATTAATCAGATAAGCATCATTTATTTCTCTTGAATATATATTAATTTTACTTTTCTGGTATTATATTATTTAAAACTATATAACCTAATGCTGCTTCTTAGACATCAGGTAGATTATTTTTCCAATTAGATTTAGGTAATGTTCTATAAGGAAATATCAATCTTTTATTAGTTTTAGTTGAAGCAAAAGAACTAGCAATTTTATTTTTGTTTGGTTATAAAAATACAAATGGACATCTATAAATATCTACAATGTAGACTTACTAAATAAATCGATGAGTCCATCCACATATTTCACAAATTTATCCAAAACCTTTGTAATTGCTATTAAATATTAGATTATCTTTAGCCATACTATATTTCTCAAATTCTTCACTATTCTCTTATAGTATTAGATAGAATTACTAATAACTAATTTAAAATGAATATAAAATAATACTCTATAACTAATAATTATGTAAATTTTGTTGCTCTGGCATTGTATTCATAAGGTGTTTGTGAAATGAATTCTCTTTCACCAATAACAGCTCTATAAAATGATGTTGATTATTAATTATTACCCTTATGTTATTTTTTTCAAAAAGGTTTCGGTGTAAAAATGCTCATCCTCATCTAAAAGCATTAGTTGACATTTTTACTTTAATGGTCAGCAATATATTCAACAGCGCCAGATAGAACAAACCAAAGTGCCTTAGGAGAATCATTTCTCTAGAATAGTAATTATTCTGGATACAATTTGGTTTCTTTAACTATCTGACACAATCTATGGATAGTTTCATCACTAAAGTTCTCTCTTAAGAAACGTGATTAAGTCAATGTTTTACTATAAATATCAACTAAAACTTCTTCTCTTAAATGTTTTGTTAATTATTCAATGAATTATTCGGCATGTTAATCCTCCTCTTACTTAACCTTGAAGAAATATTCGAAATATTTTTTAACCTAAATTGAATCAACCTGAATACTTTTAATTGTAAATTGTAACTTAAACCTCTCTTTCTTATATGTTAATTAATTTCCCTTATTCTCTATTTATAAACAGCCTTTTTATCAGATATCTATTTAAAAATATTTCCAATATTGGATAAACAATAACCAAAAACACCACAAATCAATAAAGTAACAACTATCACAAATACTCTCTCTACTGTTGTTACTGGAACTATGTCACCATATCCAACTGTAACTGTAGTAATAACACTCCAATACAAAGAAATTATGTATCTATCAAACCAATAATAATCCATTGCATCTGGTGCATATTTAGTTAACCAAGTTAATTCTTCACCATAATTTTCATATTCTATCACTGCTACCCAATGCCATGCACAACCACAAAAATGTCCTGTGAGCAATAGAAAGAATATTAATTTTAACAAATCCAAAAATACTTACATATTATCCTAATTCTTAAATTTTAATATATTACTTCCAAATTTAATACTTCTTCAATACTTGTCATCAATGGAGACAATCTGGTTAATCTTAATAATAATGTATATCTAACAAATGGAATATCCATATATGAAATTAAAAAGGGAATTATGACTATTATGTCCCAGAAAAAGTTTCCTTTTACATAATGTTTCATTATTTATTTACGATCTTCATGCATCAATCCTTTATCATAATAGGCAGTATTGAAATTCAACAATATTTCTGCTATAAATACCCATGATGGCAATAAATCAAATATCCATTCAAATACTCCTTATGATCTCACATCAAAACTTATATAAATAGGTATGTAAAATATATTCACTACAATAAATAACAATAATATAATATCCCAAACTATTTTAAATAAACTATCAGGTTTTATTACTTTCACATATTTTCCAAAGAATGCATTAATTGATTCTATCCAATTCAATAATTTAAGAGCTTTATTTTAAATTTAATAAAAAATTATTAAACTAATACTAGGCTTTTATTTAATTAATCTATTTATTAACATATATTCGAAATTTGCACTATTATCACAAATTACTTCAAAAATTCTTTAAGTAATTAATCTAAATTTTATTCTCTCTGTCTTAGTCTTTAATTATTAAATAAAACGAGAAACTAATCTTATAATTATTAATGCCTTTTATGTCCATACTTCATTTAAACTAAAATCTATAATTACATCAATACCCAGTCTTCATCTCTTTGCTTTTCCCTCTCTATATTAATGATTACTATTTTATAGTATCTCTATTTATTTATGCTCGCTTTGTTCTTTCGTTTTACTCCTGTTCATCTTCTAATTATTATACAAATGTTTAATATTTTGCAATCTTAGCATCAGATTTCAATCCCAAATTCATTGTTCCATTAATCTAAAGTGGGGATGATATAACGAAGTCATCTTAATCCAGTTTTTATTTATTTTAAATTGTTTTGTTAGATTTATTTATTGTAGTCTTTCTTAATAAAGGCTTTTAGTTTTTTAAATTACAACTAATTGAACTAATAGAACCTTAAGGCTCACTCCTTTTACCACTTTAATATCAAATCTAAATACCTTAAATTACTCATTAGACAGTCTTCTTCATTCACGTCAGCCTTATGACCTAAATGTATAGCATTCTTATGACTGTTATCAAATATATCTCTCTTCATCCTTACAGCTTCAAGCTATTACAATTAAGAAAATTCAAGTGTTGGATCTAATTATTAACCACCAATAGGACTAGCTTAATCGATATCAAACAATTATCCTGATGAGATATTATTGCTCTGAATTCCACTTTCTAAATCTTAGAATCCAGTGTCTCGATTAATCATTAATTTATATTATTAAAATTTAGTAATAATTAAAATAATACTCTTTTTCATTGATCAATATTCCTTATTTGAAGGTAAGATTTCAACAATTCAGTTTAGGTTTAGTTATACTCAATTAATTTTTAAATCTTTCCTTTAAATTAAATATCAGTAAAATATTTATCTATCAATCCTTCAATATGTTTAACAACAATTACTATTTATTTATCCTTAACAACATTTGCTGATTTTAGTAAATGTAACTAATAAATAAATAATAGATTTTTACAAGGGATGTAGTTATATGTTCACTCACTATTCCTTAGTCATTTGAATTCACCAACATAACTGCATAGGATAAGCAACCTGCAGATATTTCACTTTGGTAATATTTACTCTATAGTTCATAATCAAAGCAACATAATTTTAATGTAAAATATGCTATTTCAATAATATCATTTTCTTTATCTTTTTTTTTACTTAAATATAGTCTTAATAACAAAGTTAAAAACAAAAATCCATTAGAAAAATTAAGTGAATGATCTAAACATTAAAAAATTTCTAATTCTCTTTACAAAATTTTAGTTCGACCTAATCTATTATGTGAAATATCTATTGCTTAATCTAATCTTAAAGGTATTACATCATTAAATTTTGATGCCAAATATATACAACTAACTCCTGTTAAATGGAGATTATCTTTTGAAATACTATAAATATTATAAAATACTTTACTTTTGAGTTTTCTTTTAAAATTCATCCAAAATAGAACAAACTATGAAAAATGTTGAATAATTCATTTAATATGCATATGTAATCTCTACTAACCAATTTAAAAACCGTATTCTCTCTTCATCATCAAATCCATTTTCATCTTTAAATAAATATTCAATTGGCTTATTTTGTTTTCCCAAATAATTTTATAGAACTATATTATAAAATTCCTCAGTTTTTCCATTCTTCTAAATAATCATGCTTAAATCTAATTTGAACTCTAATGGTGAATGAATTTCTTCAGGATTTTCTACTTCTTCTTAATTCTCTGACTCTGATGACTTTTATTCTATTGCAGAAGCTAACTCTTCTAATTTTGTGACAGTTGGTACTTTCCCTGATCTTAATGATAATTCAGAACTAAAATCAGAAACTGATTCACTAGCAGCGCTAGAGGATAATTGTTTTGATTTCATTTATTTAATTTTTAAAGGCATTCAACCGCTCAATAATATAAATTTTTATATCACAATACAAATTAAATAAATTAAATTCCAAGCTCCTTTTATTCCTATAATATATAATATAACTCTACTTTCCTTTGAAATTATTTTCATAATTCATTTTTATAATAATAATAAATATTACTATTTTTCCAATCTATTTTAGTTTTAAGTTATAAAAGACAAGATTATTATTTAATTTTTATATTACTTTACTATTTATCAGCAGAATCAATCAATTTTTATTACAAAGTGATATTTTTGAATTTCGAATATTTAATAATGTAATTTAGTTATTAAGTTATTTATATTTTTAGATGAATTAAAAAAACAAAATATCTCTTATAAAAAAAATAGAGTAAGCAACCAGAGATTATCTGGCATATTTTTAATTTTTAATGTTGAGAGAAAACTTTGATATCACTTTTAAGAGCATTTTATGGTTTCGATTCCTTTATATAATTAATACTATACAAGTTGTTTAATTAATTAATGGTTAAAATGTGTAAAATATTTATATTAAATATTAGCTTCATTTAAGAAATGCTAACTAAATATAGAATAAATTTATTAATTTATTTTGGGAACAGCAACTATTTGATTTTTGCTTACATCATTATTTTAAGCATTTTTATTCATATAGTTATTACTAAAATTGTAATCAAAATGAAAATATCAGTTCATTAATTTATTGGTTCCTTTATTGTTTAAACTATTTATTATATGTAGTCTATGCCAATAATTTTGAACTCCTTATATGCTATTTTGATTTAGGATCAATACGTCCATTTAATTTTGTTTCTCTTGATAGTTTTATTGAATGTCATGTATATTTATTTCAACTGTTAAACAAGTTGTTAATAGATAGATGGTAGTTTTTCAAGACAGTCAGATGAAATTATTATCTATCTCTTTCGAATTGTTTTATGCATATTAAAGATCAAATTGCCAATAATTGAATTGCAATTCACAATATTACTTATAGAATCAATTTTGTTAACTATAATTTAAATGAATAATACTGAATTAAATAGCCATTTTATTTTAAAATTAAGAATATTCCTATTTGTAATGGGAATAGCTGGAATAACGAAATTAGATTGGATAGAATTATTTTTACTCTATTTATTTATAATTAATATTGTACAATCTTTTAAAAATAGAGTTGAAACAAATTAATTGTTTAATGCTTAAAATTATGGTTAATTAAAATAATTGATTTCATAAATTGTAAATTATAATTAAAATGATGAAACATTAAAACTTTTACTAATTTAAAGATGTTTTAAATTGAATTTTTACAATCTACAACCAAATAGTTATAATAATGTTAAGATTTAAGATAGATTAATTATAGAAAGATATTTTTAACAAAATTTATATAAATTGTATTTTTTATTGTTGTAATAAAATCAATAAAAAATGACATTCTTAGACATTGTTTTTGTTAAGGCTAATATTTATTTAATATAATAAGAATGTTAATAAAAATCTAAAAAATAACAATAAGATAACTCATGGTTAATTCCAATTTTTGAATAATAAGAGACCAATTTTGATATTTTAGAATAAGCTAGAATTACTAAATTAAAGTTTTTTTAAAACTTAATTTAGACTAATATTAATGAATCTGAATATTATAAGATGATTAGAATTTAAACCTAAAAATTTTGTATAAAAATGAAAAAATTAAAGAAGAAACTAGAAAATAATATTAATTTAAAAACTCAAACTCTTTAAAATTATAATATTGTAGATCTTAAAACTATTTAAGCAATTTAAAAATACTACTCTGTTTTTTATGGTGATCATTAGAAAGTATTATATAAAATTCTATTCTAGGCATTTCAAATTGGAAAGAGAGCTAAAGATTAATAAGGTTGGGATCGTAATTTAAATCTAAAGTTATAAAAAAGTATATATATTCATTCTATTTTAGATTAAATATTTCTTATAAAAGTAAGTTATTTATAAAAGAAATGGGCAATTCTGAATCCTAAAGCTAAGTATTTAGAAGAATATTTTAAGAACCAATATTTGGATAACGTTTTGGATTTATTTCCATAATTTTTAAGAGGATATTATGAATAATAAATGACTAATTATGTAGAAAATGAATTTGTAGAGAAATATCTTTTAAAGACTTTTTTATTGAAAAATAATTATATTATATCTTGTAGAATTTCTTTTTATCATGAAGTTTTGGATAATGACTTAATTATAAATAATATAATAGAAATTGATGATAACCATAATTTTATTTTATTTGATTAATTTGGTAAAATATTTGGGATTTCAGAGTTACTTTTCAATCAATTGTTAAACTTTGATGAAAATATCTAAGAAATAAGTTAATAAACTTTTCTCGAAAAAGCAATGATATAATTTTATATTCCAGGCATAGAATATTAAATTCTTTAACTTATTTCATTATAATAATACAACTAAATTGAATTTTAATCATCATTTTCAAAAAACCTTAATCTTAATGATTGTTTAGAGTTGAAAATAAATTTCAATATCAAAGATGAATTTCAACATCCAATTAAGCCTACTTAAACTTTTCGAAAAGCATTTCCATAAGATAATGAAATATGTAAGAATAAATAAATATAATTGTTAAATCCAAAATTTTCGATGCAATTTGAATTAATCTAATAATAATTAAACTTAGACTAAAATATGACATCTCATAATTTTGAATTAGAATATATTGAATTGGATAATTTTGATTATTATTATTTTATCCTTCATTTTTCTGATTTAAAAAATAATTTGGAAAGTTAAGATAGGAGTTTGAAATTAGAAACCAAGACAATAAATAAGAATCCTGTTATAGAAAATAAAATAAATATGTCAATTATTGAATAAATAATAGAAAAAAAGAAGGTATCAAGGAATTAAAAATTGTAAATAATACTAATAATTTTTCTTATTCTTTATGTGGTTTGTAGTATTTTTATCAATAAATAATCAGGATTAAATGAGATTAAATCATATTAATCCTCAATTAATTTCTTAATAAATCCTTAAGCCTTAACATTTTCATATGCAGGATCATTTCTTTTATAATGGAATAGATATTGTGTATAAAATGGCTTATATAATTTATCTCCATATATAGAAGTTTAAAGGCAATCAAAATTAAATTATGCTTTTACATTATGGAGAGGTATTCACATTAATTACACATTGAATCTAAGCAAAAGAAGCAGAGAATTAGGAATGGAAATGGTTGATGTAATAGAGTATGATAAACATAACAATAAGATTATAACTAAAATGGATTTTTACTCATTTTATACTATATCAAGAGAGAAAATGGTTAGAGTATAAAAGAATACTAATTATTCAAATATTTCTACTCATGATTATTCTATATTTAAAGCTAATGGATTTATGAGATAGAATATTTTGACTATATTTAAATTTCATGATATTGTGATAAATGATGAAATCGAATATCTAAAATTAAAGGTTGAGTTCTCTCAAACTAATTTTTATTTGATAGAAATAATTTAGATAGGATGTGCAAATGCACTAACGATGGCTCTCATTTATTTTATATATGTTCAAGTTAAATTAAAAAATAAAATATTCTTTTTATTATCCTTAATAGAGATAAATTCAATAAAAGCTTAGATAAACTAAACAAAAGAATTTTCATAATTCACAAATTATACTTTAAAATCGAAAAAAAATTATTTAATTGATAAAAATGATGCAAATGAAAATCTTTAATAATAGAAAAATAACCATACAATTCAAAGATTATAAAATATTAAATTCTCCTCTAAATTTTGCTTAATTATACCAATTTTTTTTATAGTTTCTTATGGTTCACAATTGATTGGGGCATATTATTATAGAGCCTTTTATTATAATAATTATAAGCATTCTCTATTGATGACTATGAACTATATTAAATTCAAAAAGCTATTTGATAGTTCTATTTTACTAGGAGAATTAATTAAAACAGAACATCTAATACCATCTAATCCATATTATTTAATTAATTAAACTGAGACTGTAGAATTATATTTGATGTATGTTGATAATTCAACAAATTTATTTAATATAATACTGGATGACTTAATTGTATCAGATTATTTTAATTATACAATGAAAAATTTAATATTAAATGCTTTTAGAAAGGATTTATGTTTGAATTTTTAAAGATTTCTAGTTTTTTGTAATACAAGTTAAATAAAATAGCCTTATAAAACAACTGATTCTTACTTAACTATTACATAAAATGGTATAGGAGGAGTAATATAAAATTATAAAAAAATGGTTTAATAAGATTATTATATAGAAAGGTAAACTTTAAAATATTAAAAAAATAATACTTAATTTTTAAATTCTTAGATTCACTAAAACTTCTTTGTTCAATATGCCTAAGATATTTAATCATGCTTTTTCACTTGTTTTAGTTACTTTATTAATGAAAGTATGTATTTAAGTGATCTATTTATTTAAGCAATGTCAGATTACTTTAACTTAACTGGAATTATGTAATTATAAATAAAATAATATTAGTATATTGCTATTGTATATTATATTCTCAGGTCTATGGATTATCTATCAATATTATCAGATACATTAGATAAAATTTGTATTACTCTTACTTGAACCAAAAATAATATAGAAAAAAGGGATTCATCAAATGTTAATGAGAATTATGAATTAAATATGATTAAATATTGAAATAAAATCATTTACGTTTCTATTTGCACATTTTGAAAATTGTAAAAAAATTAAAAATCTTTATTAATAACTACAAAGCAAAGAGAAAATTTTATTTTGAAATTAAATTATCTATTATTTGAAATGTTTGAAAAAATTCCTGCCTTTCTTTAGAAACTAGTTGAAAATTATCTAGATTTCTTTACTGTTGCCTGTTACTAACGAAATCAATTAGCTTTACAATTGTTCAGAATTGCTGTGATAATCAATGGGTTATAAGAATTATAATTAATGGAGGACAACTTACACTAAAGCGACACAAAGTATTTAGTAATTCAAATTTTCTAGACTATTCTATTCCAGTCTAAAAGAATCTCTACTCACAACTTAATTAATTGGATATGAAAGCAATTCTACTATATCAATACTTCTAATTACACACATTATCATTAATTTGTTAATATTTGTGAACATTTTTTTTATAAAGAAACAATCGTATTTCCACACAGTAACATTATCTGTAATATTGGTTGAAAACTACATTCTTTTGTATCCTACCCTTAAGGCAATTTTTTATTTTAATAAATTATAAGCAGACTACGAGATTTATTTAATTTCGATTTTTAATCTAATAATAATGTATATACAAATTACAATAACATAATACTCTTGGAGATAAACTAAATTAATAGATTTATAAGGATTAATAAGAACAAATAATTTTAAATTAGAATTGTTATCTCATTTAATTCTAATTTTAGCTATTGGATTAAATGAACTATCTTAACTTGGTTCATATATATTAATAATGTTTAAATAAATAATTAAATTAGGAATAAGTTTTGACTCTTATAATAAAAATAGTTAATTCATGCTTTATTAAAATGTAACATAAATCATATTTATGACTGCATTATCATTTAATATAAACATGATATACACATTATTAATTTTGGGATTTCTTATATAATTAATTCATAAAGTTTAATCACATTTTTTTGAGAATCATTTAATATAATTTGAAATATCTCTCAAGAAATGTTAAATTTATGAACTCTTATTTAATTAATCTGAAAAAACATCCAAAGTTCTTTTATTATAGTCCTTATTATAAAAAAGCTTTTCATAAAATTATAAGAGTAAAACTAAAAAAAAGTAGTCTACTTTCCTTTTTACTAATTAACAAGATATCCTATAATAATTGATTAGTTAATCCCACTTTAAAAAGAAAATGTTGATTTAAATTTTATGTAATTATGATTTGTAAAATAAACCTCAGAAAACACTTATTTAATTTATGAAATATTACAAAATATCCAATATTTATGATAAAGCATATGCTAAAGCATTGTAACAATAATTAAATTATATCATTAATTAAAATTAAATTTACTTTAATTCAAGAATTTAATCTATAAATGTTATGGATACTTAAACTACAGTTTAAGCATTAATAAATAGTGAAAATGCAATAAATTTTATACAAAAAGTAGTTTAAAGTAAGATTGCCTTATTAGAATCACTTAGAAAAGGATTTTAGTAATAAATAGAAATTTTGGATTAGGTTGATGATTATACCAATAATATATTTAAATGTAGAAATTTTATATTATAATGTTATGAATTGAAAAGATATAAATTAAAAGGATGTTAAAGTACCGATATACTTAGTTTAAGAATCTTATAAATGTATTTTGGAATTATTTTAAATGATATTAAAGAGGTATTTACTTATTAAATAATAGAGCAAAGTTATTGAGAAATAAATTGATGATTTAATAAAGGCTGACAAAATACTATAAGATACAACAATAAATAATCAAATATTACTATAAAGTAAATAATTTATATATTCAAATTAGATCGATATATGGTATTGAATACTAGTTTAATTAATTAAAGAGGAAAATTGATTAATTGTAATAAATAATAGATCTCGTAATTTTTTGGATGTTCCTAAGAATATATACAAAACTATTAATATATACATGAATTTATGCCTGACTTTATAGCTTAAGTTCATGATGAATTAATTGATTAATTTATTGATAATGGATATACATAATTAATGAAAACTGGAAAATTAACATTTATTTAGGATCCTTAAAATTATCTAATGCCAATTTATATTCATTTATACAATCCGAATATTGAAGATGATTTCACATTATATTCTATATTAACAACCTAATTTTAATAGTAAGATTATGTAATATTTGATTCAGATGGTAAAATTTAAGGAATTTCTAAACGATTTTTTGAATATACAAAATTATAAAAGTCATCTTAATAAGATATAAATATTTTTGATATTGTTCATAGAGGTAGTAGTATTTTGTATTATATTCCTAATGTTATAAATTTGATAAAAGATTTAAAAAATAATATTGATCATAATGTGAATAATTCATTAAATAATGTAAGATCATATTGGTAATATCCTGATAATCATTTGGAATGTCTATCATAAACTCAATCACTAATTAATTATTCATAAAGAATGGAATTTTAACCAAACTTAATTTTAGGTTAAAATATAAAATTATTAGATTAAGCGTTTCAATAATGTTTTATTAATACAATAAAAAAGAAATAAAATAATCTAGATTAAGCAGAAAATCATATTGAATTATTACATAACTTTTAGCTTTATGTAATTAGAGATCATATATTCTTTTTAATTACAATAAGAGAATATAAATTAGCTGATTTTTCAAAGACTTACACATCCAACTCAATGCATTAAGCATAAAATCCATTTACATCATTTTCTACACATTTTACTTAATTAGATTAATTGATGTCTGAAAAATAATTAACAACAGATAATGGCACAATTTAAGATATTAAATAATTCTGTACTTTTTAACATTCTTAAATAATTGAAAAATTATTCAAAGATGATGATATGAGTGGAAGATTTGTAGTTGATATTACATAAAAATAGTAATTAAATGCTAGTCATTCTCAATCTAAATTGCCTTTCTTAACTTCTAGATAACCTTTGTCAAATAGATAATTACTATAAACAGGTTTAGCATCTATGCGTATGGTTTAACCATAGTTTCATTTACCATCCATTGACTCTAAAAAAAAAATAGAAGATTATCAATTATATGAATTAGAAGAAGATATGAAAGAGATAGCAGTAATGGAAAGTATAAAATAAATTTAAGTCGTTTAAAATGAATAAGAGATTGTAAATTAGAAATAAGAAAATATTAATTTTAATCGCTACGATAGTAATATTAATGATGATTCAATTAAGATGTCTGAAAAATAAAATGATACTTAAGTTTAGGCTTTAGTCTAAAGTTAAATTTAATAAGGTTCTTAATTATAAATGATATAAGAAATAGTAAATTTTAATGGATCTATGAAAATGGTAAATATTGGAATAATTTTAAATCTATTTTTGGCACTCTGGATATTTATAATGCTATTTATAAATGGATATTTGATAAATAATGAAATCCAAACATATTTTCATCAACTTACAAATAGTATTGCATATTAAAGTTTATAATTTTATATAGGAGTGCCTTATACAATAATCTTATAACTTTATATGAATGATAATTAAATCCTTGATTTTAGTCCAGCATTATTGTAAAATACAATAAGTAAAATACCTTTTTTATATGGGTTTTCTTAGATGTAATAATCTCAATTTCAAGATACAGTATGTAACTAACCTAAATATTATGCTGATTATTTTGCTAACAGTAATGATTGTTCTAATTATTTTATACAGTTTCATACTGCAATTTTATAATCATATCTTTAATATGAAATTGATGAAACTTTTGATTATTAATTATTTAATAATAATTCATTTCATAGAAATTAATCTTTTTATGGATAGAAAATACTTTTAGATTCATTAACTAATTTTATAAGTTCTTTCTAAAAGGTTACATTAAAGGATACTTTTTTAATATTATTAATGATAAATTTATTAGTAGTAACAATTATTTATGTTTCATAATTTTAAATGACAAAATCTAAATCAAATTTAAAGCAAAAATTTTATTAAATCTTAAATAGATTGTCATTTGATGAAATAGTGGAATTAATAGCACGATTTAGTTGTTTTAAAGTAGCTTTAGGAGAAAATGCATGGAAATTAATTAATTATTACGATATGATAAATTATAATAATATTGCTAAAGAGAAATCTAATTTAAATGCACATAAGAAATATATTTAATTAAGTGATTCAAAATTAAAGAAAAAAACAGATCTATTTCAAATTATAATAATAGTATCATCATTTTGTTGTTGGATCCTTTTTTTTGTATTAGGTTTCCTTCTTTTTTATTTTTTATTTTAAGAATTTGCTCCTAGTTTTAGAATTGCCTAAAATTTTGTAGCCTTCAAATAAAAGCTTGATATATCATTATGTATAGGATTTTGGATAAAAACAGATCCCTTAACAAATATGACAAGAAACACATAAGAATAATAATAGATGATTAATTTATTTATGAATTTGACAGACAGTTTGTAACCACTTTTAGATGAAATTTCAACTGATTTAGTAAAATCTACTTATTTAAATGAAGAAAAGATGTAAATTATTCAACATACTTTAAATTCTGATTTATGTCCTTCTTATTAATATCTTTTTTGTTATCCAGATAAATTATCAACATAACGTTATTATGATTCTGAATCATATGCTTCTATTTTATCAGGGGGAATCACAGGATTTGTTGCATAAATATACAAATTTTCAGTTTCAGAATTCACAATAGAAAAAGAGACATTACAATATTCTCCTTATCTAGATGAACTTGAATTATTAGTTTAAGAATAGGTATTTAAAAATATATTTGTTTAATATATTTAAGATATTTAATTCACTATGTATAATCTTTTTGCTTAGTTTAATGATGGGAATTCATATGCTGGAGAGATTCTACTCTCTTATATGAATTATTATAGTTTTGGATTTGGAATAAGGTATAATAATTATATATTTATAATAGTTTAATTATAGTTTATAATATTATTGATTTCATAAGAATTAGATAGAGTGTTAAAGAATTAGATTAATTAAAATTTATCCTTTTGGTGCTACCAGAATAAAAGTTTGAAAACTAGATTATAAAATAAAAGATTTCAGAAATCAGCAAGTATTTCTTTTGAATTCATTAGAATTTGTATATATATATATAATAATAACAATAATAATCATGCAAACTATTTTATAATGGTCATATATTCAGCTGCTAATGCTTCTAGATGAACGATACCTTTCGATCCTTATCTTGCTCTATTTTCACATTTTGCTGTTGATTTAATGAGTTCATAAAGAATAGTCTTATTTGCATGATCTTTATATTAATTTAACACTCCTTAAAGCATTTCAAACATAATTCTATCAACAGGTATACAATTAACCAATAATTAATAAAACTTTTCTCTGATTTCTTTCATAGTTTCAACTAATTAATTTTTGATTATTGGTATGACAATATTCTGTTAGATATGTATTTTCCATTCTTGAGCTCCAATATTTTGATCATCTTTAATGCATGTATTATTGACTCTAGTAGATTATAAATATAAAATAGCTTCTCTAAGATTTCCATTACTTGCAATAGCAATTTTATTTATTAATTATTGACTTATTTTGCAATTATATTGTGTGCTTATCTTATCTAAGATTTGAGCAACTTAAGTTTAATTAGGAGCAGGTATTCTAATTAAAAGACATCTACTTCTAATTGGATTAATGATTTTAGCTAAAGATTCACAAATCAAAATAATTCTACATCTTTCTATATACTTTTCCATGGTTCTTCTTAAAGATGCTTAAGCCTCTTTTGTTAGATTGTCAACTTCATTAATAATTACAACCTAATATAATATTAATATTTACTTTGAAATCTTTTGTTTATTTACTATTTACTTGATGTGAACTTGCTACTTCTTTAATTAATTTTTAAATGATGACTTTATCATGATGATCAGCATCTGATGGTGCAACATCAATATGAAATTTGGATGATAATACTGTGCATGAAGTTGTTGTATTTGAGGTTTCATTTATTTTATATTCTTTTTCTTCTTCAGTTACTGTGTAAACACCTGATCCATAGACTTCTTTAAGAAATGCAAGGACTCTTGTTTTCTTTCCAGCTCCATTTGGACCATAAAACAATAAATGAGGGAAATCAGAATTTTTGGCAAGTTTTCTAAGGATTTCACTTATTTCTGAATGATAATCTAATGAATCAAGAGATTTTGGTTTAGTTGATTCAGTCCATAACTATTGAAGCATTTTAGAGCGGGAAATTTATATATATAATTAAATAAATATAAAACAAAGAGTCATTTAAAAAAGTAAGTATTCAATATTCTTTCTAGATCAGATTTAGTGGCTGGTTTTACAATATAATCATCCATATATTATAAACATTCTCTTTTTTCTTTTTCTTCAGCATATCCACTACATCCAACAATTGTTACTGGAATATTCATTGTTTTGTAAAAATTCTTAATGTTTTTAGATGTTACTATTCCATTTTAGATTGGTAATTCTACATCCATAAATATAAGTTTATAAGGATGACAAATATGTAATTATTTTGAAAATCTTTATTATACTTTTTATTCAGCCAATTATCCAGAGATTGTATAATCTATTTTTATTAAAGATTAAAAAGTTCTATTAAATTTAAGTAAAAATGAATCAACATTAAAATGATTATCTTCTACCAATAATATTTATGGACAAGAACAGAAATTCTTTTATAATATAAACTTTTTTTCAGTCATTGATTATCTTCTAAAATCATTTAATTTTGTCTCTAAATCTACATCTATTTCTTTTTTCGAATCTTCATAATTTTCTATTTCATCTGAATAATTTGATTTACTATTAGTTACTAAAAAACAAAATGTTGTTCCTTCTTAATATACTGATCTAAATCCTAAACCTCTTTATTCAGAATTTAATTAAGTAGCAATTGAATTACTTATTAATAACCCTAATCCTACACCTTAAGCATTCATTTAACTAGTTTCTTTATTTTCAATCTTAGCAAATGCTTTGAATAATTTAGGTTAGTCTTCTTCTCTCATACCAACTCCTGTATCTTTAACTTCTATACAAATTTCATTAGGTCCATCTAAATAGGCTCTCAATGTTATTGAACCTTCCAAAGTAAATTTTAAAGCATTCCCTATTAAATTTACTGTTATTTGTCTTATTCTATTTAAATCACTCCAAATTTCTGTTGGTAATGATTTATCATAATAATAATTTAATTAAATATTCTTTTTCATAGCTTAAATTTCAAACATATTAAGACAATCTCTTAATAGAGACTTTAAATCAAATATTGCATTTCGAATCTTAAATTTGCCAGCTCTAATTTATGCCAAATCTAATAAATCATTTGAAAGATTAAGAATATATTTAGAGTTATCTAATGCTGATTAAATAAGTTATTATTCACTCAAATTCAAACTGGCTTTATTTTCAATAACTTCTTCAAGCATTTATATTATACATGTTAAGGGAGTTCTAAATTCATGACTTACAAAAGATAAAGTCTTTGATTTTTATGAATTGTAATCTTTTAATACTTTAATATAATCTTTATGATTAACATCTCTAAGGATTATGACTAATAAAGGTTTATTGTAATGTAAAGCACTAAAAACTTTTAGATCCAAACATTATTTTTTTTATAACTTTTTAATATTGGTTACAAATGCATTACTTTCATGGATATAATAAAGAGGTTAATTTTAATAATTCAATACTTTCTCTTTAACTAATGTATGTAATTATAACCAAATTTATACTAACAAATAATGAAAAGAATCTATATCTTCTAAAGATTTTTTATGAGAAGTTGCATAATGAATTGAAGGAGAATTGGAATGATTCATATTTTCATTTTTTGTTTAAGTAGTTGGAAATACTATTTAAACTTAAGGAAATTATAGACAAAAATCATGATTTGGTTAAGGTTGTTATAATAGGAATTCTTATTTTTAAGAACTTGATTAATTCTCTAAAATAAATTATTAAGATAATTTAAAGGCTGATTTAACATATGGTTATTATTTAGGTATTATTTTAAAACTACTTCTTCTCATACTTTATTAAGATTAAATGCTAAATGAATATTTATAGAGATGTTCTTCACTTTTCTGTTTTGGAGAAACACTTTTGAGATCAAAAAGTTCTTATAACATTTAATCATGATCATCAGAATCTATTAGGTATTTGGCTGCAGAATTTGAATATTTAATTGTAAAATCATCCTTTATATTTTTTTCAAGTATTATTATTCCTTCAGGTAATACATCAAAAGTCTTAAAAAGCTTCTAAGCATCTTAAGGTTCATAATCAAAGTTGATGCTTCTAGGTACTGATGGTTCCATTTCTTAATTATTTAATTTTTAGGATTCCTTTAATTATTCACATTCCTTTTCATGTTCTTATCTGAAGTGTTACAATTATAATTTCAGTAAGATCGATGAACATATTGCTTTTATTAAATCAGTAATTTATAAATAATGAAATCCCATTCTAAGGAATACATATGTATTAATGACTATTGCTCCCAATAATAATATATATTTAACTATTTTTTTTTTTTCATTTCTATTGAAAAAAACAGTATCGAATATTGCCAATTATTAGAAAATTAAAAATTAGGTATCAATTTGTAATTCTACAGAAAAAAATGTAAGTATAAAATATTAACAATATATAATTAGCTATGTTCTCATTGTATTAAAGTAAAAGGATAATGCTTAATAAATTATCATTACCAACAAAAAAATCAGGCAAATCATTATAAATGGATCAATGCTTTAAATTAAATTTTCAATAATTTATGCAAAGATTATCATACTATTAAAACATATCAGCAGATTTTTTAATTTTAAGCTATCCAAACATCTAAATTGTTTTACTCTTTCCATCTATAAATAAATAATTTATTTTATTATTATGACTAATAAGTACTAATTATTAATTTGTAATTTTAAAACCCTTTACTATATGATAAATCACAAAAGAATTTGATAATCCATATGTTATTAGAATTTAAGATACAGAAATTAAACAATTAGTTGATATATATTATTATAATTCAAGATAACGAAAATAATTTTCAAATTATAACTCAATTAGTGTAATACTTAAAATTAATATCAAATTTTTACATCAAAATTATTGATTTCAATCATTGGCATTAAATATTATAAAAAGGATTGGTTTATTAATAAATTACTCATTATTTGAAATTAGACTATTATTTTGACTGTGGAAAATTGAATAAAACTTTATATTCCAATATATTATTGCCATTCTAGTTTTATGATTGTAAATATTAGAAGTATTATGACTCCTTTTTGAGACTTTTTATTCATTCTTTCTATTTTGCAACTTTGTACTTAAAGTTGCTTCATATAAAGAAGTACATATCTCTAAGTATTGCAATATTTTGCCAAAATATTTTAATCTTTTTTTTTTATAATTGAACTGTTAATTCCCATTCTTTTAGTTATTTATTTAAGACTTTTATTAATAGCTTACAGAATCATATAAGAATTCTAACAATGCAATTATTTATTCAAATTCTGCAAATTTATTCTCCTTTTTCTTTTTTGTGATAACATTAAATATTTTTTATACTTATATGCCCATTATTTTTTTACCTTCCTTTATATTTTTTACTTATTTTTTGGAATAGCTCAAATAAAACAAACTTTAATTTTTATTCAATTTTACCTTCATATTGTCTAATAGTTCTTTTATATTTGTAAATACAATACAAATATATTCTTTGGCATTTTAATTCATATTTTAAATTTATCCTATTATTTACAGATTTAATATCAATTAATGTATTAGTATTATCTTGAGGATTAATTTATAGCACTACTGATTTAGGAGTGTCCTTAAAATTACTTTACTTTTGACTTACAGAAATATTTATCAATAAAAATAATAATAAAATATAAATATATATAAGTTAAGAAAGTAATAAATTTTATTATATAACCTCTCTATCCATAATATAGTAAGAAATTTAAAAGTTGTTAAATTTTAATAAACAAAACTATCCAAATTATTTTTTTTACAGAATTAGAATATATAAATATAATTAGCTTAAAATTGTGATAAATATTTATATTAAAGAAATATGTAATTAAAGAGAGATTATTATGAAATTCTTGGATTGGAGTAGAATTGCGATCAAGACTAAATCAAAAAGGCATATAGGAATATGGCATTGAAGTTTCATCCAGACAAGAACTAAGCAGATGATGCAAAAGAAGTGTTTTAAGAAATCCAGGAAGCTTACTCAGTTCTTTCTGATCCTAATGAAAGAACATGGTATGACAATCACAAATAATAAATCTTGAATCCTGATCTTGACAAGGCAGATTTAGAAACTATGGAAGGATTTGGTTTTAACATATGGCATTATTTCTCACCTCATTATTTTGGTTTTGGAGATGATTAATAAGGTTTGATATAAATATTGATATTTTAGGATTTTATGCCTTTTATAGAGAAGCATTTGAAAAAATAAAATTTGAGGAAGAATCAGCTTTTAATAATAAATAATTGGATTCAGAAGAAGAAGACTCAAATACTGAATTTGAAAAACTTCCAGGTTTTGGTACTTCAAATACACCAATTGATTAAGTACTCAAATTCTATGTAAAATGGGAGAATTTTACCACTTATAAATAATTTGCATATGCAGACAAATATAACCCTAAGGATGCTCCTAATAGATGGGTAAAAAGGGCAATAATTAAAGATAATAAAGTTGAAAGAAAGGAAGAGAAGAAAAAATATCTTAAAACAATTAAAAAATTAGTAGAAACAGTAAAAAATAAAGATCCTAGATATAAAGAATATTTGGAACAATTAAAAAAAGAATAAATAATTAAGGAATAACAAAAGAAAAAATTTAAGGAATAAGAAAAAATTCATATGCAAGAAATATTAAAATAGGCTAGACTTGAAGAATAGGAAAGGTTTAAATAAAATGAAGAGTATTTTAAGGAAAGATAACAATTTTAAGTTATTACAGAAAAATAAGAAAAATCTTCAGATGTTTTCTTTTGTGAGATTTGTGATAAAGAATTTAAATCAGAATCATAATTTAAGAATCATTAAAATTCTAAGATTCATAAATCTAATTTAAAGGATATAATTTCTTAGATTACTGTTGATAAAAGAGAATAAGAAGAATTATTAAAATAAAATGGAGTTAATAGTGTGAGTTCTTAAGATTTAGAGGAAACCTAAAAATAAATATAAGAGTAAATAAATAAAGAATTAGAAAGAGAATAATAAAAATAATAAAAATTAATTGAATAATAGACAAAACAAAAGGAAAAGAAAAAGATTAAAAATAAAAAGAAAAAGTCTTAATAATAATAATAATAATAATAATAAGACCAAAAAGAAGAAAAAAATAGTAGTAGTGATGAATTATAAAAAGAAACAAAAAATGAAGAAAATGAATATGTAAATAGTGATGATGATGATCATTTTACATAATTACTAAAAAATAAGAAAAACAATCCAATAAATTAATAATAGGATATTAAATAACCTATAATTATTCAATAATAAAATAGTGAAAAATAATAATCAGATTCTAAATTTTTAATCCAATAAAGTGAATCTGATGATGAAAAAAATATTATTTAAGATACTAAAAAAGATGTTGATGAAGTTGCTAATGAACCAAAACAACTCAATAAAGCTAAGTTAAAAAAATTAAAAAAAAAAGAAAAAGAAAAATAAAGTGAGTAAGAAAAGTTCAAATGCAATGTTTGCTAAGAGGTTTTCTAATCTAAAACTAAATTATTTAAACATTTAAATGAATCTGGTCATTAAAAAGCAAAATGATATTAATAATGTTTTCTATTGTAGTTTAGCAATAAGTTTATCAATAATTTTATATATTTTCATTAAATTAAAATACAGGTTAAGATTGCTTATTCTAATTTATCAGATATTCATTAGAAGTAGTTATAAATTTAACATAATTCTTTAGAATAGATATCTTCATTTAAGTTTTATACAATTTTATTATTTTTGTAAAAATTCAAAATTTTATAAAATTTTAAATTGTTTCAAAATTGAATATACATCAAATTCTAAAATTATTTTGAACTATTGCAAGAGTAAAATAATTAAGATATTTCAATTTATTTTAAATTTATAATACTAAAAAGAGTATTTCATCTCTCCTATTTTTAAAAAAGATCTAATAATTATTAAAATAAATTATCATAGTTTACAAAATTATTTTATAATACAAAATTAATGATTGATGGAAATTATACATAATTCTATCGATTAAATATGAAATGAGATCTTCTCCTTAATAAATAATTAAATGTATTTATATATAAATTTTTAAAGTAATAGAATCATCTTAATTCATTTATTAAACACTTTTTTTAGTATTATTTATATCATTTATTAAGTAATTTTATTTTTGTTTTTGAGTAAATCAGGAATTTTAATAATTTCATTTTTACATTATTTTATAAATTATTTGTTAGATATTACTATTTACCAAATATTTGAAATAGGAAATGATATAACCATTTTAAATTGATTCTTGTGAAATAAAATATTATTCTTAAAAAGATAATTAATAATTAGAAGCTTAAAAATAATAAACATAATATAATATAAGAATTTCTTAATCATTATCTAGATACATATAATTAAAATATATTATTAATGCAATTTCCCTGCTTGCAAAAATTATCAGAAAATTCATCAAAAAGTGATTAATTTATATAGAGATGATTTCCAATTAAGGGTGAAGTTTGAATAATCGATAATCTAATATCTTGATACTCTAGGAGTAAATCAATTAACTCTTGTCGATAATTTTTAGAATTAATAAAGAAATAGATTGATGTCATTAGATTAATGTAGGAACACCTTAATCATAAAAAATCATAACTCTCAATCTTGATTGTGAACTCTTTTAGAGATGAAGCTTCAGACTATCATCAGATTAGATTTGAAGTAGAATAATAAAATAAGTATAGTCAAATAAACATTTTTAAACTAGATTTTATGAATAATATATATTATTATTAATTATTCATAAAGTATAATGTTCAATTATTAAATAGGTTTAATGTATTACTTATAAATAACATATATTAAAAAATAAAATATGATTATAATAATTTAAGTTATACATAAATTATTCTTAATTATTTTAGAAAATACTCTATTTTAAATAATTGATACTATTCACATATATATACCTATATATGTTTATGTTTATTATGAAGATTTTTTTCATAATATAATTAAAATTTTAATGTTATTATAATTTATTATCAATAATTAATATAAAAATAATAAATGTACGAGTTAAATGTTCACAAGTGTGCTAAATTCAGAACTTTTGAAAATAAAGCAGATACTAGACGTGCTTTGGTTTTCTTAAAATTGTTAGATAACGTATCATAAATTTAATATTAGAGTTGTCCAAGAGAGGAAGCATTAAAATTTTGTAAAAAAAGAATATGTCGATTTGATACTACCAAAAAATTAGAAGGTCCTCCTAAGTTTAGATTGATTAGAAATGCTACTACTAGTAGAGGATGGATTTTTCCAGAGGAGATCAAGTATGATTTAGGTAAAAATTACGAGAGACCAAAAACAGAGGAGGATAGAGCATTTTAAAAGTTCTTTTAGTCTAATAAAGTAAAAATAGTGTAAGAATAACAACATCAAGTTGAAGTTGTTAATAAGTTTATGAAAGAGATAGATGGATAACTTAATATGAAATATAATAATTTAAAGGAATTAAAGAAAAAGGTTTAGGATGTTAGAGTTAAATAAGAAGAATATAGAAATACTCCTGTAAATTATTTGAAATTTAAAGGTCAACGATTTATTTAATTATATGATGTGTAATAATTACAAAAATATATTAAAGATTCAAGAAACATTATGACAATGATTTATTGGGATTTGAAAAACAATTTCCAGTGACAGTTTAAGAAAAAACAAAAAGAAATGAAGACTTTTTTGTTAGAGCAAACAAAAAACTTGAAACTGATAACTTATAAAAGAAATTTATAAAATTATAAAATGAAGGAGAAATAATAGCTAAATTAACTTAATCTGAAGGTAATAAGGATTAAGGTATATCAATTAAATCATTTTAACATATTAATGATGTTAAGAATCTTGCTATGGAATTTAATAAAACATAATATGTTTTTGATGATGAAAAATTAAAGAAAATGAAGAGAAATTCATTACATCTTTTAAAATTAAATAATAAATATCGAAAGAATAAAAATCAAAAAGACACAAAAATAGGAGATTTCGAAGAAAAATTAGAAAGAATAATTACAAATAGAATAGATTCCATTACTAGAAGTGGAAATGCAACCAATGTTGATTACGATTAAATAAATTCTTTAAAATAAGTAATAAAAATAAATATAATAAGAAAACTGAAACTGCTAGAAATAAAGAATTTTACAAGATTAAATCTCGTTTCACTCCAAGATCAAGCAAAATGAATTAAAGAGCATATACTACTTAATAGTCAACAAGAAAATTAGTGTTAAAAAGTAATAGATCACACAATTAATTATAAAAATGAGGTTGAGTTATTTAATGTTTGTTAAAACTCACATTTGCTTATATATAAATATTTAATGTAATTAGTATTATAGATAATCAGGTATAAAGTATTTTATTAAAATACAAATAATTATAGTGGATCGTAAAATAAATAATTATGTTAATTTTAGTATTTAATTAATATATATATATACTGCAAACAAATCTTATTAAAAACTGCAAATTTTTGATCTTTATTAATCATTCATTTTTTTAAAGAATAATGCAATATCTTCAACCTGTTCTTTGTACAGAGTAGCCAGCTGAAGAATCAATATTGCTTTAATTCAATTAGTCATCTTAAGCAAAAGCAGCATTACAAAGTCCAATTTTACAAAACGAAAATTACTTCATAAATTCAGCAAACAAGGACCTAATCAAACTTCATGATACGTAACCATATATATAATACGATATTAGTATGGCTTCAAAGGAAAAGGCTGGATCATCTTTGATCTAATACTTTCATATAAGACATTTTATTCATTCGATAATGAAGAAAAGAAAGTACTTGACAAAGTTTTCAAGAATTCATTTTAACTTAATAAATGATAATGCTTCTTATTTCAATCTCAAAATATTAAGATAAAATGCTTTGTCGTTGAAACCAATTTCTTAGACAATATAACAAACTATGAGATAGACCACTAGAAGTCTAAAGAAAAATCAAGAATGGTGGAACAAGCTCTCATAATAATTCGAAAAATGCTTAAACTTGCTTCCTTTAGTATATCCAGATGATAAACTAAAAGTTAGATGGGATTGTATTTTAGTATTACCTCGGTTTTATTTTATGTGTATTGTACCAGTTGATTTGGCTTGGACTTAAGAATAAGTATTGTTTGGTTATGCTTTCATACCAACATTGATATCTTTAGGATTAATTATTATAGATTTCTTTTTTGGTTTTGCCTGTAGTTATTATGAAGATGGACAAATAATGGTTGACAGAAAAAAAGTGTTTTTGCATAATCTAACAAAATCATATGGAATTGAATTAGCATCAACTGTGGTTTTGATTATCTTTTTAATCTTCCAAGTTGGCTATGGTTAATAGGTTGATATTTCAAAAGACATCTATTATTTACTCTTATTATTTTCTTTAGTGTAATACAGAAACATTATGAAAATACGAGAACAATTGGAGGATGCTTTAAATCTTTCAGAATATGGCAGTTCCATTGTAGAACTCGTAAAATTGTTATGTTTGGTTTGTTACGTTATTCATATATTTGGTTGTTTATGGTTTTGGGTATTTATTATTTATTATACTAATAGGTTGGATATTATGGTTCAACATATTTAGAAGAGGGATGGCTGGTTGGATAAGAAGTAGTAACAGCTAACTTTGGTACCTAATATTTGAGAGCCATTTACTTTTCTACCGTTACAATGTTCACAGTTGGGTATGGAGATATAACACCAAAAACGGAACCTGAATATATTCTGGCAATTATCTTTATGATGGTTAGTAGTATTCAATTATCTTACAGTGTGAGCACTGTAGGAGCTGTTCTTGAGAAAATCACTTCTTTTAAAGAAATTAAATAAAAAAAACTTAGTATTATAAATAATTTTATGGAAAAAAAACAAATAAATTCTAAATTGTAATTTTAAGTAAGATAATATTTAAACTATTATTGGAATATGTAACAAGATGAAGAGACTTAGGCTGAATAAACTATCATTGATTAATTAAGTTAAACTTTGAAAGAAAAATTAACATATGAGGCTAATTCTAGAATTCTAAATTAATGTCTATTCATTAAAGAGAATTTTTCAGATAAATTTTAAAAGAAATTAGTGGAAAAGATTAGTTCTCAATATTTACAACCAGAAAGCACTATAGAATTTTAGAAGTTTTTCAAAAGAATTAAAAAAATGGAAAAAAGTGAATTTTAATGTTTATGTTTTATTGAAATGGGAAAGGTTGAATCATTCATTGAAGATCCTAATACTTAAAATGTTATTGCTTCAAATATTACAAGTTATGAACAAGGAAAATGTTTTAATGAAATTGCATTTCTTACTGGATAAGATTTTAAGGAAAAATTCAAAACTGTAGAATTTACTAAATTACTTATTTTATCTAGAAAAGACTTTTTAGCAATAATGAAAGATTTCCCTTAAGATTATGAAAAATATAAAGAACTTGTAGATGATTTCAATATAAACAAAGAAATGTCAATGTTAAAAATCTAATGTTAATCTTGTCATTCTTACAAACATTTAACTGTTGATTGTCCTATTGTACATTTTGTTCCTGAAAAAGAAGTTATTATTAAAAGATGTGCTTTTTCATAATTTTAATAAAGAAAACATATAAAAAGATCAAAAACAAGAACAAAACCAACTATTAAGACTCAAAGATTAGTAGCAATGCAAGCTAATAAAATGTATAATTAAGTTACAAATGATCCTACCTATTGCAATATCTATGAAGTTCAAGATGAATAAATATTTACAGCAGTTGAAGAACCTCAAGTGATAAATCAAAATCAATAGCATGCTTAAATTCAAATTATCGGTTCTTAAGCTAATAGTTTTATATAAAATTCTATTTCTGTTCTACCTTAATAACCAGAATCACCTAAACAAAAAAAAGTTTAAAAGAATCAAAATCATCTAAGTGTAAGAGCAGTTAGACATAAAATTATACCTTAAAAACAATTTCGTTTGGGATTTAATGTTATAACGGCTGCAAAGTTTTGGTCTAAAGTAACAAAGATTAGAAAAAATAGTTCATTATCTATAGAGAATTAAAATAAGGAGTTGCAATTAAGAAAAGCATTGATAAATGAATAAATTGAATTAGTTCCAAAATCAATTTTGGATGATATGTTCTTTGCAGAATAAATGTTTTAAAAGCTTCTGACATAACAATAAGTGGAAGATTAATTTGATTAAATAAGAGAATGTAAAAAGTATAAACCTTAAGATAATTTAAATTAACAACTTTGTAAATAGGATTTGATTTATGAAAAGTGTTCACCTAATGAATTGATATTCTTCTAAAAGATAAGAGAAAAATTATCTAAGTTTATGTGTTTCCCGCATTAATATATATTGAGATATAAATATCCTTTATCTATATCTTCAAAAATTGGATTAGTGGTTGATGTTAAAAAACTTAAAAGGTAAGGGAAAAGCAAATCCAAGATTGGAAAGTCGATGAATGAAAAGAGATGAAATATTATAAAAAAATATAATATAATGAATATTTCTGTTAATCATCATATAATTTAAGAAATTAAATTAATTATATATTATAAATATTTTAAAATTATGAAACAAAGATTGCCACTTCCTTTTGCATTTGAAGCGAAATTGCTGTCAGAACAAAATGAGTCTAATTTACTAAGTAGTAAAATTCAAAGTAGCAAATTAATGTAGTATCGATCTTCTCCGTTTTAAGCTGATTTTTGGTGTTTACCAACCAATGACAAAAAATAATTAAACTACGAAAAGAAAAATGATTACATAAGAAAGTTTATTGATAATATGTTGGACCATATTCGAAAAATAAAAAAATTAACTAACTTTCATATATCATTAATTGGAGATTAAGGGGCTTCTGAAGAGATATTTGCTAAAAGAAAATCTTCTACACTTCATCACTTAAATTAATAATAATTGAAGTTTTTTTTAAATATCAAAAAATCCATAATAAATTAATTAGAAAAGTTACCTCTTATTCATCCTGGCTAATACATTAAGGTAATCTGGGATATTATAGCTGTGACTGCTCGTTTATACTTTTTATACATAATTCCTATAGATTTAGCATGGGTTAACCAATAATTTATATTCCATGATTTGTAGTACATTTCAATAATGTTTTTACTTATATTAGTTTTTGATTTGTTATTAAGTTTAAATACTATATATTTTTAAAATGGAGAGGCAGTTGAATCAAGAGTTCACATAATTAAAAATAGTTTGTATAATACATATGGATTGTAATGGTTATCAGTATTTTAATTACTTGTTTATTTTATTATATCAGCATTTACAGATATATCTTTGGATATTTAAAATAATATATTTAATATAGGCTTACTCATATTTTTAGTACATCATAAGACAATAATTAATTATGCTACCAATTATGAAGAAGGCTTGAATTTATCTAAATAAACTTCTACTATATTGGCTTTAATTAAATTGATAGCATTTTTATTCTATGTTATTCATTTATTTTCTTGTTTTTGGTTTTGGGTAATCCTATTCAATAATGATTTTAGGTTGGTAAATATAGTGTAGATAATTATGAAGGTAAGAGTTGGTTAGTCTCAACTAATATGCTTGAATAGACTTGGAATACTTAATATCTTCAAGCCTTCTATTATACAGCTGTTACAATATTTACAGTTGGATATGGGGATGTAACACCTTAGTCAAATATTGAAAAAATAGTCTCAGTTATTTTAATTATGATATCAAGTATACAATTACCTTACAGTATTAACACAGTTGGTACAATCATAACAGAAATTTCTGCATTTTCAGAAGAAAAAAAAAGAAAATTAAGAATCATTAATTCATACATGAATAAAACTTCTTTGTCATCTGGCCTATAAGTTTAAGTAAGGAAGTATTTATCATATTATTGGGAAAATAAAGTGGTTTCTTAATCTGAAGAAGAAAAAGAAATTATTGATTCTTTATCTGAATTCTTAAGGCAATAATTGATAAATGAAGCTCATCAAAATATTTTTGACTAATGTACTTTGTTTAGGATACCTTTTACTGAATAATTCAAAAAGCAATTAATCAAAGAGGTTGAAGAGGTTCTCTTATCTCCAGAGTAAGATTTGAAATAATCCAATGATATATTATTGTATTATATAGAGGAAGGTTCTGTATAAATATGTTTATAATAAGGAAGAAAAATTAATCTAGGGATTGTTAATAAGGGAGCTTCTATTGGAATGAAAAATTTCATCACAGGGACTGAGTCTTGTGAAACATTAAAGAGTGTTGGATTTACCAAGGCTATGTTACTTAAAAGAAAGTGTTTCTTAAAAATTTTATAAGATCATCCTGAAGACTATGAATTATTTTGTTCTATTAGAGACAAATTAATATTTGAAAAAGATGATTAATATTTTAATGTAAAATGCTTTTCTTGTGGAAAAGATTCACACAAATTAATTGAATGTCCTTTGATTAAATTTATACCTGATAAAGAATTCTTAATTAAATAATATTTATATCCTAAAACTTAAGAAAGAATTCATTTTTAAAGATCTAGAAAGAAGGTTTAGAGTTTAAATTAAAATAGAAAAATATTAGAATAATGTGCATTATTAATTTAGAAGGATAATCCCTAATTATTTTAATTATACAGATTTGATAACATTTTGAATATTGATGAAGAATAATTCAAGCATTATATAAAAAAAACTAATACGATTCAAAATATAAATATTCATATACCAAAAGTTAAAAAGAAGATAATTTCTGTTTTCGAATAAAATCAAGATCCAATCAAAAAAAAATTTAGATAATTAGTTAATAAATTAATTTCGATTAATAAAATATATCCTTATTTTTTAATTTAAACATATGTCGAATTTGAAAAGATAATCGAATAAAGATCTATTTCATAAACTCTATAGATTTTAGAATAAAGATTAAAAAATATTTATTAATTAAATAATAAACGATTTGATATATATCTTAATGATATAAACTTTATCATATAAAAATTATCCAATAAAACATATATTGATGATTAAGAATTTGAAAGTCCTAAGACTTATAAATATTATTTTAGGAAAGATAATTTTTCAATTGTCAAATAAAAGAACTTTTTATAAAATCTAAATATATTAAAAAAATTCATAAATTATGTTCAATATCCAGGAGATTTAATTAAGAAATTTAATTTAACTTAAATTGGAATGTTTTTAGTGATAAATAAGAGAAGACAAAACTTTTGTGTTTCAGCAGATTAGGCAATTAAGTGAAATAATTTTTAATTAATATTCCAAAATTATTATTATTATTTTTAATCAAGTTTTAAGTTCTTAAAATGTACTATGTAAATATTGGATAAATATATTATATTTCTTATTGAATTTAAGCTAAATCATAATTTGTTTTTCAGCTTAAGTGACATTCTTATGGTTATGATAGTAAAAAAATAAAGAAAAAGTTCATTATATAATAATCATTTAAATTAATAATAACAATCTATTATAATTAGTATAATCAAAATAAATTAAGTTTATAAAGTATTGTATTAATCATTAATTTTTTCTTGCGCTTAATAAAGTACCTTATTGGTATTCATTTTATAGAGACAGATCAAATTAATTTCTGTAAATAGGCAATTGTTCTTATTCTTAAATTTCTTGACTTTGTAGAGTAGTTTAATGTTTAATTTCTCCAAAATATTCTGTTGGATCAAGAATTCGTTCATTTAAACTGTTTTTTTAATTATATTTCTTTTTTTGCTTGATTTTAATATTTTTTTTGAAATTGTTTTTTATTTAACTTTTTGGACTGCTCCTTATACTACTGCTATACTTCATATAATTCATATTATTATTAATCATTTAAGATAATTATCTACTTTGTTGATTTGAAGTTAAATTATCAGAATCTGACATTTCATCCTCATAATCATAAATGTTGAAACTAAGGTATATAAATATAATAATACTTTTGTCTACTAACTTTATCATTCTAAATGTTGATTTCATCACTATCTGAAAATTTACCTTCTTTTTCAATTTTAATAAATACTAATTTTGAAAAAGATTCCCAAGTTTTAAATAGTATTAAAACAGTCAAAAAATCATGTAAAATATTGAAATTAGCTTTTAATTATTTACTAGGACTAATATTTGTTCTCTCTAATAATCTATTTTTTCTGTAATACATTAATCTCAACTACATTTCTTTATTGAATTACTTAATCTTTACAATTGAAGATTCAGTACCTTCTCTGAATACTTCATTGATAAAACATCTTCTAAATAGTTCATACATCAATTAATTATATTATATATAACCATAATGATCACTAATATTAAAAATATTTATACCATTTTAATTTGAATGAAGAAGCTAACTTAGCTACATCCCAAAGATTCTCTTCTCTACTACCTCCTAGAGGTTTGCCTATATCTAATAAGAACTTGCATAAGAACTTATAATTCATAGCTTGTCCTTGAGTTTCTGAAGAGTATTTACACCAAACAGTTTTGATCTTATCAACATTTTCAACATAAGTTTGAATTAATGAATTTTACAATTAAAAGAATTATTCAAATTATTCAATAAGACCAAGAACAAAGAGATTTAACAATACATAATTTGACAAAAGCATGAACAAAAAGAAAAAATATTAATTATTAACACTTCCACAATATTTTGAATCTTCTAAACATAAAGGATTATGTTGCATAGTATCTGTCATTATAGTTCTCCAATCATCTCCAGAAGCACATTTAAACAATACAAGAAGTGCTTAAGCTACATTTTGAAAATTGATTTGATCATCCATTACAGCTCCACTATCAATTTAACCATATAATTAGCATCCAATCAATGCAAAAATAAGCATTGCTATCATTAAGATTGTAAATATCTTTCCTAAAAAAGGCAAAGCAAATACCATCACTCTCATTAATCTTTATAAATTGATAAGACCTTAAAATATCAAAATCACTCTTAGACTTCTTAAAGAGAAAAATAATCTTAATAATTGATAACCACTATCATATGGTGTTGATTTATAATAGATCATAATCCAATCTATCCAATAATCTGCTATAAAATCTATTATTGATACTATTATAAGAAAGAAATAAAATCTTCTCCAATAATTATCAAAAAATCTACCTGCTCCCAAAGCCAAAAATAACAAAATCACCCAAATCACATATAAAATAGTCAAAGCATTATGTATATTATTTACAGATCTAAAATACTTTTCACTCATATCTGATTCAAATAATAATAAAATTATTAAATCCAATATTAAAAATAAATACATACAAATTAATAAATATGTATTATTAGTAATATCTGATGCTAATTTTCTAATACCATTTGTTGGAGGAGAACTGAATATTGGAAAATCTTTAATAATGATAGTTGCAATCTCTTAGAATTCTTTTTAAGATTAAGTCTCATCTGTCATTTCTATTTTTTATTAATTTGCTTTTAGATTTGAATACAATACTCCTGTAAATAAACTCAAAAAGAACATTGAACCTATAAAGACAAATATTATAAAAAAGAAGTAAGTATATATATAACTATTGAATGCCTATGGTCCAATACTTGGTAATTAACTGTTTTCAGCAATTTAATATAATTCTCCCCATCCATCTAATGTTGATGTTACAAATAATGAAGGAATAGCAACTGTTATATTATCAAAATTATGTTTGTAATTAACCCAATTTCTATTTTCTTTTATACATTATTCATAATTAATATTAAAATTCATTTTATCTTCACAAAATCCAAATTATCCTTCATACAATATAATAGCATATACTCCAAACATAATCCATACAGCTAACATAGTAATCAATACATTTGTAATATCTACTAAAGAGTATCCTAATGCAATTCTTAATTAAGTTAACCAACTTATTCTAAATAACAATTTCATTGGTCTTAAATACCCTAAATATAAACAAACATCAAAAATTGGAGCATAATTATCAGAAGAATTACTAAAAGTGATGAAATGTGAAATTATATAAATTACATCTAAAATTTACCATACTGATACAAAATATGATCCTTTATCTAAAAATAATCCTTTTGCTATTATGTTTATTAATATATCTAAAAACATTTGAATATTAATTATTAACTGAATCTAATCACAAACTAAATTGCTAGTATCTTCATAATCATAATATGTATTCATTATAAATGTAACTAATGAAGTGTACAATACTAAATCCATAAAATAAATATATGTTTTTGATGTTGCTAATTTAGTGCACATCATTCTTAAATAATTATTTTTTTCAAAAATATAAAGAGAGGTTTAACATTCAATTCCTGTATAAAGTTTAGGTGATTTATTAAGTAATTCTTTATTTAAAGATCCTAAGTTAATTTTATATATAATTAATACTTATTGATTTAAAGAAATTAGATATAAGGCCAACCTTTGATTTTCCTTATGTTTAAGTTCGTTCTAGCATAATATTAGTTTGAGATGTTTAAGGACTTAAGATTGTCTAATATACTTATTATTCTAATTCTTCATTAGAATTCTAAGTCAATTAAGCATGTTCTTCAGATTTAAAAAGATGAGTATTCTCAATTGATTAATTTAGATACTTCCCAAAACCATCAAGTAATATAGCCATAAATAGACCATATGTTAAATAGTTCAATATGATAACCATCGAATAAGAATATATTACTGCAAAAGTATAATTTATATTACTCCCCATCTCATAAACTCCATACCAATCATCATTTGTCATTATATTAAATATAGTCATGAATGCTTTAAATATGTTATCGTATGAATGTAATTATCCTAAAGAATCTGTTTAATCAAACCTACCTGCATACATCTCCATTCCAACCAAAGCATACATAAAAATCACTAAAAACATTAAAAATGTTAAATAAATATATTGTTTAAACGTCATTGATGCTATATGTCCTATTTTAACAGCCATAGCATTATATTTAAGACATCGATAAAATAATAAGCATTTTGTACCTCTAATTAATCTTAAGTTTTATTCTCCTAAACCAATTAATAGATCCTTAATAGTTAATTCAATAATATTCAATATAACAATTGCTGCTTATATCAAATAATTAGGATTGTTAGTGAAATTTTTTATTGGGATTGATATTAATCTTAATATCAATTCAAATGATAGGATAATTGTTGAAACATTTTCGACAGAATGAATAGTTGTAGAATCCACAATATTCCATAATGCTAAAAATGTAAAATTTATGAAAATTATCAAGTCAAAAAATGTTTAACTAGTTGAACTTGTAATTATAATGTTAGTATGTTTATTAAAATTTAATATAATTCCTTTAAGTCCTTTCATCCAAATTAAAACATCCTTTTTATTGAGTTAAAGGAAAATATGACTAAACATCTATAATTTCTTTGTATTTAAAGCTAATACATCTTTACCTGACCAATTACTTGAAATAATCAATTTACCATTTTAAACTTCTTTCTCCCTTAATTTTCTATATTTAAATTGATTGCTAGTTTAATTATTTTTTATAATTGGTATTTTTATGTTAATTTTATCACTAATTTCTTAATATGAAATATAATAACCTTGAACATAAATAACCTTTTCACCATTCACTATTTTTGAAAATTTCTTTGATTTTTTTTTAATTGATGTATTCTTTTCAAAACAAAAATTAAGTTTCTATTCAGGAGATCTTTCAAAATCATCACAAGAATTTTTACTAGTTTCTTGTTCTTTTTCATCTTCAATTTTTTTGGTAGAATTCCATTTATTATTTTTCTTTTACCTATATGGTAACCTATTCCTCTTTATCTCGATAGATCTTTAAGCCTATTTCTTTATCTATTCTACTTAAGTCTACCAATCAGGATATTAATGCTTAAATTTCATCTTTCTCATTTTTTCTGGATTGAATTTCTTTTCTTCCTATTATGCTAAATCAATTTCACTAATTTATAAAATAAAAATACATAAATTTTAACAAAATCTCATGTTAACTTGTATACTTTTATTCTATTTAATAATTCACTTATGATTATAGACATGAATATGATAAATTTTACAACTTTTATAAAATTTCTAATTCTAGTGGATCATCTGAATACTTTTTAATATTAATTTTTTTTTATTATTATTTTAATTAATGAAACTTGCTTAATAAAAGATTTTTCATTGTAAGTTCCCTTATTTTAGTTTAAAAACTTTAATTCTCTACATTCTATAAAATATCATTTATTTTCTTACAAACTAGC